CTGTATTGTCCAATATTATGTGGTGATGTTGAAATCAACAAATTGGTGCAACACTGAATGTATGTGGTGATTGTCGAGTATCGAGTTCATCTAGTTGTTTCTTGGTGTTTTCAATATCTATGAGCATCTTGTCCATAATTCCAAGGTATGTGTGTCAATGGTCTTGTTGCTCATAATGTGTATTTGCTATTAGGTTATCAACTGTTGGTAGTTGTGGTCTGAAATCGCATGGAACATGTCAACAAACTGCGTATGTTCTTGTACAATTTGCGATATTGCATTTGTAAACAATGTGTCAAACCGACGTTGAATGTGGTTCCAAATTGTCGATTGATGTTTTGATATTGATGGAAATTGAAGTCTAGTTTCCATTCCACATGGCGTTCTAAACGCTTTGAAAAATTCACAGTAGCATGGTTCAACAGAGTGTTGGGTATTGGTGTATATCAAACACTGTGGGATTTGAAACCTTGACCAGTTATTGAGGTGACTGTGGTAAAAGACATGACATGAATGCCACTACACAATGGTTTGTTGTACACTCCAGTGTGCGTTGGTTGGTCGAGTAAGCTCTGATATGTTCTTGTTGTATCAAGTTGTTATACAACAAACTATCAACGTCAGAAATACAGAGTCAAGCTGATTGAACTCTGAAGATGAGAGCCTCGACTGGAATAGTGTTCAAATCTGAGATATTTGACAGATCTAGTCACTTGTTCAACCATAACCATCATATATTTTAGTTCTGGAACCAAAACAACTATGTCGAGTGGTAAAACAATTGTTCTTGTCACAGACGTTATGCTGTATAGTTCTGGGTCATTTCATTGCTGCTGTTTGAGATTCTGTCATGCCAAAGTCTTGGGTTTCAGTTTGTAGTCAAGACATTCTGAACTTGACAAAGTGTTTAGTGTTTCCACTCTTTACACTCTTTACACTGTAGATTTGTCATTATCAGACTCTGGACTCGAACAAGACATTGCAAAGTGGATATGTGACAACCTCGTAAAGTCACCAACACTCGGACAAAGTGATGTTGGTAGTGCTCGAATGGACTTTTACCAGGCACACATTTGTCAGCCAACTATTTCAAGCATCTTGAAATGGAACAACACATACAGAAAGCTCACTCTTGTAAGCGACTGATGAATTGGAAAGAAAGAGTTTGTCAAGTATTGAAAACATTCGCACAATAGAATCAAATATTTGGATTGCAATGGACGAGTTGGGGTTTAAACTTGGTGATTGTACAATGTATGGCTATACAAACAGAGGTGAAAGAGTACAGTCCAAAAACAACATTTCAGTTCAAAACTATAGTCTAATAGTGTGTGTTTTATATGACGATCAATGTGTTGAGAGATTGATCCAGGCAGCAGTGAATGCTGTAATATTAACTTGTTAAACAATGACATGCAACATTCCCAAACGGTTCCAAACGGTCACTTTATTCTAGACAACATTCCATTCCACAAAACAACTCTAATTAGACATGGTTTACCAACTATTCAACAAACAGCGCGAGGTTTGGAACTACACTATACAGCATCATACTGTTCATTCTTGAACCCTGCTGACAATTACTTTGGTGTTTGGAATGACTGTGTGCTGAGCCATTCCAGACACCAAACAACTTGTAGCTTCAATAAAACAAATAATCCATTTCCAACAACAACAACAATGAATATGTAACGATTGTTTATTCCAAGACAATCATTACAAGATCAATACAGAAAAGTATTTGATTTTACGTGAATACGACTGTAAAATAAACTTGGGTGTTTAACCACAAGATTATCTCATGCAAGCAAACCATACGAGTGTATTTTGGCAGTGCTACAAGTTTGTTGACCAACTCATGTATGGCGATATCAGCACAAACTCGATTGATCCAACAGCCATGTATACACATTGTTGTCAGTTACATCGAGTGTTTGTCCAAATAGGTCGATTCAGATGGGTTGCATATAACCGACCAATCCAGCATTCATCCATTGTCAAACAACCATAATGCACAATACCACCAAGTGTGCAATTACACTCGCACTGATCAGTCGTTGCACAGTATGCATCAGTCAATGTCAAACATATGTGTGTCTGCAACTAAACTGCAGTCCATGACACATTCACACGATCCAACATGACAAATCATGTACCATGAGTCCGAGATTGATCAAAAACCTGATCATGGTAAACACAGCATGTTGTTGCATATCAGAGTCGATATATCGAGTGACAGTTGCACACTTGCTGATGGTGCACAGCATATCAGTCACAATACATGCACGGTATTGCATTGCAGTCATTGGATGATAACTGGTTGCAATGTGATACCGATCGACATACATCAGCATGGTGTGATGTGACCATGAGCATGGTGGAATGTGTTGGAGTTGACATTGTGAGTTGACAATCGATACACCATGCACATGACTGGAACATATATATTCGAGTGTGGTTTGGTTGGTGTCAGGTTGATCATGCAATCGCATCGGTGCAACGAGTGAGCAAACTGATGGTGATCTGAACCCATTTCAACAACAAGGGATCCACAGTCATGGATTTGCATGCATTCAATATGTGTAGCACACCGAATGATCAGTCATGACAGCACATAGTAGTTGATTGGTGCAATATGATCAAACCATTAGTATAATACACTATTGTTTGACAATACACGATGTTTATTGAATGAATGACATTGGATGCATGACACATGACAATTAAACCACCATGCAATACACGCTGCATTACAACATATACTGGATGTGACTGTGATGGTTTACTCAACTCCAACAATGTAACGAATCTGGTCCAAAAGCTTATTGCCAAACACTAGGATCTTCAAGGATCGCACCATACTTGAGTATTGGTAATCGTTGAAGTACACCATTGTAGAAGCTACGGAAGCAACTTGTAAATACAGGGTATCTATTTAGATACGGTCCACCACCAGTAATTATTTCTTCACTTGAATGATGTTCCATAAAGTAGCCTTTAAGTTGCCTTCGTAATTCGGTAGTTTCCTGACATGTTCTTGAATGTTTCTTGAAGAGTATACTTAGACCTTTCCTGAGTTTCCTGGAAGCTTTATTGTGGCTAGTAAGCGTAGATTCGAGTTCGACAGTATCTGACTCGGTGCTCAAAGGATCATTCTTAAAATGGTCAATTTCTTTCTTCAGCTCACTGATCATTTTCTTTCTTTCGTCGATTTTAGCGTTTTTCTTGTCAATATCTTTCGATAGTCTGTCAAGTTTACGTGAATCTAATGCAAGTAGTTGGATCATTTTCAATGCATCAAAACTAATCGGATAGCAATTATTCATATATACAGTATATGGATCCAAAGACTTTGAATGACTAGTCCCGCTAGTTGCAGTTGCACTAGGAGATGCTGATGAAGTGCTAGTTGCAGTTGCACTAGGAGATGCTGACAAAGTGCTGGTTGCAGTACTTGTAGTCGAACTGGCAAGAACTGGGTCGGCAACAGTGACCGAGCAGGCAAACAGGATCGATGACAATATGGCGATCGAAAGTTTCATTTTTACTGGTTTGGTCGAGCAAGTTGTAGATTGTCATTTGGCAGATTGATGTTTAGTTTTATTTATATATTAGTGTATGATATTGCAAGCATGATTTTTGAACGACCGTTCTAAGCAGCTTGTGTTATTGTCAGGGTAGTTTTGAAGGGAGTTGCGTTTACATGATGATTCGTTGTTCAAACTGAAAGTCGGTATTAGAGTTGGGTTCATTAAAATGTGCTGTGCAACGACATCATGCGGCAAGTATATTCTGATCATCACAAGATGGTATTGAAAGCTCTGATGTTCAAGTGAAGTGGTTACTCATCAACATGCTGCACAATGATAATATGCTGTGAGTATGCAATATCAGATCATATTAGTGTTCATGTACATCATTTCGATTACAGAAAGATCAATGTTATGCACTATTAAATAAATAGTCAGTTTTATTATATCCATCAACTTGCTAATTTTGTATTACACGTTGTTTGACTGCTCATTCCCATTATGGATACATCAACTACAACTGATCAAAGAGTCGTGTCTGAAAACACTCACCACACTGTCAAGAATCACGCAACAACTCTCAATAAACTCGACTGAATACAATTCATTGATGACAAACTGATATTATATGTATTTCTAATGTGGTGTGTCCATGTTTGATTGTGTGATGTGTTCAAGCCGTGCATGTATTGGATTGGTCCAGTGTGTATCTTAGTTGTTTGGTGCACAATGATCACGCATAATATTGTATTAGTAATACATGGTATTGATTGAATACACATCATGATCGCGTAGCTCAATCATGGTATGCATTGTTTGAATCCATCACTGTATATCTGGATGATCATGCCAATATTGGATGCGCAATATCAACAGTTGCAATATGGTATACTGCTGCAAATATCATGACTATCACATTCCATTAGTATGTGTGATCATATTGCACCAATCGACCAGTATACGATTACTGTATACATCAACATGTGCATAATGATCATATTGTTGGCATTGTATATTCAACATGTGATATTTGACACTTGACAGAGTTGATACTGCGACTGATGTGTGTGATCAGTCAGGCTATTGATGCAACCATTTTGACACCACAATCAACGAGTCAAACCAGTCAAATTGGTCAGATCTGATATCAACACGCATGACTATTGTTGGTATTGGTGTTGCATGTGTCAATACGACATGACAAGCAATATCATATCGACACGATACACACATGCATGTCAGCATCATCAATGTGTACAACTATGCAATATACAATCAACTGTATCGTATCGTATTGTATTGTATTGGAAATACAAGTGTCGGTGTACAATATGATATCATGCCAACCAAGACTGTGTACAATGATCAGATATAATGCATGCACATACAGTTTTATTGTAAATTAAATCAGAAATACAGTTGTAGAATGATAATTAAATCGGTTGGAACGAGTCCAGATTAGCATTCAAATCAATTGGATGAATCGTCATTTTTGGATCGCTGAAAGAGTGATTTCAATCCATTCATAAACTTGGAAAAACCTTTCCGTTTATTGGAAGGAACTCTTTGTTCAAAGTATCCAGATACAGATCCAGATGGTGTATCCGGTGATGGTTGTGAATCTTGACTTTGTTGATCACTAGGTTTTTTGCGCTGTTGCTGATCACTAGGTTTTCGACCAAGACTCTTGTTGTATTCTAATGATTGTTCTTCAAGGTAGCTTCTAATGAAAGGATTTGAGTTGATATCATAAAGTTTGCGACCAAATAATTTAGGATTCCAAGATTCTCCAAAAATGAGATCCACAAGCTCTACATTGATTTGCTCTACTTTAACTGTAAGATAACTATACTTGGACTCGCAGCCTTGAAGACTTTTTTTAAGATTGGCAAGTTTGGATTTTTGGATTTCAAAATCAAGCTTAGTCTTCCGAATTTCAACATTATATTCTGGACCGTCACCGCTTGTTTGAGATATATATCCCAAAACTTGAATCTTTTTTTTCAAGCGCTTTACCAGTTTATGTTGATGGTCATATTGAGGTTTTAACGAGCCATATAGTTTTTCTTGTTCATCACGGCCATGCTCTAGCTCTATGTACTTGTTGAGCAAATCCTTGATGATGTTTGGAATTGGATCAAGACCACCTAAGCCTATACCGTTTGGATTATGAGTTGGCGAGGTGATAGACTCGGTGCTTGTAGTTTCACTGGGAAGAATTGGATTGGCAATAGTAACTGAGCAGGCAAGCAGGATCGATGACAATACAGCAACTGCGAGTTTCATTCTACTGGTTTGGTTGAGCAAGTTGCAATGTCATTCAACAGGTCAAGTTTTGGATTGTATTTATGTCGGTTATTGAGTGGATAATATTAAAAGCATGTTTTTGGGTAGCCGTCCTAAGGGTTAGTGTTGTCAGGGTTGCTGATTTGCCATCAATGCCAAACTTTGAAGAGTCTTCCTTTATATGATATCCGCAACCTTGGTTGAGCCGCTATTTGACCATATATTTGAATATCATGTGGTTGATTATAAAGCTTCACTCTGAAAAGGGTTAGGGTTGAGAAATGAGTATAAACCAAAACTGGAATGAGTTGACACTCGGCTATTAGTTGGTCATCAATATGTGCCGTGATATTCCATGCTTGTTAAAATAGCAAGTGATTGGCATGATTCAACGTACAAGCAGTGTATAGTGAGCATCGGATAATATCGTTTTACTTAAACAAGAGTGCTAAATCCGTTGAAATAAATATAATTTAGTCGTCTATTTCTGTACTACATTTTACACCCTCATTGTTACACAACATCAAATGTCTACAAAGGAAACAGCTGGAAATGGAATGCGTTTGTAGGAATACGAAACACCATACACAATATGACAGCAGTATTGCGTACATACAAATCAAAGTATGCTATCATGATTGTCAACGGATTGATTGAAAACAACTTTATATCCAACTTGCTCATCAACAACCAACAACTCTGCAAGATCCTTTTTGCCAATATCACAGTATCTGGATGGAAATACGGAACCGATTCAAACTGCTGTCAATCAATACTGTCATTCAACACTGCAAGGCTGACATTGACTAGTTGTTTGACGTCTCATTATCTCCAAAGAAAAACGGAATCCAGACCAGATTCGCTTGGAATGTCAACAACAACTGACTGTTTGTTGCTACATCAAGACTCGTCAGTACAAACCCACACAATACAATGTAAAAGGTATCAGGCAACCAGATACAAATGAACTGTTTGTCTGCAAGATGCTGCATCATATTGGAATGGGTTCTGAAACTCGTTGTATCATTGCATCTCACAGCACCAAAACAGTCTACATTGCTATCAAGTATTGCCATGTGGTGCTATTGTCCGAGTTGACAAGGATACAGCAAACAATACCCAACTTTGATTGGATTTGATATTTCGTATCCTGTGTATATGCGATTGTGCTGTCAACTCATCAAACTGCGGTCAAATCGATGATAAAGCAATGATTGTCGACTTTTGTATTGAAAAACAGTCAGAAGATTACATTAAAACAGACATTATGGACAGATTCTACAAAGGAAATGGTAAATTCCATTATTCTGGGTTGATGCAAATCGCAGTCAAAACAACAAACGCTGTAAACATGGATACGATGAACAAGTCGATGTAGGAATGGAATGCAAGTTGCTGGAGAGTATTGAGCAAGCCGAATCGGAGATTGATGGATTGGTTTAAAATGGGGTAATGAACTGATGTTTGAAACGATTTACAACGATATGTCCATGATCTTGAAGCAACAGTTGCAGTTCTAATGGAATATTTTGTTGGTAGTATTCATCTTTAAATGTAGGCATATTGGTATCCAGCAACAATGGGAAATGTGTAATATTACAACTGTAATGTCTGGACAACTGACTGTCTGAATAACAGTAACTATTTCCAGTGATGCTGATTTGTAAAAACTCGAATTATTCAACAACACTCTATCAATGCATTTGAAAAAGTGATTGTACAGAATATTCGTGTTGGTTTAGCATCTTTTTACGAATGGCAAACTTCAAATTATACCAAAAGGTTGGATCAATCCAGAGATATGGCCAAGTTATTGGATACAATGGAGGCAGATAAAGACTGGGCAATTTTTAGAGCAAGCAACTGTGATCGATTTATTGACCAAGACAATGTGCCCTTGGTTGATCCTGCAAACATCATCTATGACGGATGTGACGATCTTGCCATTCGCGTTGTTCGACAAGGATCGCTACTGCGCAAAGAAGGTGTGTTTAAACGATCCTATCGGCCCGTCAATGCTGTCCTGTCCACTTCTGGATATCTGCATACTCTGCCACCACTTTCATCAACACCCATAGGAGCTACGCATTCTGACACTTCATCTGCAGGCGGTCCATTTTCTCCTACTGGCAACAAACCGGACTTTTCGGCTGATTCCATACTTGAAATGCCTGAGCTGACGCTTGATTTGGCAGAATACACCTTGCTTCCACTTAATCTTGGCGATAAAGATCACAAAGACATTGTTTTTGTTGAGAAAAACTCGGGTATGTTTGGACGAGATATCAAACACAAATTCAAGGGGAAAACCATGGTTGAAAGTGCGTATTGGTGGACTGCAATCAATGAACATATGAAACAGATGGGAACACGGACTTCAGTTGGAACACCCACTACACAGCACTCAAAACCAGCTTTTTCTGGTACTGCTCCTTTACCAAAAGAAGGTGCAGATGGATCGACTGGACTTTCTCAACGCGCTGCTGCATCTGTAGCTACTGCGAATGCTCCATCGACGTCACTTCAAGCTCGATTGGGAGCCGTTGTAAGTCATAGCAAATCCGATACGATTCATGCTACTTCTGGTACACGACCAGTGAGTATGCCTGCACCACCTCTACCTGGTCGACCCAAAAGTACTATTGTACCTACATTGAGACCCAAATCTGGATCGCTTATCGACGAATCATTTGATGATTTGCCTAGTAGGAGAGATTCGTTATCACCTCCGATTTCTTTTACAACTACTTCAAATGATCAAATTCCTACACCTGCTCATGTAGCTGATTTTGCTTCATTTCCACCTCCCGACACGAGTGACAAGACCGAGGTGGGCAATGTATCTACTTTATCATTAAGTGAACAAATGGAAATGAAATTAAGCCATGCTACAAGTGGTGGTCATTCTCATGATGATCCGGTTGAACTGGACACGCCATCACCCAAAGCAAAACTAGCTAGTCTATCTACCGGAACCAGCAATCCATGGGACACATTTCAAGACGAATCGGGTGGTTGGTAATGTCGTATATGGAACTCGTCAATTCTCTACAAGGCTTATTGTGGCATCTGCCATGTTTATTCAACTATTAAAACCTTATTTACCAAGATAATTTGTTTTTTAAACTTGAAAGCTATCCAATGGAAATTAAAGGTAGAACATACAATAGCTCAATTATTTTATTGATTTGGAAAAAATAGCAATGATTGTTGTATTCGGTAGTATAGCAATACTCTCCAAAAAGTAGCAACATAAAATACGGAATAGCAATATCAAAACAGGTGGTGAATATAAAAATGGTAGGGTACGGGAAACACTCTATTTTCGAGGAGGCAATGGAGGCTGTTGGCTAGATGTTCCAGTGGAAGTATTGGGCACGAAACTGGCAGCAGCAGCAATACCAACGGTTTCATAAACCTGACCCAAGATCCGCAAAGCATCAGCACGTCGTTTACGTAACTCGGTCGACACACCAGGTGCATCTCCGAGAGCATCGTCGCATACATCGCGTAGCACAGATTCAACTTCTAATTTGGATCCTCTCCACAAAGCTTCTAGTCCCTTTGTTGCCGCTTCATATTCCAACTGCGTGCGGAGTTCTTGCTCCTGGGGTGTCAGTTCGACTTTGACATCCTCATCAACAGTCTTTTCACCTCCTTCACCTGTTTTTTTTGTTTTTTTATCCATTTCTTGAAGTTTGGTGAATTTGCTTTGCAGATCTAGAGCCGTACGAAACGTCCCGACCGTCTCGTTTAAAATGTGAGTTTTTTCTTTGATAGCTCCGCTTACTCGAGACCCAAGTCCCCATACTCGATGCCATAGCACAGCACCCCCATCCTCTGCAGCAATTTTGGCAATCCACTGATCAGCTTTTAAAACATAGGTGAATCCAATCGCTCTCAACAATTCGGGTCCATAGCTTTCCAAAGCAAGTTGTTGAGCTTCGATAGTAGATAAAGCACGAAACGTGTCGAGTGATTCGTTTGCCAAGCTATTCAAAGAGATCCCCAAAGGTGGAGAAGAAGTAGGATCAGGAAATGGAAACGCATCAGTGTAAAGCGAAAGCTTGGCAACAAGATTATGCGACAGTTTCTGAATACGTTCTTTACGAATCAAACGACGTTGTTCGTACATCAATGCCGAGTCTTGTTTGGCTTGAGTGGTAGCATCTGTAGATGGTACTTCTGTTTCCGAGTTGATTGTAGAAGAGTTGGAGTCAGTGGTCAAGTCATTAGATTTGGATGGATCTTTTGCAGCCATGACGTCTTTAAAATCCCGAGCAATGGATATTTCACCAATGATGTCAACAAACATATCACCACCAAACTGTTGTCTGAAGAATTGTTCTGGATCGACAAACACAGATCCTTCAGAACCCACTGCAGCAGCCTTTCCATGAATATTATAAAATGAACGACGCTGTGGATCCGACAAGACTAAAATTTAAACATTAGTATAGTTTTTCTGGATACACATGAACCATCAAGTCTGTACCTTGATAAGCTTCAGATATTTGTTTAAACATTTCTTCAGCCAATGGATTGTCCAAGTTTTTATCAGGATGACACTTCATAGCCTTGAGATAATACGCCTTTTTGATGACAGCACTAGACGCCGTAGCAGGAATCTCCAACAAATCATAATATTCCATATCGATTGGATGGTCATCTAAATCAATCATGAAATTAGAAGGCAAGAATCATCCTTTTTCAAAGGTTTTACAATTACCTGAGCCGGTTTTTCCAAGAGTAGTTTTTGGTCTGCGACTGGAAGCATTGTTGGTAGATTGGTCCGAGGCATTTGTAGTTTTTTTAGCAGAAACAGATGGAGTCTGTTGAACAGCAGAAGTTGGAATAGAACAAGTCTCTCTACAAGAAAATCAAACCACTCTATAAACAGAAAAGGCATAAGCTGGAGTGACAGGAAGATAGAATTCAATGACTACAGAACAGTTTGGACACTTTGCAGTGACAGAAGGCTTTGGTCTCCTCGATTCAATAACAGGAATATGAGTTGAATCGCTCATGTTATCAACAACCAAATCTCAGCAAATGCAAAATGGAACACTTGTGTTGGGTTGCGATTTCCTTGATTTTATTGGAATAAAAATAAATCGAATATTCTTGTTGAAAATTGACTTGATTGATATTGTTGGAATTGCAGGCTTACAAACTCATTTTTATTAGAATGTCAGCAAGAGTTGTTGCACAATACAAAACTGCATTTCGCGATATTATTGTTGAACGGTTTAAACCAGATTCAATAGTAAATGTGTCGTTTTGTTGATTCAAAAATGTATATTTCGTAAATGAAACTCATCTTCAATTGTCTGATTTACAAGTTGGTTTTGGAATACTTGAAATAGTACCGCAGTATGTATTGAACAGTGGAAAATGTAAAAAACAATAGTAGTATAGATAGGGCACTGAATGATACTACTTTTCTTGGTAGATGATCTCTGCTAAAAGTTGTTCAAAGTGTCTGGAGTTGATCTCGCCTGTGACAGGTGATTTATGCTAAAATGCTATGAACAATCAATGCCAAATATAATGGTCAAGACTCGGTGCTTTATTCATACAAATAATTGTCTAATTCATTCCAACCCAAATGTACTATCTCAAGTACTTTCAATCAGACTAAGGAGCAAGTTTGTTTCTTCCATTCGAGCAGCAGGGGAGCAATTTCGTGTAGAGAAGCCAAAGTCAATGATATATGGATTCCCAGATTCATCAATCAAGATATTCTCCTTTTTGATATCGTTATGTAGAATACCGGCCTCGTGAATGCTTTCGAGTGTTTCCAACAACTTCTGCTTTTGCTGTTCAGTGAATCCATTGGCCACCGTACCACAGATAGAAACACCTACACAGTACAGAACGTCCTCCACAAACCCATGACAAACGAATCTAGGTATGCCATTCCCTTGTAGCCCCGATAGCTGTTCATACACAGAAACCTCATTCAGCAATTCTGGAAGCATTTCTCCGTGCTTGGCAATATCAGCAACCTTGAGAGCAATACGGCTAGATCCATAGTAATCCAAATACACTTTGCTTCTTCCTTCACCAAGAACTGTATCGAATTTGAAATCATCAACATCAAAATCTTGGGGTTGCTCGTTGATTTGAATTCCAGACGACAAAGAACTGCATCCTCTGGAGAGACTAGCACGCGGAGATACTCTAGTACTACTTGGTCGAGAGATTTGGGTAGCAGAACTAGCTCTAGACGGACGCTTTGATGCGTGGGGAGAATCCATATGATTGTGATTGACGATGCTGTTGAAATACGATAAGCATTGTTGAACAGTGGGTGTTTGAGCAGTAAAGGAGATTCCCTCGGAAACATACAAAGTTTCATGAACTTGAGGTTCTTCACAAACGGCACATTCTTGATTTCGATGAACAAACCAGGTGTTTTCGTATGACGACAGAATCCCATATTGTCTGTGGTTCAATCGCATATAGTGGTAGAGTTGGTCAAGAGCAGACGCACGTGTCCTTTCTGTGTCGTATGAATTGACGATATCACCAGTAGACAAAGCCCAATTGCCCTTTTCTTCAACAATAGTGACAACCTCTCCATCTCTAGTCATTAAATGATCTGGTTCCCCTACGCAGCTTGTGATTTGACGTCGTGCCTTGAATTCAGAAGGAGGAATGAAACACTTGGCAGAGATATTGAGCAAATTGAGCTTGATGAAGGGTTGAAGACTTTGAACTTCTTCGGTGATGATAATTCCAGAAACAAACACAGGTCTTTGTACTCTTTGAGAATGCTGATGATGATTAGCACCAATCCAATCAACAACGCTTTGCTTAAAATCAGACCACAGGAAAACATGTGTCGGCTTCTTCCAAATTCTGCCAGAGGTGTTGGGTCTTGACACAGGATTGTCATACACCGGTTCAGGAAGAGACCAAACCATATGCTCGTCCATAGTGATAGTATCTCTTAGAGAGCGAATAATCAGTGGATTGGACCCAACAGTCCCATTTGTTCCGAGAGCAGAAATGGGGTCCCAGGAGTTGTAGTTGGTCTCCACCCCATTGACCACATAATGAATGGTGAGCTCGTCAGGGTCTATAGCACCAAGGAGGGGAGTGGCAGCAGTCTTGTAAGCAGCAACCAAGTCACCAACGTCAGTCAGTGGTCTTCTTCTTTCTAGTTCTCCATTGAAGTGAGTTTCGATTTCCACTGGCTGGTAGTCCAGATATTTAATGTAAAACCTTTCATTTTCCATTGGAGTTTACTGGAGAGAAATGAAAGAATTGAATGGAATAGAATAAGAATGTAATAGAATGGAATGAAAAAAAGAAAAGAAAAAATCCGACTTTAAATCCAAAACTCGATATCATGTGAATAATGTGAGACAAATTCACACATTTTGAATAGTGTTTAAACATTTGTCATGTGTTTATTTGTATTGTTCAATCGAGTGTCAACTCAACTCAATAATTGATTACGTCATTCATATAATGACTCGAGTCTTTTATTCAACATTTTAATATTCAATTATTGTTAATCAGTCAATTGTTGGATTAGTAAATATGTTACAAAACATTCATTTACATTCTGAATCTGACAAGTGGATAATGATTGTTCCAATCAACACATGGATTGAATTGACTGCAATATTGTCATTGATCTCAGTCACTGTTGACCAATACATTGTAATACATTGACAGTCTCGACATCAACATTGTCATTCATGTCAAGTTGTGCGTAGTTGCTAATATTACACCACAACAATACTGACAACTTTCAATTCCTGTGATACACCGTTTCAACTATAACCGGATCGATGTTGATCACTTGTCAATACACGGGTCAGTTGTATAATCGTACAACTGTTGGTTAACCAATGTTTGACTGTCAATATTTGAATCATGAATATTGTCCAACATAATCGTCACTAACATTGTCGTTTGATTGCCTTGTTCTATGAATAATCATTGTAATGTCATTTGTTCAGTTGTTGTTGGTTTATTGAAACCATGTCACAATTCTTGATATATTGCACATGATCTTGTAATTGTTGGTGTTGTCTGTAGTGATTCTGTCAATGTATACGAATGGCACTTGTTGCTAATTGGTAGTTGTTTATGATTGATACACAACCGATCAGGTTTGGTGACCATTCTATGCACATATATATTTGACATTATATTGGACTGTTATGTTGTTTGATCCAATAGTAGTATATGCCAGTCATACTATAATACTACAGGTTTGCTGCAATATCCATACAACCTATATCCAAAACTGCACAAATACTGTCATTCAAGATTGATGAGTATGCAATCACAAATGAATCCAACGCATTTTTGCTGTATATAGTTGTATTGAGTGTCGTGTCTGTTGGCTTGTCTGTTGACTTGACTAGATCTGATATTACACGGGCTATTCAACAATTGTATTGAATTCCGGTTAGTATCGAGTCGTTTGAGTCGTTCAAGTAGTCAAGTTGCTTGGTTTGCAATGTGTTGTGTCCAAGAATCACTTGCAATCAAACCATCACCAAACCACAAGTCAATAACACCAAATGATATATGACTGGTTATATTAACACATTGCAAACACTCGACGAATTAGCCATGAATCATGTTCAATCATCAATCGCGAATATTGTCAAAGTGTGTATTCCTGGTTTAGTTGATGATGATTCGAGTATGCGGTATTCGTCACAGTTTGATTTGGTCCAAACAGGTTTTGTAATGGTTTCAACAATATCTGATGAATGACATGCTACAATCGCAGTATATTGATATTACCGCATGATACAACTGTTTGGTTGATCAAACGACTCGAATGTTGATGGATTATTATGCCAATCGACTGTTTTGATCCGATATCACCATACTTGACATACCAACACATGCGACATATGATGGAGTGTGTAATTGCAGTTTGATTGATTCAATGTTGTGTTACGACATGTGTTACAACATCAGTCACCATGTGTAATATAGTTTGTATATCCAACAACACATTAGAGTGATTGATTGTCGTTCCGATCGATCGAATGTCAATATGTTTGTACAACAGTTTGGTACAACTGACTGTCTGTGGATTATTATCACACGAGTCAATGCTGACCTGATTTGGGATATTCAGTGTTGTTGGAATATCAACACAACATCAACACCAAACATCAGATCGACACTGCACGTTGATGTTGACGAATGCAACAATGGCTATTGAAACAATACATCATAATGCGTACAAGTCGCAGATTGCAGTTCAGACTCAATGCAAAATACACATTGTTACAGTTTGGTCATGAACAAAGCGATACACACAATGTGCAGTTCATGTCTACGACTCGACTGATTGGTAGACAACGACCATTTGCATTGTTGAACAGTAAACTGATCAGTAAATGACCATCAAACGCATGGCTTGGTATCGACATTCAAGCAATCACCATGATTGTAATATTTGCAAGTTGTCCACAAGTTGTTTACAAACGACCATCAATTGACAATGACATGCATGTGCATGTGCATAGTTGACTATACAATACACTACATGAACCAATATTGCTGACTGAATACAGGTCACAACTGCGAGTATCCATGTGATAATGGACTGACATTGGTGTTGATACCCAATTGATTGGCTAATCGATCATCATCAATTGCATCAGTGATTGGTATATGCAACTGATATACACCATGTCCGAGTTTGATACATGTCGATATATGCGTGTCAATCAGCAATACAGATTTGTGGCCATTACAGTCGAATGTGAGTCGAGTCGATCATTAAACCAACGAATCAATGATTGCATTCTAATTGACCAATATCGAACCGGTTGATGGCACAATCTACATCCAACTTTGAACAAGTGTATTGCTCCGTTTGTTGTACAATAAACGACATGATCAGTTGATGGTATCATGCAACTGACAAGTGATTGCAAGTGCGATTGGTAGTTACAAATAGCACTGGTTGTTATCCGGTCATTAATGTATATGGAACAAGCCGTGTCAATGTATCAATCAACAATCCAGTAACTGTTGATGTAATACCCAACACAATATACAATCAATGATATGGTTGTTGGCCCATTCACAATACTCGATAAATACCAACATATCAGAAAGCTTAAATTTATTCAAAATCAAAATTGAATTCATCGACACATCACCAATCTGAATCTTGAAATTCTAAACCACGCCTTTTCATAAACCTTTTCAATTGTTTTCTTAAATCCCACACTTTTCTTCTTGCCGTTGCATACTCTTTTTTTAGCTGCTTTTCAGTGTTTGGATCGTGCCTTGATCCTGATATTTCTTCTCCTCTTGTTAATGCTGACCATTGTTCGAGTCTAAGAGCTTCATAATCGCAATATTTTTTGAGTTTTTTCTCTCGTATTTCTTTAAATGCTACAAGCCTTTTCTTTAGATTACCAAGGGTTCTCTGATATCTTTCACTTAATCTAATCACTTGATTTGAAACAGTATTGGAGGACGCGCTTTGTACCATTGGTCGTTGTTGGTCTTGTCTGGAAGTACCTGAACTGGATTGATCAATTGGTTGTTGTTGATCTTGACCGAAAATGCTTAAATCAAATTCATCCATTGCTTCTTGCTGATATTCATCAAAAGTGGCTGGATTAGGTTCACTGGTTGGACCAGACACTTGACTCGAAGTGCTTGATGCTTGGAGTGAGCCATCGTTGTCAGTTGGAATCAATATTGCATTGGCGGTTGCTGCCGTGGTCAGTACAAATAGAATATCAACCAATTTCATCAGATTGGTCAATAGGTTTAAACAATAGTACAAAAGTAGAGTGTTGAGACTGATGTCGATTAAAAAACTGAACTCAATCGATTGTATTTGTATTTTTATATAGCAAACCAACCCTAACCCTTTTAGATTAACCGACTATACAGGGTTACTTGATTGCTTGTAGCGGTTTACTATCAAACAATAGTATGCTGCTCCCTATCCACAATATCATATTGATCAATTTGATGATCATGTCGATTGAATTATGCTTTTACGACCCTTTGATCAGGTATATTGAAAAGCACACCCTTCAAGAGTGTTGTGTAACCGCAAACGCTTTGTTTTACAACCATACTCATGTCAAATGGATCACTCCAGTATTCATCCTGCAATGACTGTGTTATTCATTGCAGCATACAATGATTACTACACATTGACTAAACTGTGTGTTTGATATACAACAACCATCATATGACACACAATCAGACTATAGTGTTGAATCTACACTTTGTGCACTCTTAGTAATCATACATTGTACGATCACCAAGTTTGAACCCATATTCATGTATTGTGTTTGACTGTCAATGTTTTCAATACAACTCTATACACATTTGTTGTATTCTGAATCACGGATACGATCACGATCTAGTTCAACAACAATGATAATGGCACATGTCAGTAATGCAACTGTTTATCACACACCAACACTGTTATTTAGTGATCCATTTATGTCAATATGGCTGCAAATTGTCGTTATATGACGTATTCTGGACATGATTTTAATATTGCACATCCAGTTCCATCACATTGTTGCTGACCCATCATTGTAATGCTGTATGTCCCCATAATCATGGACATGGACATGAGCATGTGGTTTCACGTATAATATTACAACCACGCATGTCGTTGGTTGAATCATCACTACTAGTGTATACTACACTACACTACATGTATGTTGACATGTGGTGCACCAATTTGATTGCATTGCTACAATGTGGCATGCTCCAACCTGTTTGAATGACTGTTGTGCAACATATTGATATTGTACACATGTGATACTGGCCACTAACAAAGTGATCAGCGGTATTCGATCGTATCATTCAATCACTGACTGCCAATACTTCAATTATGAATATTATCCACCATTTCATGACACCATCTGATACATTCAGTGCACAGTAGCTGATTGGTGCAATATGATCAATTCAAGCATACTATTACACTGGAAATGGTGGTGACAATGCAAGGTGTTTATTGGACAAACATGACTGAATGCTTACATGACAAATGCAAATTGACAGTATAAATCATATATACACACTGCAGTATAGCATACTCTAAACGAGGTTGTTGATAGCGTGATTCCAGTTTTACAATGAAATTGAATTACCAAACAGTCGAGTGTCCAAACATTGATTTACTATACACTTTTAGTTATGGTGGTTTGCGTAGAAATGTTCAAGTATGCCTTCTATATCCAATGAACCTCAGCATCTGTCGTTTGAATCTATTAAACCTTGATTCTGGTGGAAGAAGTTGAATATCATATTCTTGCAGTACACTAGATTCACTTGAATATCTAGCAATTTTAGTCATTGGTACAAAGTGCACTTTAGCTTCCCTTGAACCAGCATCGTGACTTGACTTTTGCTGATGTTTTTTAGAATGATCGTGTTTTGAGCCGTGGGGTTTAAAAGTGGATCCGGGTTTCAAGATGGATTTTAATTCTGGAGTAGGTTCAGATACAACTCTGATCGACTCTTCTTCGAGAGGTTCAAGAGCCAACTTGCGACACACCCATAATCTTCCTAGTTTCAGTTTCCTGAATTTCTTTTTATCAGATGAGCTCATTCTACGCCCACGTATCCTTCGTTTAGTTTCTAGTATTCTTTCCTTTGCCTTGGTGCTCATTTTGTGCGGATATCCGTCTCCAATATCAGTTGGAATTTCCATACCCATATTCCTCATTATTTTTTCGACTCTATCCAGCCTTTGCTGATGTGTGAGAATGGGCCGTTCATTCTCTGGGATATAGTTTTTAGGAAGATGGCAGACGTCGTCATATAGTGTGTTGTCAAATATATCATCGTCTGACTGTTTGGACTCAGAGTATGACAGTGATTCATCGGACTGTTCAACAGAACTGTCTGAATCATCGGGATCTACAGTCGACTGAGCTACATCATAATTGGTTTCAATAGATTGTTGCTCTGTTCCAGTTGAAGCGCAAATACCAGCGTGTTGCTGCATGTGTGTTGAACATTCTTTTACAGGTTCTGATTCGCTGGCAGACGGACAATCAATGACTACTGCACTGACTGTCACCGACAATAGCAACAACACAATAGTCGATATGAATTTCATCCTGTTGACGAGAATGAATGTGATAAAGCTTGTTGATTAGTAGGTCAATTCTTGGTAATGAATGAGCCAGTTGTGGATATGAACCATACTTTTATAGCGATTAAATATATAATCAAGACATACGGGTTATACAAGCTTACGCAGCAACAACTCGACCGCCATTTAGGTATATGTAGCACAGATACTCATGTGTAGGCTGTTTTATGCACAACTCTTCAGCCATTGAATGAAACATGACTCATAGTCAAGGGCTGCTAACCCTGACCCATATACTAAAGAATATGTCAAGATCGATTGGCATAGTCAGTCAGTTTCAAGTTACGGTCAGTATAGAGTAACGGTTTATCCACACAACAGCTGGTCAAATATTAGTGGTAAAATCCTTCAAACGGCTCTGCCTCAACACTTGATCTAGTGATATGATACTGTGTTGCAGTCCTGTTCAATGCAGTATGGATTGATGGTCATATCAGCAGTATCAATACTTTATGCCAACTGTAATACTTTCAATACGCAAACTCAAAGTATTGCCAATGATTAGAAAAGCTTCAACAGAACTCTTGAACTGTCAATTGTCATGCTATCAATAGTATGAACATCCGACTCAATACTGTACATGACTGGTTGTCAAGAGTCTTGCAGCGTTTACTTGACAAACTGGATTCCTGTTTCGATTATACAAACATGACATCAAACACATGTCCACTTTGGAACAAGACGTTGAGTTGAATGTCCAGCAATATACAAAAATATACAAAAACAGCACGAATTGAATATCAAAACTCGATTACTAACAATTTCAAATCTACAGAAACGAATACGACAACTTGCAGTCTAGTCATGTAAACGGAACACTAACAGTGTTGGTGTGTAATAAACAGTCAGTGTCATGGACTGGTTGACAATACAGTGGTGTTGTTGGTGATGATTGGCATGCAAACAACAGTTGCATTACTGACATGTGCCATGATTGTTGTTGAACTAGATTGCGATCGTATTTGTGATTCAGAATACAACAAATGTGTGTACAGAGTTGTATTGACAACATTGACAGTCCAACACAATACATGAATGTGGGTTCAAACTTGGTGACCATACAATGTATGACTACCAAATGTGTCGAGTATCCATGCGGGATACTAAATGGTAATATGTGATGATCCAAGGGACTCGTATCACCAATGTTTGTGTGCCATAATTCCACTATTTGACTTGGTAAACAATAGGAATTACACATATTGATCAATTTACTTTTCTGATTGCTCATCATACATTCTACTTGTTTGTGTCACCAAGATACAAACAATCAATTACTACAAGACTGACTATAACTCATATTTATTAATAAATGACTCTTTCAACCATTTCAACATATTATTGTTTTATTACATATTTTCATTATCATTGAAAACCCCAAATCTGCTGATCCTGAATTATTGTGCAACTCCCATTACACTTTTGATTTGTTATTTTCTGTCAACTACTAACAGTTACAGATCATACACACACTCCATTTAAATTAATATAAATCAGATTACACAAAACTCCAACAGAGTTGTTGGTTGTTGATGGGCAAGTTGGATATAAAGTTGTTTTCAATCAATCCGTTGACAGTCATGAGAGCATACTTTGATTTGTATGTATGCAATACTGCTGTCATCTTGTGTATGATGTTTTGTATTCCTACAAACGCATTCCATTTCCAGCTGTTTTTTGCAGACATTTGATGTTGTCTAGCATGTTAAAGAATTTAGGTGTATCGAAAAAGTAGAATATACAAGATATACAAAAATTACCGAGTCTTTCAACAAGTAATAATATAATATGCTGCTATATAAAATATTGGTAACGCTGGGTCTTTTGAAAAGTAAGAGTAGTGGTATTGAAACATAAGGGAGATAATGAGGAAATGATAAATTAGGGTGTGTCCAATGCAAGTACTAATGCTTGCTTGTTAAGGGTTGAAGCTTAGATATCTTGCTTGGATATTACAACAGATACACACTAACCATTCAAACTATACGTAAACGGTCAATGTCTGATTGCTTCAACATAACAATGAGGATGTAAAATGTAGTACAGAAATAGACGACTAAATTACATTTATTCCAACGGATTTAGCACTCTTGTTCAAGTAAACCGGTATCATCCGATATTCATTATACACTACTTGTACGTTGAATCATGCCAATCACTTGCTATTTTAACAAGCATGGAATATCACAACAATATTGATGACCAATTAATAGCCGAGTGTCAACTCATTCCAGTTTTGGTTTATACTCATTTCTTAACCCTAACCCTTGACCATAGCCATTTTAGGGTGGGACTGCATAGCCAACCATATGATATTCGAATGTATGGTCAGATAGCAGCTCAGCCAAGGTTACAGGTCAACATATAAAGGGAGACTCTTCAAAGTTTGGCATTGACAACAAATCACCATTCAACCCTGACAGTAATACTAACCCTTAAAACGACCATTCAAGGAATATGCTTTTAATATCATTTATTCAATAATGGATATAAATACAGTTCAAAAACCGACTTGTTGAATGACATTACAACTTGCTCAATCAAACCAGTAGAATGAAACTCGCAGTTGCTGTATTGTCATCGATCCTGTTTGTTTGTTCAGCTACTACAGCCAGCCCAGTCAATCCCAGTGCAGCTAAAAATACTGGAGCTAGCACTTCAGCCGACACTTCCAGTACAAACGGTATAGGCATAGATAATCTTAGTCCAATTCCAGATGAGATCAAGTATTTGCTCAAAAAACACATACTGATACAGGATGCTCGTAATCAGCAAGAAAAAATGTATGGCCCGTTAAAATCTCGATACGACAGTCGATATCAAGTGCTAATGGGCTACGAAAAAGATCTTGAAAATCTGAAAAGTGAAGCTCAAAAAGGCAATGGCAATCCAAAATATGGTAAAACTGAAAAGACTAAGCCTGATCTTGAAGCTCAAGATTCCAAATTTGGCAAACTTCGAAAAAGCCTTGATGATTGCCAGTCCGAGATTACTCGTCTTGTAGAAAAGGAATGGGAAAACGATAAACGGATTGTGAGTTTCGTTTTCGGAACCCCTCTGAATCTTGCATCAGTTGCTCACCAAACTTCGCTTATCAAAGAAAGGCCTTCTGTTAAAGATTATTTTGAAAAGCAATTATTAAAATACAAGAGTATTGGTAAAAAATCTAGTCGACGAAAGCATCGAAAATCTGGTGACCGACGAAAACATCGAAAATCTGATGGTCGACGAAAGCATCGAAAATCTGGTGGTCGACGAAAACGCAGAGATTTTGAATCATCGGACGAAGAATCATCAGAAGAGTCATCAGAAGAATCTGATGATTCATCCGATGAAGAATCTAGATATAAATCTAATCGGAAGAGTACTTTCAGTATGCGGAGAGCTTCCTCCAAGTTTATCACTAGATTTGGATCATCTTTTCAGCGATCCAGACGTGGCGGTCCATCCAATTGACTGGAATGTTAATCTGGACTTGTTTCAACCAATTCAATTGTATTTCTGGTTTAATTTACAATAAAATTGGATTTGCATGCATTATATTTGATCATTGTACACTGTCTTGGTTGGTATCATATCATAGTATGCATTAATGATGCTGACATGCATATGTGTACTGTGTCGATATGATATTGCTTGTCATGTCGTATTGACACATGCAACACCAATACCAACAATAGTAATGTGTTGATATCAGATCCGACCAATTTGACTGGTTTGACTGGTTGATTGTGGTGTCGATATGGTTGCATCAATAGCCTGACTGATCACACATATCAGTCGCAGTATCAACTTTGTCGTGTGTCAAATATCACATGTTGAATATACAATGCCAACAATATGGTCATTATGCACATGTTGATGTATCCAATGATCGTATACTGGTCGATTGGTGCGATATGATCACACATACTAATGGAATGTGATAATCATATACTTGCAGCAGTATACCATATTGCACTGATCCAATACATGCACGGCTTGAACATATCACACAATCAAACATGAATACACCACATTAAAAATACGTATAGTATCAGTTTGTCACTAATGAATTGTATTCAGTCGAGTTTATCGTGAGTCTGTTTGTGACTGTTGACAGTGTGGTGAGTTTTTTCAGACACGACTCTTTGATCAGTTGTAGTTGATGGTTTCCTTCTGCGAATAAATGTGCCATCTGAACCTGAAGTAGTTGGTTGTTCAGGCAATCTAACAGCATGCATCAAATTGGTGATCAATATATCAATCTACACATTCACACATCAATATCAAGCAGCTTACCGTGGTAATGGCCAGAGCACTCGATAACCGTTTGAAATAGTAGGATATCCATCAGTCGAGAGTTCGCATCCACATCCAGGACCAAACCCAGTGCGTTTATGTTTTCGATCAAATGTCAATTTAAGTCGAGTCATAAATGATACACCGAGAACTGCATGATCATTTGAACCAGCTTTTACAGCAAACGCAACTATAATCCAACATGTACATTAGTCAGGTTAATCAAACAACACACATTGCATACAATTGTCAAATACTTACATTTTTCAAAACCAACTCTCTGCATATAGTCTCTAGGACCCAATTTGATCTCTACAACGGAATCGCGATTGTCATCAGTTACGGGGTTTTCAGCAAACATTACAATTGAAAGCGTTGGCAGCTTGTCCCAACCAGTACGAAAGTATTTTTCAGACATTAGATAATGTTTCCAAAATATGTCTTCAATTTCTTTATCATTGAGCTTGCGCTCAAGCATATTATTGTTGATAGTGATCGCATTACTATCAAGAATAGCATCAACTAGCGTTTCCACGACTACTTTAGGAAAACGCATATATAAAAAGCATGTTTCCACAACAGAGTACAAAGTACGTCCATTTTTTCTTTTCTTTTTTTGGAATTCAGCAGGCAGATTCACTGGTTCGTCATTGACTAGTATATTCTTGATGTTGACACTAAAGTAACTGTTTGATGGCGATTGTACCCATGCAACACTTTTTCCATCCGTTCCACATTTTGGAGTTATATCCGTGTTTCCTATATTGATGAAACTTTCATGCAGAATATCATACGGACATAGTTGAAGACTAACCTCGTTATTGGGAATGACATCATCATTGTACAAACTATCCATCGCAGTGATTTGTGAATGTTGTTTTGACAACGAGGAATAGGCAAACCCAAATATTCCATCAAAATTTGGATCGATACCAACTAGATCTGGTGATTGTTTTTCAACTGCTATTACTGGTAAGTTGATGCCAGTTATCCTAGTACCCGGAATCGTCACATCGGCTGTGGAAGTAACTCCTTTATACTCTTTGCCTTTGTAATTTATAGCAACAGGTTCTCCACTTGTAATACTTTGTATAGCCAAACCTACATCGTTGCTTGAACTAGGAAGTGGTACCATTATATCAGAAACTGTTGAATCGACTCGTAAATTCAACTATTTTAAACAAGTGTGAGATTGATTCAACGTGGTACAAATTGATATCAAACTACAATGCATGACATGGCATGATACATACATTGACTCCATCAACATTGAACTTCATTGTGTAACATTTTATGATATCACCATCCAATTCAACGGGTGATCGTTTTGACAGTCTATTATTTGATGGACTGGCACTTTCAATTGGTGATTCTAATTCAAGTCGAACTGCAGCAACCGCTTGTAACGCAAGTATAACGCATTCTAGAGTAATCAACATTGTATCGAGTAGTGTGATGAAAGGCTTTGGATTTGATACATGACTGCTGTTTTATAATGACGGCAGTTTCAAGGGTGACAATCAACAATTTTCAAATGAACGACCACAAAAAGCCAAAGCACCATGTAGGGCGTACAAACCCAAAAACACCCTGTAGGGTGGATCAATATACAAGCATCACTGTTGGTGTTTAATCAACCTCGGTAGTATGCTGTGTTGATCTCTCCAATTGCGGTGATATATCTAATAATCAGGTAATGTCAGATTGTCACCCTGATTATGAATAGTTGTCATCACACATACAATCCATTATCACAGCATATACTGTTACTGTGTACCAAATATTTGACTGATTGTTCAATTGGTCATGTTTTGGATCACTCGGACACAACAGCATCAAACAACCTGTTGTTGCAGTATTTCAAAACCATGACTTTTCCGTTGGTATGACTGCACAATCATTTTAGGTCAATGTAGACTGTACACATCAAACATTGCTGATTGTGTCACAACATGATCAACATCAAACTCGGCAATCTGTCACTGCTACATCGAATGAGTGATGTTGTACTATAATTGAATTGGAGATTGGCAGGTCGTTCAACAAACTGGCCGTGTCAACAGGTCAGATTGTCATCGTGTACATGAACCATAATGGATGATCATGTCATTCAAATCAGCACACAATCTACTGATATATGCAAAACAACACCACCAATACAATACAAATCAAACCCGATCACAAACGTGGTGTTGAATCCAATGCATGCGAGTACTTTTTAAACACATGATACACACTGATGGCGATGGTTGCTGACAGTCACATTGCAGTGTACATGTCCAATAGTGTCCACTGTCATGTCGATTGTTGCTATCCGTGACATCCAACTGTACTTGTATTCACCAAATGTGCACAACATTAAAGACAATGCTGCAGTCTATTGTGCTACAAGTAACAAGTACATTCACCTTGAAACATTCAAACTGTAGATTGTGGACATCTGACGACATATCGATAGTTGTTATTATTGGAAAGTTTGTTACAGTAGATCAAAGATGTGAAGGAATGAACCAATGACTGATTGCGTTGTTTTATTAAGAGAGGAAAGAGAGTGTGTTTATATAGTGGATGAAACCAACAAAGCTATATGAATCCCAGTTCAAATGTCATTGAGAGTTTCTGATTATTATAAACTATTCAGAAATGCCTGCGATCACACACTACTAATGTCTCAAGTATCATGCAACTGGCAAGTGATTGCAAGTCCAACTGATAGTTACAATCAACACTGGTTGTTATCATGTCATTGATGTATATGGAACAAACTGTCAATGTATCAATCAACAATCCAGTAACTGTTGATGTAATACCCAACACAATATACAATCAATGATATGGTTGTTGGCCCATTCACAATACTCGACAAACATCAACACATCAGAAAGTTTAAATTTATTCAAAATCAAAATCATCGACACATCATCAATCCAAATTTAAACATGCCTTTTCATAAATCTTAGTTTTTGTCCTATATCGTTTACTTCTTTGCTTGCCTTTTCATAATCTTGTTTCAATTGCTTTTCAACCTCTGGATCGTACGTTGATCCAGATATATCTTGACCTGTTACTAATGCTATTCTTTGTCTGAATCCAATGACTTCATAACTAGTATAGGCTTGATATGTTTTCCTTTCCATCTGTTTAGCTTCTCTAAATTTCTCCTTTAGTTTAGTAATAATCTGAGATGCTTTTACCAAACTAGTCTTTCGATTTGAAACAGTCTTGACATCATCCATTGGTTGTTTCCGTACTCGTTTGAGAGTGCTTGGATCATCTCTATCCATTTGGCGTTTTCGACCCTGTTTAAAAGTATTTGGTCCAGGTTGGTCCATTAGTTGTTGCCGGCCTTGATTGGAACTACTTGGACTAGCTACATCAATTGTCTGTTGCTGGCCTTGGTTGGGAGTGTTTAAATTAATCTGATCAAATAGTTTTTTCCAGTCTTCATTAAAAGTACTTGAGCCGACTATATCCATTGGCTGTTGCCAGTCGTCGGAAGTGCCTGGACTGGGTTCATTAGTGGGGCCAGACACTTGGCTGGAGGTGCTTGATACTTTGGGTGAATCATCGTTATCAGTCGGGATCAGTATTGCATTAGCGGTTGCTGCTGCGCTCAGTACAAATAAAATATTGATCAGTCTCATCAGACTGGTCAATGGGTTTAAACAATTGATGGAAAAACTGAGCGCTGAAGCTGATGTCGATTATAAAACTGAATGTATTGTATTTGTATTCTTGTATAGCAAACCAACCCTAGCCCTTCTAGGTTAACCGACTATACAGGGTTATTTGATTGCTTGTAGTGAGCAACTATCAAACTAGACAATATAATTCTCCCTATTCATAATATCATATTGATGTTCATGTCGATTGGATGATGCTTTTACGACCCTTTGATCATCCAATACCTGAATGACTGACATTCCATCGTCATACTTGACCTGTAATTGACAATCTGATTTACCAGTTGTTTGTACAGCATTACACAATCATATTCGAATGCATAATCAAGCAGCGGCTAAATCAAACCTGCGGATTATCATATAAAGGGCCATTTAAAAATTTGACGCTGATAGCAAATCAACACCAACCCTGACAACACTGACAACACTGATTCCTAAAACGGTCACTCGATATGCTTTTAATCTGATACATTCAATAACGGATATAAATACAATCCAAAACCAGACTTGTTGAATGACATTACAACTTGCTCAACCAAATCAGTAAAATGAAACTTGCAGTTGCTGTATTGTCATCGATCTTGCTTGCTTGCTCGGTTACTACAGCCAACCCAGTCAATCCCAGTGCAGCTAAAAGTGCCGAATCTAGCACTTCAGCCGCCATTCCCACTGCAACTACAAGTACTGAATCTGAGTATCGGACAATTTCTTATGAAGAAGCTGCAAATTTAGTTGATCTTAGTCAACTTTCAGAGAGTGATGTAAGCTTAATCGAAGGATACCTACAAATGGATCGAGAACATGAAGAAATGGAGAAAGCGTGTGACTTGGCCGGATCTGAAAAACTTCATCAACAAGAGTTGATAAAACAGCTGAATAAGAAATATTCGACGCTGGTGCATAAATCTCAACACAACAATAATGATCCAGCGTATGAAGAAAAGGTTCAAAGTTTTAAACTGAAGCTTCAAGAAGAAAGAGAAAAGCTTGAAGAGCTTGAAAAAAAGTATCGGAAATTCAATCGCGACTTCCTTGTCTTTAGTTTGCAAACGTATGCAAACAAAGCAGAGCTTGCAGAGCGTTTTTTTGGAGATGATCTGGATATGGACTTACTTTATCTTTACGTGGAATTTCTGAAATTCAATCCCAGTTTTGTTGAAAATATCTACAAATCTCTCACTCTCCGACTAAACAAACAGCCAGGATCCGAGCAAGCCTCCACTAGTGGAACCCAGAGTTCATCACAACATCATGAAAGTCCATCATCAAGTAAAACATCTACAGTCCAACCCACTCAAACATCATCCAGTACACAAGGGTTTTTTTCTAGTTTATGGGAAACTTTTTTCGGATCTTCTCGTACACAGGACACTCCCAAATCTAAAAATGAGCCCAACCCATTTTCGAATCCGTCCAACCCTGATGATTCAGATGACTCATTTGATTGATCGGAATGTCAATCTGGACTGATTTCAACCGTGTTTATTGTATTTTTGTTTGAATAAAATACAACCACCACTTGATATTGGATGTGCACGCATTATATCTGATCATTGTACACTGTCTTGATTGGCATGATATCATAGTGTACATTGACATTTGTATTTCCAATACAATACAGTTGATTGTATATTGCATAGTTGTACACATTGATGATGCTGGCATGCATGTGTGTATTGTGTCAATATGATATTGCTTGTCATGTCGTATTGACACATGCAACACCAATACCAACAATAGTCATGTGTGTTGATATCAGATCCGACCAATTTGACTGATTTGACTCGCTGATTGTGGTATCAAAATGGTTGCATCAATAGCTTGACTGATCACACACTCAGTCGCAGTATCAACTCTGTCGTGTGTCAAATATCGCATGTTGATGTATGCAGTGATCGTATACTGGTTGATTGGTGCAATATGATCACACCAATGGAATGTGATAATCATGATATTTGCAGCAGTATACTATATTACAATTGTTGATATCGCGCATCCAGTGTCGACATGATCATCCAGATACACAGTGATGGATTCCAACAATGCATACCATGACTGAGCTATGCATGATCATCGTGTATCAAACAACTACAATACACACTGGACTGATCCAATACATGCACAACTTGAACATATCACACAATCAAACATGGACACACCACATTAAAATGTTTGTTTCTACTGTTGCTCTTGTTCTTGCTCTTGCCACCTCTGCAGTTTTTGCAGTTCCAACCATTCCGTCCACACAAGATGCCGTTGACGATCTTCCATTCTACTTTCCCAAATCCACTTACCAGCAGATTCCTTATGAACATTCATCCAGCCTCATGGCTTCGTCCAGTGCTGATCCAGTCAAAACTGGTGTTGCGTATCTCTGTGACAAACTCAATCTCACACCTAACGAGTTCAAGGTTTACAATAATTTCACAGACGGCGCAGGTGTAACACACATATATGGTGCACACATGGTTAATAATGCACGTGTAGCCAATCACCAAGCCGCAGTCCATATCCAGGACGGCCAGATTGTCTCGTACTCTGCTTCGTTTGGTACTGAAAGCCATTTTGCCAAAAGTGAGCTTTCAATTGCGGAACCCAAAACCAAACTGACGTTTGAGCAGGTTGCTGATATTGTGTCCAAGGCCAAGGGCTTGCTCGTTCATACCGAGTTTGATTACGAATTGGAGTATGTTCAACAAGGAGATGGCACGCTTGTGTATGCTTACAAATTTCAGCTTCGCGACAAGGATGTTAATTCTTGGATCCAAGTCTGGGCCGATGCTAACACTGGTATGGTATTTTGGGTTCAGGTATTGATTTTTGTGGAATCAGCACTAATCTGAATGTAAATGGATTGATACTAGGCAAACTGATCCAGGCTGTTGATTTCGCCCATCGTGCAACATACAAGGCTATCCAAGTTCCTGGTTTCAATCCCAATGACGGTGGGTTTTCAGACATCAAAGATCCAGAATACAAACCATCGTCGCCCAACGGATGGACAAACGGAACTGCCACTCAGGGTAACAACGTTAATGCTGTCGACTTTACAAAATCACCGCCAGCTCCAGGAACCGGCATTGATGGTGTGTTTGACACTAAATTCAATCCAGAAGCTGATCCCAACGATCCAGACAACATGCAGGCAGCTGCTGTAAATTTGTTTTATATTGGCAACCTGATGCACGATATCACATACCAGTATGGTTTCACCGAGGCTGCAGGTAATTTCCAAAATGACAACTTTGAAAAGGGCGGTAAAGGCGGTGATGCTATCAGTATTAGCATTCTGGACTCGTCGAGTGCCAACGATGCTGTATTCCTGACACCTTCTGATGGCCAGCCTGGTAAAATGAAAATGTTCCGATTTACCCGCGTCAAGCCTAACCGCAGTGGTGGTTTGGACAATCAAGTTCCTTTGCACGAATATGGTCATGGTGTTTCGACTCGTTTGACAGGTGGATCTTTGGCGCCTTTGTGCATGTCGGGCCATGAAACTAGAGGTATGAGCGAAGGTTGGTCCGACATATTTGCCATGATCGTGACTGCCAAAGAATCCGACTAAGCCGACACGCCAGTTATCCTTGGAGCGTATGTTATTAATAAACCCGAAGGTATTCGCTCGCATCCTTACACTACGGACATGAAAATCAACCCTTTGACATATGGCGACCTTAAAACCCGCACAGAGCTGCACGAGGCTGGTGAGGTGTGGGCAACCATGCTTTGGGAAGTTTACTGGAACTTGGTCACCAAGAGTGGATTTTCTACCAATCTCTACGATGCCAAGGGCAAGGCTGGCAACATTGTTGCTATGCAGAATGTGATGGGTGGATTGATGCATCAGCCATGCAGTCCTAGCTTGGTCAATGCTCGTGATGCCATTATTGCGTCCGATGCAGCCTATTATAATGGGGCCAACAAGTGCGAGATTTGGAAGGGATTCGCCAAACGTGGTCTGGGAGTAAATGCAGCAGATTACACAAACGATTTCTCTGTTCCAGCAGAATGTAGTAGCGGTTCACCTCCACCTTTGACCACTACTCGTGGTCCTAAACCTACTTCTGGATGCACTCGCATGGACATTTGCTGCATCTATGTTGGAAAAAGCTGTGACCAAGACTAAATGCTCAAGTTTAGTAATGGCTTTTACAATTTATTAAATGAAAGTATATTGTAAAAATGTAAACAGTTTGTATTGGTATTGGTAATGATTATTTGGTTAGTGTTAATAGACTAATAGTATACTGTCATCTGGCAGTCAGTCTACACTTGCAGGCACGACACTATCATTCGTGTAGTGCAAGTTGGTTTACAGTTTATTAAAAACAAGCTGATTTTTACAAATGATCGATATTGATTCATGTCAGTTAAACATCACTATTCAAACACATACAACAATCTTGTTCGAATCTAACATTGTATTATTTATTGAGATTGAAATTAATGTAGTTACTTGGACTTGACATCTGTTACTTTCCCATCATTTTTCCAAAAGAGCTAGAAAACTGCGCTCTCTTTTGTGCTATGACCTGAGCTCTGGCAGCTTGCTTTTCCTTCAAACGCTGCATTCTGGTATCGTACTTTTTATCTATGCGCTCATGTCTGGCAGCTCTAGCAGCTTTCTTTTGAGCCTTTGTCGCACTTGGCGTACCTTTTGGTTTTCCTTTAAATGCTCCTCTTATACGACTCATTAATCCCTTTTTTCGTCCTTGGTTCTGATTCTCCGACTGTTTCCTCAACTTACGTGCCGCTTTTTGTTCCTGCTTCTCTTTTGCTTTTTGAACCATCCCCAAGCTTTTCTTTAACCCCGGGCTCATCCAATCTGGATCGTTTGGACTGAGTCCCGATCTGAGTTTCGCTCTTTTCGCATCTAAAGATTTTTGTAGTTTGTCCCGTTCCACTGTCATTCTTTCTATTTTCTCCAAGTTTTGCTGTCGTATTAAACGTCTCTGACTCAAACTGTCTGATTGACCTGAACCTCCAGGCATAGAATCACTATCCAGAACTTGTGGCATAGGCGAGCGAGCAAACATGTGCACATCTTGTTCTGGTAATTCCAATTCCAATGCACGACGCTGCAAGTTGGGGTTATCTTCTGGGCTATCAGAAGGAACAGCTGCAAGAGCCATGCTAGAAAACCCAAGAACAATACTCCATTGAACAAGTTTCATTATGCTGTATTATCTGGAATGTGTTAATCGGCTCTAGTGTATTGATTTCAGTGTCGGTATAGTTTTCAAAATGGGACTGCTTGCATGTTTTATACTCGACAAGGAGTAACAGTGGAGTGTGTTGTCAAAGCATTGTCCACATGGATAAACTATTTTAGTAATTACACGAAAGCTTTGTGGGTCACAAACTATATGAAAGGTTACAACACGCCTCACAATTGAACCGGACTGTGTCGTCCCATCTGTTTTATTCAAGTTTAGTAATCGAGTTTACACAGACTTGTATTTGACCAAAGGGCGGCTACCATTCACTGAATCCTGTACACTGACGGGCAACTCCAAGACCTGACTAGTATACCATTCTTAGTCAACATATGCTTTTTGTGTCTCTTGAAACATTGACATTCGACAACCAGAGCATATGGGATAAACTGATTGATTTTGGTGTGATATTGTCAAGGGATTTTCCTCCCTAAACTCAAGATTGGCTGCTTGCTACTAAACCACATCAGATCACAGGGATTGCTGAAAATAACATGGTCAGGATTAGGGTTGAATGAGTATGTCCTGATGTGATCCTATTGGTCATATAGGACATCACTCGAGCTTCGACAAGTAAAGTTGCATCAGATTGAATTGCATATTCGCCATGCATGATTTTATAGTTATACAAAGTCATTGTCTTGCCAATCAGTTTGCTTTGCATGTGCCAAACTTGGTGTGGTAGATATGCTAATATATAGTACTAGTATCAAAATCAATTGATAAGCATAATGGAGCAGGTTGGTTCAGGAAACAGTGTCTGATGGCTGTAGACTGGCAATGCTATCCAGAATCCATTTTCAACAGACTCCAAAACAATGTTTCGACTTTACAGCATCAATGAAACAATGGAATGCCAAATGGAGTATCAAATCAAATACCAAACGGAGACCAAAATAGATGAACTAGCCCAACAATCGGAATGAGATATGATGTAATACATGCAATAAATATACACATGGCTTGTAGCACAGGATCAGTGATTGATAAACCAATAATTGCATTCATTTCACATGTATTGAGCAAGTGGGGTAAAACAGATATGAATGGAGTGTATGAATCGCTCAAAACACATTTGGTTTATAAGTGCACCTGCACCTGCAATCGCAATCGCAATCAAGCACTTGGAGTCAAAAGTATTCAAAACAATATGCTAGATACTGCAGTTCAATTACCAGCAGTGTTCACTTTACAAATCCAACTCTATAATATATCATCAGACAACAGCCAGTAATATTTGCTACACCATCAACTCGATACATGCCGAGTATCCTGATTTAATCTCATCACAGGATTAGCATACATGACTTGGATTCACTACACTTGAACAAACCATTTCAATATTATCCAACACACTAGACTATTGACTGTCATTCAAAAAACCATATAAATCCTTGTATTTTTGTTTATTAAGATTTGTAAAGGATGAGCTTGAATTACCATCAAGATAGCATCTATTTAAGCAATACACAATATGCATTTGAAAGAGTTGAACCGATCATGTCAAACTGTTTTAGCAATGGATCAGGGCTCAAATAAAGCATCAGAATCTCGGATTTTGGGGAAACGACCTTCAACAGCTGGCGTGATGGTTCCACGACGCTCAATGCACATTGCCAATGAATCTGCAATCAACTCGTCAGACTTGTAAGCAATAGGCGGTATCATGTTATCACCTCCGTCTGCAATATAATCCAGAGTGTAGAAATTGTACAAGGTATCCATCTCCAAAGGTTTACCGCCTACAAGAACTTTGGTGATTTTGCTACCAATAGGTTTCTTGGAGTCAAAATCAAACGTCAAGCCAGAATACTGAGGGACAGTAATGATACTTTTTTTCAAAATGGGATTGTACATGGCTGCAGAGTTTTCAAGAAGTTTCATGATTTGCTTGCCCGAGTATTTAAAACTTGCGACCACACTGCCAAACGGTGCAATGATCATGATATCGGCATGGGACACTGGTCCCTTGAGAATAGATGCTCGGATTGCACCAGAGTTCACCATGGCGATTTGAGCACCTTCCTCTTTATGATTTTCAATCATACAATCAGTCACTAGATTTCCAAATGCACACTCACCAGTAATGCAGTCTTCAACAAGGAAATCTCCCAAAGATTTGCCAAGAATTTTTTCAGAAAGACTCGAAAAAGATTCACGAAGCTTATCTACTTTGGCTTGGTATTCGGGATTGGGCGTAAACTGTTGATCGAGAAGTATGGGATCGCCTTTAGGTGGTTTCATGTTGTCAAACAAATCCCATTCAAGTTCGAGATATCCAAGATAGTCGCCAAAACGGTGAGCCTGGACCACATAGGTATCCTTTCCTTCAAGATTCTTTACCACAGTTGGATACAGACCCTCGACATTAGGAAGCGATGTGTCTTTCAAGAGAAGAGAGTGCGAGTGTCCACCAACAATGAGCTGGACTCCCTTGGTATTTTGGGCAAGATACTGGTCCTGGTGATATCCATTGTGAGAAACACAAATGATACGCTTAATGCCCTGGCTGTGCAGTTCGTCGACATATTTCTGGACTGGCGCAACAGGATCGTAAAACTTGACATCCCTTCCTCCAGTGGTAATCTCTGCAGTTGTCTTGGTAATGTATCCAATAATGGCAAGAGAGTACTTTTCCAAGTAGATATACGGTACGACACCAGCATCTTTAAGCCTTGGCGCTGTCGTCAACTCAATATTGGATGAAAGAGCTGGGAAATTGAGTGATTTGATAAAGTCGGCTAGATAACCGACACCACGATCAAACTCGTGGTTTCCTAAAGACATGGCATCATATTTCAGATCATTCATGAATTCAGCAGATGGCTTTCCACCAAATGTATTGAAAAACATGGTGCCTTGGAATTGATCGCCTGCATCCAGCATCAAAACGTCCTTGGCATTTTTTCGAATCTGGTCAACAGCTGTTTTGATACGAGCTATACCACCATAGCAAGTGTTTGCGTCAATTTCTGCTTGAGAGCAGTCCACACCGCCAACATTAAACTGGTCAAGATGAGCGTGTATATCTAAAACAGTGACATGATAAAATCAGTACAGATTTTCGTGAATTGTCATCAATAGCTTAATTTTCAAACCATATTGTCTACAAACTATGACTTGATGAAACGTAGTTTAGCAATCCATCTATTTCAACTCACCATTTGTATGAACAAGTGTAATTTTGTTGGGTGCGAATCCGTTTGGACGAATTGAAGTTCCAGCCTTTGTTGGAACAGCAACAGTATAGCTAACAGCAAGAGCAAATATGACTGAGAATAGTGGAGACTTCATGATTGTGATTTGGATGATGGTAGTTTGATATCGTGAAGTCTGCCATTTATATAGGAAATTCAGTGCATGCTTTCGCAAAAAGTGAATACATATGGTTTCACCCGCCCTGATTTCAAAACTGTAGCTAAAATGATGATCAGCAGATTTTTTGTATGGAATGCTGTGCGAAATACATACATGGCTGCTAAACTCCCTTTTTATCCCATTGCCACTAGCTGTAACTAAATTTAGAAAGTATTTGAATAGGATCTATAATTGGAAAGTTGTTTTTATTCCGACACTCCAAGTTTGGTTGACATAAACTAGTCATTTTTCTGTATTTTACGACTGCCTTTAAAATGTACAATAATTAAACATTCTAATGATTACTACAAATCAATACTTTTAGTTGAACATAAAGTCTATTATACAATGCAACTATCATTTTAAACCTCCCTTTTTGTATAGCCATACGTTATACCATCACCAAATTTGAACCAGGTCCATTCTAATTTGGTGATTGAGTTTGGCTGGTTTGGTGTCGTCAATAGTACTCTGCACACACTTATTATTGTATTCTGAATTTCAGATACGTTTGTATTCGAGTTCAGTAATGATTGTAAGTTTGGTTTGTAGGAAAGAAGAATTGGAGATTGAACGAGTGGGATTGACTGAAGTTGTGATGTGAGCATTTGTTGAGTTGCTCCACATAGAAATGAATACAATGGAAACCAGTAACCTTTAGTGAGTTCAAAGGCAGTGCTGTTTAGCACATTTAGTGGAATTTGAAACGAATGTACCATGAGACTGATTGTTTACTATGCACCGACTCCCTTATTCAGTGTTCCAGTTGACGTGAATATGGCTGTAAGCCTGAATTACAGCTGAAAACAAGAGATGGAATGCTTGGATAGCTGTATAAGGGTGATTTGTAAATGGAATTAAATCTCGACAAGTCTCGCATTTACTGCTACTATTAGCATAACCTCAAGCATGCTATTGGCTAGCATATATGCCTTGATGCCAAAAAAGTGAACCAATTGCTGTTATGAAAATGCAGCCAATACAAATGCTTATTTCTGAATAATTATTGGTCATTTATTCGTGTAGCTACCAAAGGGCCACTATTGCAAGCAAAAATGCACCTGCTGCTGTTGGACTCTCAATCAGGGCTGCAACACGCCTTCATCTCCAGCAACCTGTGTTAGATCTACACGAATTTCTAAAACCCAATGTTTCGGCCGACTTCAATTTCAAATGCATACCAATAATATGGCTAAACTACTCATCAACCAGTCCATTGTTGTCAAGTCTATAGCTGTCATGTTATGGCTTGACGTAAACATTCAGTTCTGGGTTCCTAAAACCTCGTAACAGCACAAAACCGATCACGAAACCTGCATAAGATATTTACTAGACATGATCACTTTTCAAACTCAAGCATGCCAATCACTAGTTGGCTTCAATATTGAATGCTTTCAGTTTTGCGTGCATAGTATTTTTAAAGATTAAAGATGTGTTTGCTCAAACTTGAGCTGTCGTTTCAAATGTGGAAAGATGTACCAAAACTCCAAAACAATTTACTCCTGGTGCTCAGATAGATCAAATGCGAATTTCTCAGTGGTATCATTTCTATTAACCCAATTGACCAATAAATAGTGCATTTCATTTCAAACCCACGATATCGCCATCAATCTCATTTAATATCATATGACAATCTTATTTCCATTTCAACATCCATGACCTTGTACCATACATTGTCACAGTTGCAGTTAATGGTTTTAATCAAATATTCAACCAGCATAAAATGTACAATATTTAGTAATTCAAAAGATATTTTTTATTTCAAACAAGTATGGATTCATTGAAGCTTCATACACGAGCACTGCAATCAATTGACTAGTTGGTGAACCAAACACGTTTATTCGAAGCGTTTACAGATTCTTGACAAATCGAGTAAACAGCCAAGGGCTAATTACAGCCATATTCACGTCGACTGGAACACTGAATAAGGGAGTCGGTGCATAGTAAACAATCAGTCTCATGGTATATTCGTTTCAATTTCCACTAAATGTGCTAAACAGCACTGCCTTTGAACTCACTAAAGGTTACTGATTTCCATTATACTCATTTCTATGTGGAGCAACTCAACAAATGCTCACATCACAACTTCAGTCAATCCCACTCGTTCAATCTCCAATTCTTCTTTCCTACAAACCAAACTTACAATCATTAATGAACTCGAATCCAAACGTATCTGAAATTCAGAATACAATAATAAGTGTGTGCAGAGTACTATTGACGACACCAAACCAGCCAAACTCAATCACCAAATTAGAATGGATCTGGTTCAAATTTGGTGATGGTATAACGTATGGCTATACAAAAAGGGAGGTTTAAAATGATAGTTGCATTGTATAATAGACTATGTTCAACTAAAAGTATTGATTTGTAGTAATCATTAGAATGTTTAATTATTGTACATTTTAAAGGCAGTCGTAAAATACAGAAAAATGACTAGTTTATGTCAACCAAACTTGGAGTGTCGGAATAAAAACAACTTTCCAATTATAGATCCTATTCAAATACTTTCTAAATTTAGTTACAGCTAGTGGCAATGGGATAAAAAGGGAGTTTAGCAGCCATGTATGTATTTCGCACAGCATTCCATACAAAAAATCTGCTGATCATCATTTTAGCTACAGTTTTGAAATCAGGGCGGGTGAAACCATATGTATTCACTTTTTGCGAAAGCATGCACTGAATTTCCTATATAAATGGCAGACTTCACGATATCAAACTACCATCATCCAAATCTCAATCATGAATTCTTCACTATTCTCAGTCATATTTGCTCTTGCTGTTAGCTATACTGTTGCTGTTCCAACAAAGGCTGGAACTTCAATTCGTCCAAACGGATTCGCACCCAACAAAATTACACTTGTTCATACAAATGGTGAGTTGAAATAGATGGATTGCTAAACTACGTTTCATCAAGCCATAGTTTGTAGACAATATGGTTTGAATATTAAGCTATTGATGACAATTCACGAAAATCTGTACTGATTTTATCATGTCACTGTTTTAGATATACACGCTCATCTTGACCAGTTTAATGTTGGCGGTGTGGACTGCTCTCAGGCAGAAATTGACGCAAACACTTGCTATGGTGGTATAGCTCGTATCAAAACAGCTGTTGACCAGATTCGAAAAAATGCCAAGGACGTTTTGATGCTGGATGCAGGCGATCAATTCCAAGGCACCATGTTTTTCAATATATTTGGTGGAAAGCCATCTGCTGAATTCATGAATGATCTGAAATATGATGCCATGTCTTTAGGAAACCACGAGTTTGATCGTGGTGTCGGTTATCTAGCCGACTTTATCAAATCACTCAATTTCCCAGCTCTTTCATCCAATATTGAGTTGACGACAGCGCCAAGGCTTAAAGATGCAGGTGTCGTGCCATATATCTACTTGGAAAAGTACTCTCTTGCCATTATTGGATACATTACCAAGACAACTGCAGAGATTACCACTGGAGGAAGGGATGTCAAGTTTTACGATCCTGTTGCGCCAGTCCAGAAATATGTCGACGAACTGCACAGCCAGGGCATTAAGCGTATCATTTGTGTTTCTCACAATGGATATCACCAGGACCAGTATCTTGCCCAAAATACCAAGGGAGTCCAGCTCATTGTTGGTGGACACTCGCACTCTCTTCTCTTGAAAGACACATCGCTTCCTAATGTCGAGGGTCTGTATCCAACTGTGGTAAAGAATCTTGAAGGAAAGGATACCTATGTGGTCCAGGCTCACCGTTTTGGCGATTATCTTGGATATCTCGAACTTGAATGGGATTTGTTTGACAACATGAAACCACCTAAAGGCGATCCCATACTTCTTGATCAACAGTTTACGCCCAATCCCGAATACCAAGCCAAAGTAGATAAGCTTCGTGAATCTTTTTCGAGTCTTTCTGAAAAAATTCTTGGCAAATCTTTGGGAGATTTCCTTGTTGAAGACTGCATTACTGGTGAGTGTGCATTTGGAAATCTAGTGACTGATTGTATGATTGAAAATCATAAAGAGGAAGGTGCTCAAATCGCCATGGTGAACTCTGGTGCAATCCGAGCATCTATTCTCAAGGGACCAGTGTCCCATGCCGATATCATGATCATTGCACCGTTTGGCAGTGTGGTCGCAAGTTTTAAATACTCGGGCAAGCAAATCATGAAACTTCTTGAAAACTCTGCAGCCATGTACAATCCCATTTTGAAAAAAAGTATCATTACTGTCCCTCAGTATTCTGGCTTGACGTTTGATTTTGACTCCAAGAAACCTATTGGTAGCAAAATCACCAAAGTTCTTGTAGGCGGTAAACCTTTGGAGATGGATACCTTGTACAATTTCTACACTCTGGATTATATTGCAGAAGGAGGTGATAACATGATACCGCCTATTGCTTACAAGTCTGACGAGTTGATTGCAGATTCATTGGCAATGTGCATTGAGCGTCGTGGAACCATCACGCCAGCTGTTGAAGGTCGTTTCCCCAAAATCCGAGATTCTGATGCTTTATTTGAGCCCTGATCCATTGCTAAAACAGTTTGACATGATCGGTTCAACTCTTTCAAATGCATATTGTGTATTGCTTAAATAGATGCTATCTTGATGATAATTCAAGTTCATCCTTTACAAATCTTAATAAACAAAAATACAAGGATTTATATGGTTTTTTGAATGACAGTCAATAGTCTAGTGTGTTGGATAATATTGAAATGGTTTGTTCAAGTGTAGTAGATCCAACACAGGTTGCTGGAGATGAAGGCGTGTTGCAGCCCTGATTGAGAGCCCAACAGCAGCAGGTGCATTTTTGCTTGCAATAGTGGCCCTTTGGTAGCTACACGAATAAATGACCAATAATTATTCAGGAATAAGCATTTGTATTGACTGCATTTTCATAACAGCAATTAGTTCACTTTTTTGGCATCAAGGCATATACGCTAGCCAATAGCATGCTTGAGGTTATGCTAATAGTAGCAGTAAATGCGAGACTTGTCGAGATTTAATTCCATTTACAAATCACCCTTATACAGGTATCCAAGCATTCCATCTCTTGTTTTCAGCTGTAATTCAGGCTTACAGCCATATTCACGTCGACTGGAACACTGAATAAGGGAGTCGGTGCATAGTAAACAATCAGTCTCATGGTATATTCGTTTCAATTTCCACTAAATGTGCTAAACAGCACTGCCTTTGAACTCACTAGAGTTTACTGATTTCCATTGTATTCATTTCTATGTGGAGCAACTCAACAAATGCTCACATCACAGCTTCAGGCAATCCCACTTGTTCAATCTCCAATTCTTCTTTCCTACAAACCAAACTTACAATCATCACTGAACTCGAATCCAAACGTATCTGAAATTCAGAATACAATAATAAGTGTGTGCAGAGTACTATTGACGACACCAAACCAGCCAAACTCAATCACCAAATTAGAATGGACCTGGTTCAAATTTGGTGATGGTATAACGTATGGCTATACAAAAAGGGAGGTTTAAAATGATAGTTGCATTGTATAATAGACTTTATGTTCAACTAAAAGTATTGATTTGTAGTAATCACTAAAATGTTTAATTATTGTACATTTTAAAGGCAGTCGTAAAATACAGAAAGATGACTAGTTTATGTCAACCAAACTTGGAGTGTCGGAATAAAAGGAAACCACTGTGTTAATAGGACATTTGAGTATATTTTATGTAGGATTGTAGGACAAAAACAATGGCAAGTTATTAATAAAAGGGAGATCTAAGCATTGATGCACCTTGCACAAGTATCGACTTTTACTGTAGTCATGCATCCAGATCGAAACGAGTCGCAAGAGCCATTGCTATGTACATTTACTGTATCGACTGATACAGTCAACACCAACGTTCATAGCGGTGTTACTAAAATAGCATCTTCTACCACTGCATCGCCGCTCTCTAGCTCAGATGTTGCATATTCTGAGTTATCCGATGCCAGTAAACCAAATGACAAACCATTGCAGCCTTTTTATGATCGTCCTCATCGACAGAGTTCTGTCAATCTGCCATTACGGACCGGAACAGTTGTGTTTGATGATCCGACCACTGCTTCTGCTGCTGCCTTTCATGCAGACAGAGAGTTTTACAACACTTCGTTCAAGTCTGCAAGCATTGTTGGGAGTTATCAAAAGACTATGGCAGCTAGTAAAGCTGCTGGGTCTTGTGTGCATGACCGTAGTATTTACATGACATCTCCTTCTGCTGTAATGCTGCCATCTACACTGTCCATTAGTCCTAGACATCCAGCTTATCACAGAGCTGGAATGTTCCAAAGCAACGCAGTCACTTCCAGCCCTCCGTCAGAAACTGCAGACGCTGTTGGGAGTGACAACATAACCATTCCTAAACCTACTGCACATCGTCATAGTATATTCTTGGAAACCTCTGCCTCTCAGCCTCGTTCTATTGCTTACTCTGGTTTACAAGGTCAAAGTGCATCTTTTCCTAATTTGACAGCCATTAGCAATCCATCGCATACGTCCTCGCACAATCGTCTAGATGCTCGGTTAGATTGTCATTCTCAGTTTGAAAGAGAAAACATGGTCAGTGAAAGACAGCCTGAAAATGGTCTCAATTATGATACAATTGCTGCTGCATTTGATCGTCAGTCTTCATCCGCATCGTCCAAATATGCCGTGAGTTGATGTGTCGATTTAACTGTTTTGGATAATCAGAAATTGACACTGCTTTGTAATCAATCTAGACATCTAGGTTCATGTTTTTTTCAGAAACCACCGGAGTCGTTCGTGCTCCCACATTTGATGAAATCAATTTAAACAAGTTTGACCGTCCAGTCAAGGACATTCTCGAAGACGGTCCTTTTTGGCTAGATGTTTGTCAACCTACTCCAACAGAAATGTTTAATATCAGTAGGGCATTTGGCATTCATCCCCTCACTGACGAAGATATTCAAACTCCAGATACCCGCGAGAAATGTGAAGTGTTCAACAACTATTACTTTGTTGTCATTCGATCGTTTGAACAAGATCATGCTAGCTCAAGGTTCATGGCTCCTATTCCAGTCTACATTGTCATTTTCCGTGAATGCGTCATTTCTGTAAGTTGTCATTTTGTTGAAACAAAAATTCATATTTGCCAACCACTTTGTGTTATAATCGAGTCTAGTTTCATTTCAGACCAAATCCGCATGCAAGCAATGTACTGAATCGTATCGACCAATTGCATGCATATGGATTGCAAGTTACCACAGGCAAGTATTTACGTTTTAGCAATTGCTGTTATACACTATTCTAATCTGCACCAATTTGAATGTCTGCTTTGCATAACATAGACTGGATCAACTATGCGCTTATTGACGATATTACCGACAGTTTCATTCCGTTAATTAAATTCATCGAGTTGGAAGTCGACAACATTGACGAGCTCGTTCTCATTCTCAAGGAATCTGAACAATCCGACATGTTACGGCGGATTGGACATGCTCGAAAACAAGTCACTCAACTTCTTCGACTTCTTTCTACCAAAGCCGATGTTGTTAAAATGGTCATTAACCGCTGTATGGAGCGGCTTGCTCCTGATTCTGAAACTCGTCTGTATTTAGAGGATATTCACGACCATGTCATTACTATGATGCAAAATCTGCTGCATTCGGAAAAGACATTGGGTAGATCGCATTCAAATTATTTGGCACAGATTTCTATTGAAATCACTCAAGCCTCCAATCGTACTTCTGATGTAGTGATGCGTATGACTGCCTTGGCTAGTATTCTGGTACCGCTCAATGTTGTTACTGGTAAGACCTGTTTATCCAATGCATAGATGTATGACTCTTTACTTATATTGATTCGCTAGGTCTTTGGGGAATGAACGTCCAAGTTCCTGGGCAGGAAGTAGATGGACCAGTCGATTTGCGATGGTTTTTTATGATTTTAGCAGGCATGACAATTCTCGCTGCCTTTATATTTTACATTATGCGCAAAGTAAAATTAGTATAAGCCGAGCAAATCTTGTGGTGGTCGCTGTTTCTGGGCAGTATTGTATTTATTACTGATGGGCTTATCAACTTTTGGATTATTGGTATTTGTAAGCCGTCGACATTGCGTACTGCCGCTACTCTAGCGTTATTCCCAAACTTTGACTGTTCCATCTAGTGATGTAGATACCATGGTATGAAGTTTGGGATGGTATGCAACGCAGGTAACTGCCATTGTGTGTCCCTCGAGTGTTTTTTCAAGATTCCCCTAAAGTCATTTTAAAATTCAATAAATTGGTCAGCTTAATTCAACAGCTTATGATTGTACAAGATGCAAAAATCAAATTACTTCTACAAGATCCCACATGCATATACGACCGTCTTCGCTGCCACTTATGACGTGTGCATCAGTATATGAAAAGGTTGATACCACTCGGTAATCCGAGTTTTTGTGACCGGTATATCTGCCAAATCAATGAACTGGATTAGCATGGCATTAAAATTGTATACTTTCTAGAAAACTTACTCGCTTAGCAACTCGCCGGTTTCTTTGTCAAATAATCTGATCTTACTATCTAAAGTATTGACCAAAATGCAATTTCCGTCATTTGAAAACCGTGCTGAAATAATGGGATCTACAAAATTACTTGTCAGTGAGTTAAACTACATATGCAGATCATCCAGAAGAATCAAAATTGTTTTGCAAAATTCAAATCAATCTCGTACGTCCAACTGCGTCTATAGTGACTCTTCCAGTTCGAACATCGTAAATCTTCAGTCTGCCATCAACACATCCAACCAAAATTTCCGTATCCAAAATCTGAACTGCTTCCACACTATCTTTTGATCCGTCAAGTATCTGAATAGGTTTCCAAGTATTCCGAGCACGACAGTCCCATAATCGAACAGTAGTATCATACGATCCCGAAGCAAGGATCGATGCATCTAAATTAAATGCAACCGTATTGACTCGTTGAGTGTGTTCGTTCCATTTTTGAACCGGACGGCCTGTTCCCACATCCCATAGGATCACACCACGATCCATGCTGCAAGAAGCAAACCGACTATTATCAGAAGCCGACTGTGGTCTAGCAGTGAATAAGATTGGATTTAATAAAGTTGAATCTAGCATCAGATCGATGCGTGGAATTTTACCCATTGCAAACTTGTATGTATAAACTATGCTAGATTATGAGATACAAGGCAGTGGATGATTCTTACAGTGCAATTCCAAGAACATCTTTACTATGAGTCGAGTAAGTTTTGATACACATTCCGGTTACAGGATTCCATAGTTTGACTGAGCGGTCAGCACTTCCAGTAAGACAATACGCCCCATCACTGCTGTATACAACTGTATGAACTGCAGCAGTGTGTCCTATCAATGTTCTGGCCTCTTTATCCGGCAATGGCAGTTGCAGCATTTCATTGCCAGCGAGCAGTTCAAATCGCATCCAAAAACTAACGCAAATTCACGTGACGTAGCGTGACTTGTTGAATTGCAGATTTGAAATTCTTGACCAAATTTTTAAAAATATGAAAGTGTAAGTCAGAGTAAATCCCATCATGTAATGCCTAAATGCCGTATCAATAGTTTGGTTTTTGAGTAACTTGCAAAAATATCGACTATATATGTTCAATTGAATTTTACCATCATTTAAAATGACTGCATTCGCTTACCAATTGACAATGTATTAGTCTCGTGGTGGGCTCACTTGGCGAAAAGCTTGAACAAGCATTGGACAAGATTGCTACGATTAACAAAAAACATGGTCCATTTGAGTTGCTTCTTTGTGCTGGAGATCTGTTTGGTTCCGATCCAGCCCAGCAACTCGTGGTTTTGGAATCTATTCTTGTTGGTAAAATCAAGATTCCTATTCCGACATACTTTATGGCTGGTAAACATGTGTTGGCAGCCAAGTTGATGGACTTGATTGAAAAGACTGAAGGCCAGTTGACAGAAAATCTGATTTATCTTGGCTCGAGAGGAACGACGACCACCGCTGATCAACTGTCCATTTCAGTCTGTAGTGGTGTAAACGCAGGTCAGTATAGCAAAAAACAGTCTGGACAAATTTTAGATATTCTATTGTCATCAGGATGGCCATCGCAAATTCAAATGCAATCGCCGCTTGCGACGGTCAAACTCTCTGGAAAGTTGCTTTCAGTTGGATCGGCTTTGGCATCAGATCTAGCAATAGAACTCGCACCTAGATATATGTTTTCAACTGACGAAGGTGTGTTTTTTGAACGTGAACCCTTTCAATTCGGTGGTGCTGCACACTATACAAGATTTATTGGTCTAGGTGCATTTGGAGCAGCAAACAAAGAGCGGTGGTTTTATGCCATGAATATTGTACCGGCTGCTACGCTAGACACAAACACACTCAAGACTAAACCGGAAGTGGTAACCTCGTGTCCACTTACTCTTTCTCGTAGTGAAACCAATCAGTCTACCAGTTTGAAGCGTCCTAGCGAAACAGTAAGTACATTTAAAAAATATGCAACCACGCTTTATTTAATGAATATCCTGCTGACTTGAAATTGCAAAGGAAACTGCCACTTCTTTCTTTTGGGATCAAGGTAATCCAACAGACGGACGAAAGAAACGACAAAGTATGTAGAACATCCAGTCTATTTTACACACACTACAACAGATTTATATATGGATAAATAGTATAACTGACGTTTTTGTTGGGCTGGCTTGATAGGAGCTCCACCCGATACCTATGTGTGTCATCGATGTAAACAGCCTGGTCATTGGAAAGACGATTGCACAATGGAGCAAGCACAGCATCAGCGATCATCTGGCACACTTCCTGATGGATATGTGTGCAAGATCTGCAATGTTCCTGGACATCACATTCGCGAGTGTCCAGAAGCTAATCATAACCGACTTGACCAGTCTGGCCATCGCAATCCAAACGGGCTTTTGACTCATCGCGATGGTAGGTTGTATTGTCAAAATAGTTGATACAAATACACAAGGTATATCTAACCCCAACCATTGCTATAATCAATTAGATTCATTGTGCTGGTTTTGCACTTCCAACGAAAAACTTGAAGTGCATCTCATTCTTACAATCCTAGACAAAACTTACATTTCAATAGCAAAAGGTGGATTGGTGCCTGGTCATGTTCTCATTGTACCCATTACACATTTTACTAGCACACAAAGCATACAGCATCTCAGCGATACTGATACTAGCACGGATGAATCAATTGACGCCAAGGAAACCATCAATGAAATGAATCAAGTTCAGCGTCGTATTCGAGAAATTGAAACTACTGCTCAAAATGATGTGGTTGTATTCGAAGTCTATACTGGCAAAAACATTGAAAATCCAGCACATCAACGGTTGCATCATCTCCATTTACAAGTCGTGCCAGTACCAAAAGGAAAAACTCATGAGATTGAGGCAGCATTTAAAAAAGAAGCAGAGAAACAGCAGCTAGAATGTTTGAATGAGGTTCCTAAAGACGATTCTGTGCCATATTTGAAAGTCGAACTGGAAAATGGAAAAACGTTGGTTTTCTCACCAAGTACAGAGCGAATTGCTGAAATAGCTGCAGCAAGAAAAACACCTGGCTCACGAGCTCCAAGACTATTTGATATGCAATTAGGCCGGTATGTTATTTGGTTGAACATTGCCATTTTTATTTAAACACGATTTTTAATGATATGTGATTAGTCGCGTAATGGCTGATGTATTAAACATGCCAGATCGTGCCGATTGGAAACAATGCGTAGTGAATATCAAGGAAGAGGAGGAATTGGTTGAAACTCTCAAACCTATTTACGAAAACTTTCAAGACGAATTAAACAAGTGATCAACTATACTTGCAGCCAACTTTTCTTTTGCTCAGATTTAGCTGCTATACGAATTTCAGATTCAATCAAATGCACAACATGATTGAATCTGTATATTTTTAGTAGGAATGTATTGGAGAGTAGCGTCGTTGTTTATAACAGTATCTACATGATAGCATATTCTAAACACTGCAAGGTCGAGTCTTGACATCATTTCAGTATTGTCTATTAGTAGTATGTAATTGGGTTCCACATTTGCGAAATTTGACTCGCCAATATCTTCTGCAATGCAAAATGGACCTTTGGAATACTGATACATTGCATCTGATAGAGCGTCGCGATGTTTGGTCTCCAAATGGGCAACAAGATTGAAGTTGGTTCTTGAATTTGTCTTGACGAGCTGCTGACAAATTTTACAGGGAATTCTCGCCTTGTCAAGGTCATTTATATCATCAAGCTTGTCAAAAAACTGCCACACCAAACTGGCCTTTGAGACTTTAGACAAACGTGTGGTTGCTAAAGGAATAGAGCATGAGATTGAGGGTAAGGAGGACGACGCATGGTCATGACTGTCATTGAGTCTCCTTTTCCCTTTTCCTGTATCCTCGTGTCCATCGATTGACGTTGACGACAGCTCATACACTTCCATAGAGGAAGTTACATTATGTGATAGCGTGGTAGTTTAAGGCAATCTCAGGAACAGGATTGCGAAAAAATAATTATTTCGCAATCCCAAAAATCCATTCCATTTCGCACTTGCGGAACACTAATTCCGAGTGTATGACGAAGCATTAGAGTGCCAAATGATACAATCTGCTATTGATAAAAGTCGCACAGGAAAAGAGGCCACTCCATTAATAACCTTTGAGGAGACTGACCGTGAAGCACAAGAGGCTGAACAACTCCGCATCGCGCTGGAACAAAGTCGTGTTGATGGTTTACGTTCCGTAAACCCTTTTTGGGAAAAAGAGGATGAACATGTTGGAGTTTCTGAAATAGGTGGCCATTCAAAAACAAGCTCGTCACTAACTTTAGGTGCGGATGCTGCTCCTTATATTATTGGCGGTGGATCGCACGGAAGCACTACTGCTAGTGGTAGTGGCTCTACTTCTTTATTAACATTCACTGATGCTCCAAATTCAAATAGTGGCAAGAATGTGACATTTTCCAAGAGTGTGCATGGTTGATTCTTGTTTAAATAGTCAATAGTACTAGACTGGGTGGAACATGACTGGAAATGCGCACAATCTGTTCAAGTTGGAAATAATACTGGATCAAATGGGCAGATCTGGATTGAAAATAGCTGTCGAGTTGTTTACAAAAGTTTAGGAACCCTGTTTAAAAAACAAATGTTGGTTGTCAAGCCTTTGGAAGATTTGCTAACCCACCTCACTATGAATGCTCTATTGATGAACAGTTTGAATAAATGTTATTTTTTCAAGTATTTCCATCATACTGATACGATTTGAAATGTTATAGCTAAAAATATTTAGAAAGTATGAAACTTGGTTTATTTTTGAGCGCTTGATGCAGCTTTCTTGGATGCAATTTCACGAAGTAGTTGGGCATTGGCAGCACCCGTGGCATCTGCAAGCTGTGAAAACAGCGATTCAGATCGACCCAATAAGATATGTGGTGAGTCAAACTCGACCATTTCACCATCCTGCAGCACCAACACGCGATCAAAATCTACAATGGTATTGAGTCGATGAGCAATACTCAGTACAGTAGCATGGGCGAAATGCGTCTTGATACTCTGCTGAATCAGCTTATCAGCCTCAGCATCAACAGAAGCAGTAGCCTCGTCCATGACCAGCACAATCGGTTGCATGAGAATAGCCCGGCCCAGTGAAATGAGTTGGCGTTGACCAACTGACAGATTTTCACCATTTTCTGAAACTGGGGCCTCGAGTTTCTCGGGAAGACCAGTAACATACTCTTTGATGCCTATACGCTCTAGCACATCCCATATGCTTGCGTCCTCAAACTTGGACTCTACATCCAGATTTGCTCGAATCGTGCCAGTGAAAAGCACCGGCTCTTGAGGAATAATTTGCAATCGACTACGAAGGGTTTTAAGCCCAAGTTTGCTGATATCAATGCCATCTAGCTCGATATTACCAAGCGAAGGTTCGATAATACGAAAGAGTGTAGTCATGAGTGTAGATTTACCAGATCCGGTACGACCTACAACTCCGATTTTTTCACCAGGTCGGATATTCAAAGAAAGATTTTTAATGACAGCAAAGTCTGGACGAGACTCGTATCTAATCTCAAGGTTCTTGATAGTAATGGCACCCTTTGTGGGCCATGAATCTGATGCTGGATCTGTATCATACGAACGTGGAGCTTCCTGTGGTAAATCATTTCCATATACATCCAGTCGCTCAACGGCATTCATCTCAGCATCAAGTTGCGAAAACGCCATCAACAACAAGTTGATCAGCCCAGTCAAGCCAATAGCATACGTCAAAGCAATACCGATTTGAGAAGAATGAATGTCGGAATAGGAGCCAATGAGGACCAAAGTAAGAACCACAATCGAGGCAAGTAGTTCAATTCGCATATTGACCCATACGGAGCCAAGAAGCTTTAACATGCTAGGAGTATTGCTTAGATCCATTAGAGTGCGTTGACGTTGAACAAATCGCTTTTCAACACGGAATGCCTTGACAGTGGCAATACCAGCAAGGGATTCTGAAATATGAGCATACAGTGGAGATCGTTGAACAGACTCGAGACGTTTCAGCTCGCGATTAGCATTCTGATAGTATTTTATTATATAGAAATACAAGACTATTAAAGGAACCACGATCACTACAGTATTTCAAACAATATTAGATACACAATAATATACGGGTTAGAAGCGGCATACATAAAGCAATAATGACTTACATAACATATATGGCAAAACATATGCCATAAGAACAACAATCGAAATCAAGCCAGTTGTAGCAATGATAGTCAAGAAAAGAAGAATCCAAATAGCTTGATCAATACTTTCAACATCCTTGGACATTCGATTTAAAATACGACCAACTGGCTGCGAGTCAAAAAAGCTCATAGGAGCAGCAATGATACGTTTAAGAGCAGCAGAGTGATAGTAGTGGGCAGAACGATATCCTCCAACAAGAACAGCTGCATTTAGAGCTAAAGAAAAGAACACTTGAATACCACCAAGTCCAGTATAGATGCGAAGATACTGATCGGCTGTTAAATTTGGATACATATTGGAAGTCCACCAAGACAGCCATAGATCTGTAAGCAGATGCGATGCCTGAGCCAAAATAGCAGTAATGGCCACTACCACTAGGTAAGAGTATCCACCACATGCCACGACGTAACTCCAGTATGTTTTTCCTTCAACTGCACCTAGATTGCGGTCTTCCTCGACAATAATGTTGCCGTTTTTATCTGCACCGGTATCTTCCACAACTGCTGCAGTTTTCTTGAGTTTTGATTCGATGGGTTTGTCTTCATCGTCATCGAGCTTGTAATGTTTCATCATATTTGCCAGCACACCATCCTTGGCCACAAGATCCTTGAATTTACCTTGCTCTGCAATTGTACCATTATCCATAACAATCACATGGTCTACCTCGGGAAGAAAATGCAGTTGGTGAGTAACAAGAATAACAGTTTTGTCCTTGAGCATTTGTTTGATGGAAAGCTTGAACACATCGGCACCAACATGCGCATCCAAGGCAGAGATTGGATCGTCCAGCAAGTAAGTATCGCAATCTTGGTACATGGCGCGAGCCAACGAAACGCGTGCTTTCTGACCACCAGACAAGTTGACTCCTTTTTCGCCAATCTGGGTCATTTTACCAGCTGGAAATTGCTGCAAATCATTTGTCAAACACGATGCTTCAATCACTGCGTCCATTCGAGTCTTATCAAGCGAATTGTTGAAGAGGATATTGCCCTGAATGGTCTCGGTAAGAATCCATGCCTGTTGAGAACAGTACGCAAGAGTGCCAAAAATATTCATTGAACCGTCGATGCAACGCATTTCACCAATAATTCCAGAAAGAAAAGAACTTTTGCCACTACCAACTGGACCAACAATGGCAACAAGCGAGCCTTTTTTGATTGAAGTAGTAATGTGGCGAAGGTGGAAAAGAGCATTTTCTTCCTTGGTAGCTGAATGATCATAGTCGGGATGTGTAGATGGAGCATCTTTAACAATATCCTCGTCAGCTTTTTTGTCAGTGTCGGATTTTTTACCCAGAAATTTACGACGTTTTTCGGTATTTTTCTGTTTTTTCTCTGCCAATTTGGCAACTTTGGCATCTGCTTCGTCTTTGAGATGCTTGGCATCTGTTTTTTGAAATTCCCATCTAAAACTAGCGTTTGATAATTGAATTGCAGCATCCTTGGGTGCGTCTGGAGTGTTTTCAAAAGTAGATTCTACGCGAGGCTCGGCCTCTTCAGCAAGTATAAAATCACGGATACGATCCCACGATACCTTGGCAAGAACCACCGATACCAACGAGCCAGGAAAGACCAACAGTGGCTGAAACAAAATATTAAAGAGCGACAGAGCAGGGAAAATAATAGGTGCAGTGATGGATCCATTGGAAAGAGAAAATGCAATGAAAGCGACAATTGGCATTAAAACAGGAATAACTTGGATGATACCAACGAAAAAAACTTGTACAATGTAATAGTTTTTAAGTGCTTTGATCTGCCCATTTCGAATAGTTGTGATGCGATCAAAGAAAAACTCCTCGAGAGCACGGAACTTGATGATCTTGATACCATAAAGCATTTCGCGGAGCGCTTTGAGTCGCTTATCGCCAAAACTAAGAAACAGTCTTTGGTACTTGACAAAAAAGCCAATCATGCCAGCTTGGATTAAAAGTGCAAAAAACAGAGTACCTGCACCTGCCCAAACTGAGTAGCCAAGTAGCTGCCCAAGAAGGTAAATGGCGACAGCAATTTGGATAGGAGTGGCGTATGCCCCGGCAAAACCTTGAATAGCCATAGCAATCTTTTCAGCATCAATATTGATAAGATTAAGAATTTTTCCCTGAGTAAATTTGATGCTAGATTGTCCGGAAAGCTTGAGAGTCTTTTCATAGATGGCACAGATGATAATGGTTCGGATGTTGATTTCAGTACGACGTATGATTTGGTCGCTTGTGGCACGAAAGATACTGGAACCAATCTGTAAAGCAAATAGCGTGAATGCCAATCCAGCACCGCTTTGAATAATCAACATGGAGCGCGGGTATTGTGGGATTAAGAAATAAATGACCTGCTGGACGAATGTCGGAACACTCAGTGAGCACGCAATGGACACGCTTTGGCAAAAAATGGCAGTGAGAATAGAGGCCATGTATTTTCTAAACACACCCCAAAAAAGACTTGGATGTTTTTTTGTGGCCTTTTCAGAGTCTGCCATCCAAGCTCTATACTCGACCCAAAATTCATCTAAATGATGAGACACAATCTCCGCTTGGTCGTGACTGTTGAGCGTGAGTAAATCCTGCAAATAAATTTAAATCAAACATTGCAATAGAAATGATGAGTTGATTAGATACTTCAGCTTTAAATAGATCATAGGGGTATCGAGTTAATCAGGCCATTTCTGATTGGTTTTTGTAACAAGCCAAAAAATAAATCAGTCGAGTCACAAACTCAGGGTCGAGGAATGTCAATTTTCGATTTTATCAATAATCAGCTCAACATTCAGGTGGAAAGTCAACGTGATGCTTGACAGTAAGTGAATTGCATTAAAGCGGTGCCAATATAATTATTTAAAAACAGACATACCTTGGACAGCAATGGCTGTTTTGCACCCAAAAACATAAGAGGTGTCAACCACTCTAATGTAATAAATGTATAAGGATTGAAAGACATGCTTTTTTTGGCGGCAGTAGCAGGGACTACTAAAGGCTCTGAAGTGGTAGTCATGCCTAAAGTGTTCTGTTTTTCGCTGGAATCATTTTTGGAAGCTGTAACTGAATTTTGAGGTTGCTCTGAAACAACAATTGATGCAGGTAAATCGTCAATATCTAACATGATAGCTCTAGTTTAGCACTTTGAGACTGCAATTAGATGGACTGCTTAAGCTCTGAAAGTACTGAAATCGATTTTATATACGCTTTTTCGTTACCTTTTATACCTTTTTATAAATGAAGCTGTATTGACACGTCATCAAACAAGTATACCCGGAAATGTGGCTGTTTCTATCGGCCGGACCAAGTGTCAGACAACTACGTACCCAGCACAAATTGCATTTGGACTCTCATTACAGCCATATTCATGTAGAGTGAATCACTCCAGTATTCATCATGCAGTGACTGTATTCTGCATTGAAATATACAATGATTACTACACATTGACTGTATTGCGTGTTTGATATACAACAACCATCATATAACACACAATCAAACTATAATGTTGAATCTACACTTTGCACTCTTAGTAATCATACATTGTTCGATCACCAAGTTTGAACCCACATTCATGTATTGTGTTGGACTGTCAATGTTGTCAATACAACTCTGTACACACATTTGTTGTATTCTGAATCACGGATACAATCGCAATCTAGTTCAACAACAATCATGACACATGTCAGTAATGCAACTGTTTATCACACACCAACACTGTTATTTAGTGGTCCATTCAAATCAATATGGCTGCAAGTTGTTGTTATATCACGTATTCTGGACATGGTTTTGATATTGCACATCCAGTTCCATCACATTGTTGCTGACACATCATTGTAACACTGCATGTATCAAACACCGACATGTCCCCATAACCATGAACATGCAGTTTCACGTATAGTATTAAAACCACGCATGTCGTTGGTTGAATCATCACTACTAGTGTACAATACACTACAGTACATGTATGTTGACATGTGTTGTACCAAGAGCTCCACATTTGTGCTATTTGACTCGCCAATATCTTTTGCAATGCAAAATGGACCTCTGGATTTATTTCGCACATTTCACTGCAAATTTGCGAAATTCACATAAAATTCGCTTAATAATATGATAAACAATACATGTATCATACTATATTTCGACAGTCCGAGGTAAAAACAATATCAACAACAACCACATCTACGGAATGCGTGCAAAAACTATGCATGTATATCGTTTCTTTAAAAACGAGACAAGTATCCTATTCCAGATCTCCATCCTTTGGAAACCGTCTCCTGCAATTATAATAAATTTATATGTAACCCAACATTTCTCCTTTCAATCCATCTGCATATGTAAGTTTTCTACCATTGAATAACTCAAATCACCAAATTCCACCTCGCTGCCAATTTCCCAAGCAGATAATAGCCCTGATTGTCTGATCGCTCAGTCTGGTCCGCGAATCAGTAATTAAATGCCTTGCCTTTGAAAAGGCGTGCTCCGAGGACGCAGATGTGGCTGGAATTGCTAGATAATCCCTTGCCATTTTTGCAAGCAAGGGGAAATCCGATTCACGACGTTTCCACCACTCCAATGGGTCTTGCCTAGGATCCACCACTGGGATATTCAAATATTCTTCGAGTTGCAAAGTAGGAGTCAACTTTTTATTTTTAAAACCCCTATTTGCTGGAGTAGGTGCATCCGAATTCTAATGAAATGAGCGTAACAAAGTTTAAATACAAGTAATTACGCATGTGATTATCTGACAAGTCCAATGCCGTTTTGAATATCTCTAATTGCATCAAGCCACTTTGATTGTGGTACTCGGCATAGACGCTTTGGATTTGCCTTTTGATTTTTTCTTTCTGAGAAGCATTTTCTTGGGCATCCTGATTTTCGTCGTCGTAAAACTCAAGTTTGTGTCGAGGATCAAGTACCACAGCGATCACACAGTGGTTACTGGAAACATTAAAATACTTGTCAAGCCTCATTTGAAATGCATTTGGGATGCATTTGCTGCGCCTTTCAAATTTCCAATGTATCAATTGCAAGCGATTCATTGGCAATTCTTCGACGACTTGCTGGAGTTCCAGAAATCGAAGCGTCTAATCATTGTCCATAATCATCGACGGCATTTTCACAATGGTCCAATAACACGTTGTACCATGGTATAACGTATGACAACGTTTGATGCTTGTTGATGTTGCATTCCATTGTGGCTTGTTTAAATGGTTGAAAGAAATGCACTAATTTAGTCAAGTTGTCCCAATCTCCCGCTGACGGCACGTCAGGGATCTTCTTTTCCATGTACAATTGATCCAAGATTTGAACGAGTGGTTCTAATTAACAAATTTAAAGACAACATGTTATTGCAAATTTAACTGCAAGGTGGCATACATAAAGTGCTCTTGAAGTTCAGCTCTAGATCCTTGACGTACCTCGCATTTTCAAATATGTGACCAGCATATCGAATGCAGAGTTCCATCTCGTGGCGACATCAAGGATTGGCTTTAAGATTCTCCCATTATCTTTTTCAGTTGTTCCATCGATGCGGGGCAACATTGTAGCAATTTAATCCCTTACCTCAGTGTCTCGATTGATGTCTTGATCTCTTGATGTGCATCTTGGGCGGTAAGATCAAGGACATGTGCAAAGCAACGATGATGACATTCGGGAGATTCCAAATAACCAGAATTGATGAGCTCTTAAACGAAAACCTCATTGTTGGACGCATTGTCAGTGCAGATTCCTAAAATGAGCGATTTCCTATCACCGCATATGGGTTCCACAATCTGCTTGAATAATGCCGCAATGTTCTGGCTGCTGTGGCTGTCATTAAATACAAGAAAGTCGACAAGAATGCATTTCAGTTTCCAATTTTTGTCAATAAAATGGGCAGTGACGGCCGTGTAAGCAACATTGTCTGGCGATGTCCATATGTCGGTCGTAAACGAGATCTTGGATGTGTTTTCTTTGATAAGAGCATAAACGTCAGCTTTTGCAATTTCGAAATCACGATTCACAGTTTGTGATACAGTATCGGCGGACTTGAAAATGATATGCTTGTTGATGTACAACATCATTTGTTGAAAATACGGATTCTCAACAATCAAAAGCGATTGATGGTCACCAACGATCCACCGCTGTAGCTTGTTTTGAAATTCTGTTTGGGTAAACCCTGTCAGTACAAAATAGATTAACATCAAAAAATACAATATTAATATTCCAGACCGCAGAAATAATGACGCATCATACGAGTATGCAATGATTACCTTTTTCAAAGCAGTCTTGAATCTTACTTTGTAGTTTTGTACCCTTCAAACTTATACTTGTGGAGTCTTTGGAATACTGATACATTGCATCTGATAGAGCGTCGCAGTGTTTGGTCACCAAATGGGCAACAAGATTGAAGTTGGTTCTTGAATTTGTCTTGACGAGCTGCTGACAAACTTTACAGGGAATTCTCGCCTTGTCAAGGTCATTTATATCATCAAGCTTGTCAAAAACTGCCACACCAAACTGGCCTTTGAGACTTTAGACAAACGTGTGGTTGTTAAAGGAATAGAGCATGAGATTGAGGGTAAGGAGGACGACGCATGGTCATGACTGTCATTGAGCCTCCTTTTCCTTTTGCTTGTATCCTCGTGTCGATCGATTGACGTTGACGACAGCTCATACACTTCCATAGAGGAAGTTACATTATGTGATAGCGTGGTAGTTTAAGGTGATCTCAGGAACAGGATTGCGAAAAAATAATTATTTCGCAATCCAAAATCCATTCCATTTCGCATTTGCAAAACACTAGATGGATTAAAGTAGTTTTCCTAAACTCATTTGTTTTATAAATACCAAGTTTATTAACAGGATTGTTTTTATAGGATGTGATTCGATACAAACTCGATAATTTTGATTAAATTTGCCATTTCAACTCAAACCAAATTTAAATTTTGGTCAAATTTCAAATATTTGGGTAAAACGCAACAACAGTTTTGATTCGACAATTCGAGTTTGTCAGTTGAAACAATTTCAAGCGAAACCATCAGAAACGACTGTCGAGGTTTTTAGAACCATTACTGAAAATACTACAGCAACTACCACAAAAAATACTACAGAAACCACTGCTGCTATCAAATCATGGAAATTGCTCGGCCTGTTCAGACAAACAGAACATCTGATAATGGCACCATGTCGCTTTATCAGCAAACTCTCAGTCTTATTGAAAAGCTGTACTCATTACCCGACTTTGAAAGGTTTTTGTTTCCCAATGGAATTGAGGCTTTTGCATCAGAATCCGGTGCTATTGTTGTCGATCCCATTCAGGTCTTGTTTGGCTGCTTTAGACTAGGCGCTCCTCTATGCGTTCTATTCAATCATTTAGGTCCTCATAAGCTGTTGCCCGTTACTGAAGTCGACGTTACTTCAACTACCTATACCAATGTATCGAAAAAATGTGTATATCATTTCTTGGTTGGAGTCAAGGACGAATTGGGTGTGCCTGAAGACCAGCTGTTCTCTTTATCAGACCTGTACAAGGACGACACTAACGCATTGGTCAAGGTGTGCCATTTTGTTGTGCCATGAATGTGATGTGTTTCTGTTGTTGGCATGCAATTCACAACGACAATGGCATCAAGCAGTTGCTTTGGTGATGTTGATTCAGCTTTGCATTTCAGTCATGTTGTGAATCATTGAGTTGTACTGTTGTTCATTCCATATGTTGCAACTACCATTATAACACTTCGACCAATCACTAAAAAACAAAAGAGATTATGAATCGACATGCTAGTCTTGATGCTCATATTCGCCACTTTGTCATCTAAAAGTAAAGGCTTTGCCTTTTTTCATGTGCTTGCTGGTGATACACTGCAGCTCTCTACAAGCTGATGCACTAGATGTATGAATTGCATGGCAATCAACTTGTTTATGTTCTTGATGGGTTTTCATGTTGTATGACCAAATCCTGAAATTCTGATTCCCTTGTGCGTTTTTCATCATGATAGCCGCTTAAGCCTCTTGGTTTTATTTTTATTAATCAAATTTAATACTACATTTTTGATTTGATCGTTTGGCTTATAGGCAATCAAAACCATCACAATTGTTGTGGATGACATAGAACGGCGTGGCTTGTTGCCGCCACTGCGACCATTGCCGTTTAATACCAATCAAGAAACTGAAAAACCAACAGACAATCGTGCTCGTGTGGTTATGGAACTGTTGGAAACAGAGCGTCTCTACATTACATCACTTCAAGAACTGCTGGCAAGTATTCAGATGTCATTTAAAAATCAGCTTGATGGTACTTTATACTGATCTAATCTTTGGTTGCATGTCTTGTTCAGACATACGAAAACGAGCTTCTCTCAAACAACTCTATTGTAAACAAGGACATGATTTACAAAATATTTGCCAATCTACCTGATTTGGTCGATTTTCAGCGGCGATTCTTAATCTCTATGGAAACTACACTATCTCTTCCTCAAATGGATCAAAGGATTGGAGCATTATTTATTAACAATGCAAGTATTGTTTTTTTCAGTAAATGTAGCTTATATCTCATGTTGAAAATAGTTGCTCATCAAAACGTTATTGGATCTGTAATCGTGATATAGGAAGAAGGGTTCAGTGTCTATGAACCCATGTGTGGAAACTATGATAATGCATGCAAATTGGCATTGCAAGAAACTGCTATTCTTTCTACTAATCCTCGCATTGACCCTGCTCGTGGTTTACAAGGATACCTCATTAAACCTGTTCAGCGTATTTGCAAATATCCACTACTACTTAATGTGAGTTTTTGAATCTAATTTGTTGGAAAGCATCATGTTTTGGCTTTACACTAATATACCCTATTAGGAACTGATCAAACTAAGCTCACCCGAGGCATATCCATATTACAATGAGCTTGTGGCAGGAAAAGAAGCAATCATGAGAGTGACCGAACGGGTCAACGAGACCAAACGTGTTGAAGAAAACAGACACATCAAACAAGATATTTCTGACCGAGTTGAGGATTGGAAAGGGCTTCGTCTTGAAGATTTTGGAAATCTATTGTTGACTGATAAGTTTTACCTTGTATCGCATGATTCTGAAAAGGAATATGTGCTGTTTCTTTTTGAACGCATGTTTCTTTGCTTAAAAGAATCTAAAAAGAAGAAGAAGCGAAATGGACCCGAGGAGACTGTATACACCATCAAGGGCAACATTCATCTTTCGTCGATTGGCAAAGTGGATGACAATTCTGTTCCAGCATCACAACACTTTGAATTGGTGGTTCATTGGCGTGATATTGGAGAGATGGAAGCCTTTCCTTTAAAATGCCGTAACTTGGAACAAGCAACGCTATGGAAAGGGCGGTTAGACCAACTGCTGTATCTTGAAAGACAGCGTCGCATGTCCGTTTCTGACCAACGGGCACACGAGACAGCAGCAAGAATGGCCAGTATGTCACTGGCACCATCGCCAGATTTGCATGATGCAGACGTGTCGGTGGATGAACCCAAACGCACCCATTCACTGTACCATACCAATGCTTCTGCCAACGATCTCAAGCTTGTTTCGAGAAAAAGTAGTCCTGTTTCTGTCCGGCCTGGAGATCGTCGACCTACCGAGCTCTCTCCGCGTACATCCAGCATTAATGGACCCAATGCAGCCATGGCTAGTCGTCCTTCTGTCGTACTATCCAGAGGACAAAGCTCACTCAGTGTAACTTCAGGCATGTCTTCCAAACCAATGAATGGTGTTTCTACCAACGATTCTAGCGTGGCTGGATACCCATTTCATCCAGAAAACATGCAACGTAGCAGAAGCTCGACTGACCCAGCTACAGGAACAGGTCCACAATGGACTGGGTCGATTCCTACGTTACCCTCTCAAACGCAACCCCAGCTATCTGAACATGGAGTACCCATGTCTACACATGCTACAGCACAAGAGCGACGGGTTACTCTGGCATCGCTCTCTCATGGTGGTGTACCCACGACAGGATCTAGTGGGAATGCATTTGGCGGATCATACTTTATGCCGTCGCTCAAGAAAAAGGATTTAAAAAAGATGGACGACAGGAACCATACAAAAGAGGAAGCCGTCGTACCATCTGTAGAAGACGTGTTGATGCGATCTGGATTGGCAGGTGAGCCCATCAGCACTTTTGCAGCGAATGGTGGTTCTGGTAGCAATGCTAGCACTACTCAAGCACTTCCTACAGAATACATTCCATCGCCGCCAATCTCTACACCTGGATCACCTGGAGCATATCAACGATCTCAAATGCTGGGAGCGTTTCCCGGACAGAATGCTGGTGGTGGTATTCCAGGCGTATCTCGTTTACAAACAGATTTGAGAAGTATGCCTCCATCGCAGCTACAAGGTCCACACTCGCCTCGTGGAGTCAGCCATATGAGCTACGCTCAACAGCTTCCACCTCAACCGCCAAGAAATGTTGTATCTCCACAACCTCAAATCAGTATGGCTGAATATCAGCAGTATCAACAGCAACACCACCCACCTCAACAAGGGCCTGGTTACTACCCAACATTTCAAGCACAAGGGTATCAGCAAATGCAAGAAGCAACCCATCGGTCGCAACGAGCAAGTATGTCACCAGAGCAGAAGACCATGCCTTTAGATTCCAATTTTGAACAACATGCCAATGGACATGGAGGAATAAGTATTAGTACTGCAATCAGTGCAGGCATGATGAATCGTGGACAAGCATCAGCATCTCAGACATCAGCCTCGTCTGGACCCGCACCCACCATTGGACTTCCACCTGTTCCATTAAGCTCGAGTGGAAACAGAGCGGTATCACCGTTACCATCCAGTGTACGATCTCAAGAAGAAGCTATACATGGAAACTATTCATATCACCAGCAGTATCATCGTAATGACATGACATCGCCTACGTTGCACTCTCCACCAGCGATACCCAACGGAACATCGTCTATACGTGAGCGTATGACATCGCCTATTCCAGGACCACGAGCACATCCAACCACATCAACGGGGAGTTCCTCCCAAGCATCGACCTCATCGATTGCACCCCTCATTAAGATCAAGACCTACTATGGTGATGATGTTATTTTGATAGCGGTACCATCACGAGGAACAACGTATCGAGACCTAGTATCCAAGATCACACGCAAGATCCGACTGAACAATGCAGCATTACCAGAAGGTAGAGAGATTCGACTGCGATATCGAGATGAAGAGGGAGATTATGTCAGTATGAATGGAGATGATGATGTGATGATGGCATTTGAGCTTGCACGAAATGGGAGTGATCGTGGATTAGTACATATCACGGCGCAATAGGATGAATATATTGAATAGGAGTAAAAACTTGAATAAAGAGTTTATTGGATGAGATTATCCGAGAAGCGATTAAATAATAATGCAAATGTGATGCTTTGAAGTGTAAGAGGGTCAATGCAAGATATTTGAAACACACACAAGACGGGTTTATAGATTTGGAGTGATTTTTTGGGGTTTTACTTCAGACTAGAACTTTAAACGATTTGTATTCCTTCTTGAGCAGCTTGAAAAGAACCTTCAAACCAGTCATCAGAACTAGAATTGAATCCAGTTATTATTTTATTGATCGACCAAAGACTACAGCAATGAACTTTTTAACTTTTGTGATGGGATGGTTCATCACAGTAGGGAGGCTAGTCATAGCACAAACGACCCCACAATGTGTTGCACTTGATAGCTCGACACCTTGTGGTTTGGATTACACAGGCTATCCAGTGTTGCAATCGCAGTTTGCATCTGTTGCAGCCTTTACTGCAGCAGTGCAGTCCAACATTGCGGATCTCAATCAAGTTGCGGATTCATTTGTAAACAACTATGGCTGCACGACAGGACCCATTCGACCAGCACTTGAAGTAATGCGATATCAAGTATCTATTCAATGTTCAATGGCCATCAATGATGCGATTGTAGCAGGATGTTCAGTGTCTTCAAACCGTCCACCCAAAGGACCACTTTTATGTACACAATTCTGCTCCATGGCAGGAACTACTGTTCAGCAAGTCTTTCAGAATACAACTGCCTGTAGTGCACCAGGAAGTAATGCTATTGCACAAGCAAGAACTAACTTGCTAACTCAATACTCAAACTATTGTACGTTTTCAAGTAATGCCATAGCAGCTGGTGCTCCATGCACAGGAGGTGCTCAAGCTGAACGAGACTTGTGTGGTAAGTCGATCCTAACCAACTGCTTGCATTGATTTCTCAATAACGCCTCGTTGTGGTGGCTGCCGTTAGAATGTGGCTTTAGAAACTCACTTTTTGTATTATTAGGTTGGAGAAATAACTCGACTGCTATTGCTCAATGCACTACAAACTTCAAAGACACTTGCTGTACGAATCTAACTAAACTGAGTACTGTCTCGGCTGGAGTTTCTTCTAAATCAAACCTTGCTCTTTATATTGGTCTTGGAATTGGTGGTGTTGTACTTCTAGTAGTGGGTGCCATACTCGCTGTCTATCTTTACAGGCGTCGATCACAATCTTATGTGGATCATGAAGACAAGGCCGCTTATCAAGCAAATCAATATCGAGGCTCTCATAAACTTGAAGAAATTGAAGCCAATTCCACTCCAAAGGGTCCAATCACCGCACTCTATTCGCCTCCTAGTCTCGCTAAATCTGCTACAAGCAATCACAACTCTATCGTCGCTTCAAATCTCTCCGCTGCTCCTGCTGCTCCTCCTTCCTCTGCCAACTCTTCTCCTCCCATTACAATGAACAATCTACCTCCCACTGCAAGAAAAACTAGAGTCCTTCATCCCTATGAACCCACTTTACCCGACGAACTTCGTTTAGAAGTCGGTTTGGAAATCATCATGGTTCGTGCATTCGACGATGGTTGGGCACTTGGTTTCGATCCAAATACTTCAAAACAAGGCGCTTTTCCCCTGGTTTGTGTTGCAGAAACTGATGATCAATCAACTATCATCACTACCGCTCCAAATACTGTCATTGCTGCTCCAAATGATTCTGCCTCGACAAGTATCTTGCAACGTAGTTCCAATACAAACTCCTCTCATCGTACTTCTTCTCAAATGATCTCTTCATCTGATCGTTTGGCTGTCAGCTCTCTTGTTGCTACAACCCTTCGCGAAAAACAACAGCGTGATCAACGCATTAGAGATGATATAGCCGGTCCTTTTGTTCGTACTGACCTCTCTGCAATCGAACGTCGTCAACGTGAACGTGAAGAAGAAACAGAAAGAGTGCGTTTGGAAGAACTAGATTACCAGCGTCGTCGTGAAGAACGTGAACGTGAACGGCTTCAACGGGAGCAAGAACGTCTGCGTTTAGAACAGGAGCGTATCGATCGTGAACGGAATCGTGTTCAGCGAGAACTGTTTGAACGTGAACGCACTGAACGTGAACTCCGTGACATGCAAGCCAATACTGCCTCTCCGCAATTCACTGCTGAATCTCCAACTGGTTCTAAAAAAACCAAACGGAGTCAGCAACCCATCAGCAAATTCTTGACTGATTTAGATGAAATGGGCAAACCCCATTCAAGTGACTCTCGTTAATTCAACCCCATTGCAATTTTATTCCAACATAGAATTGACTTGTTTACTTTTTGCCTATGTTTCTAGAATCACTTTGGTTTTATACTATTGAAAAAACTTCATTCTATGTTCATCTCCAACTTTATACTCGACACAATTCTACTCCCATATCATGTGTGCTTTTTTTATCATTTTGTACGAGATTCAACTCGGTTGCTGGCTTTGTTGGTTGTGCCATGTAGTAGTGTCAAGGTGTGTTGACATCTTGTAATACTGTGTACATGGTGTGTTTGGAATTTACAAGTCTTTGGTTTGAATCCAAGCCCAGCCACACTCTCCACCTTGTAGCCAGAGAACCCTTTTTTGATTTAATACTCTATGAATTATTCAAGATATAATAAATGTGTTTAGAATTGGTCCACCACAAGCTTTGTAATCACAATCAGGGTGATGGCACGACTGTAGTGTATCAAACCACGAGTCAAAGGGCTGAGAATAAAACCATGTAGCACACATTGCTGATCTCACAAGACTAGATACACACATTGTTGATCCTATACATCTACCACAAAATCAAATGCACACATTGTATTGATCAAATATTTCATCTTGATACTTTTTAATCCATCATGTTTAGACTGATGAAAACCAGGACATGCTGAGTAGACTAGATTTATTTGAAATTATCACTGGGTTGCGGAACTCATTGAACAAACTATTCATCTGGCATATGACTACAACGCAAGATAATGTGGCAGTGCCAGGCTCATATTTCCGATTCAAGCACACAAGCTTGATAATCTAACCCAACACACACTGCTTTCACTTTGTGTAACATGATGATTTGAAAAAGCTCAAGACGGAATACAGTTTCAGAATGATTGAACAACATTGAATTTCAACACTATTCACTCATCACAAACATGATCAGAATCACAAATCGAAAAAGGTGTGTACCAATGCAGGTGGCATAATTTTACACTGGCTCATGGACGATAGCTTATAAACTCGACCTTTTGTATCTTGTTTCTATAGTGAAATGTCAAATCCTACTGCTGGCAGCTCTGCGTTGGCTATCCCACGTAGTTATATCAATCCATTGCCTGCATCGGCTCACTTTGATTTTATACAGCGGAATGCTCAAGGCGACCTTGTTGAAAAGGGAACTTCAACTCCTTTTCGTTGGCTGTCTTTTAATATTCCTGCTCTTTTGTTGTGCGAGGATCGTCCACAGTTCCAACGTGGGTATCCTATGTGCAAAAACCCTGACCCTAATCCTGTTGATTGGAAAGATGGCTATAAACTTGGTACTGAAAACGGTCGACGATGTATCATCTCTCCGTATGGCGAGAATGCTTGGGAATGGGTGGTTCCTGATCCTTGGGAACAAGAAGACGCTGTTCGAAGTATTGCTGGTCTAGGTGGTCGTGTTATTCGCACATATACCCTGGGATTCGGAGACCACTATCACATGGAAGGTCCTGGAAAGTTTAATGAAAAGGCTTTTGTCGCTATGGATCATGCTCTTGCTCTATGTCGAAAATACGGTGTGAGATTGGTCATCCCGCTTGTCAATCAAAATAGTCCCAATCTATACTATGGCGACTATGGAATCATGACAGGGTTTAGAAAAAAGAGTCCCAGTGCGTTCTTCACCGACCCAGAACTCATGTATGTTTTGTTGAATAGTATGATTGTGAATAACTGCTGTGTTTGATACTAAATCATTGGATAATTGTCTATTCATAGAAATGATTTTAAAGGTCTGATCAAATTTATGCTTAACCGAAAGAACACAGTCAATGGTATCAGATACGGTGACGACTGCACTATCCTCGCATGGCAAACAGGAAACGAACTAGGCGGATGGGAAGGTGCTCCACCACCATCGAGATGGACAATTGACATAGCGACTTACATCAAAGGACTTGCACCCAATACTTTAGTCATGGACGGAACAATGGGTGGATTGGACTTCAAAAAGCGTATTCCTATAGAATCTCTTCAATCCAAATATGTCGACGTCTTCTCCAACAATTACTATTATGGTCGACAAGATATCCAACGACTCAAGGATGATCCAGCACATACTCGTTTGTATAAAAAGGCATTTGCTGTGACAGAATTTGGACTTGCCGATGAAGGCACGCTTACAGATGTTGCAACAGCCATTTCCAGCAACAAACTGGTATCGGGTGGATTGCTGTGGAGTCTGCGATACCATAGTGTTTTTAGTGGATTTTATACCCATTTTGAAAAGCTAAACTATTGGTCGTATCACATTCCAGGATTTCCCGCTGCCAAGGGTTTCATGCCTGAAGAAACGAATATTGTGAAGATGGTTCGCAACCTTGCCTTGCCATTAGCAGGACGATCAACTAAAGAACCGTATCCTTGCCCTCCCACACCAGGAGCGATTCGAGGCGTGACGCCTTTGACATTGAAATGGAAGGGATCAACTTGGGCTGCTCGATACAGTGTTGCACGATGCAAGTGTTCCACACCAACTCCACCACCAGAAACAGTCTGGGAAACACTATCCTGGTCAGTAAAAGACAATGTCGAATGGGGAAAAACTATTTATTCCGACAAGACTGCTGTCAAAGGAGTCTTGTATTGCTACAAGATCCAAGCCATTAGCGTCGATGGATTTGTTTGTGGCAAAGATGCATTGATCATTGGACCCATCAAGAATAGTTGAACAACCCTTTACCACCATTAGAATAAAAGTCATTAAATCATTACATCCGTATTCACGTAAAATGTATTATGTTGCTAAGATGGAAAATGGTCAACTATTCATTAACCATCCATTTGACATTATCAATGTCTAACAATCCAGATATTTGACTGTTTTCAAACTCTTTTTATCCTAAATCTCAGATACGCTCACACTTTAATTCAATACAACTACACATGGCAATCACCAAGAAACTAGAGTTCAAAGTAACAATATTGGCCAGTGATTTTGAATTGTTTATTTGAACACCCTTATTTAGTTGTATTTTGTGTGAATACACGACTGTAACTATTCACTGGTTTAAAACAATTTGAAATGGTTGTCAAGCATATTGGTGAGTGATTTTGTGTCTTGAAACTCACTTGAATAGATGATACCATCACATGAATGGACTTGAAAAGAAGTAGAGAGTACACTTGGTACAGTTTCTAGAATCTACTGTACTTTCAGTCAATTGATCAACCTTGTCTGTCCATGAAATAGTTCTTTTCAAGTTCCGTGATCATACATCTCAAGCAATCCTCACCAAGCTCGACTCTAGTCTGAAAGGGTTGACCTGTATCCCTGGTGTGTTGGATGTCTCGTTTGGCAAGACCTTTACCACTGAGCGTGCTCAAGGATTCAATCATGTCCTGATTGCTACGCTCAAAGACCGAGCTGCTCTGGCTACCTATTCTACCAACCCACAGCATGGTATGGAACTGCTACTAGTATATGAATGAGTTTGGATTCAGAATGCATATCGCTAACCCTTGGTGTACTATGAAAACTATAGTTGATGTTGTCAAGGCTGACATCCTACCCAATGTTGAGCAGAGTGAGTTGACAACATGATCTTGTGTATTTCTTTCAGATCTTCAAGTCTTGTGTGTATTCCAATAGGTAGATGACTAACAGACATGTATTGAATAGATGGTGTCTTGGCAATGGATATTGATGTTCCTGAAATCAACTGATTATCCATTAAACTTGTGTTGATCTGACCAACATTTTAACTTTCAAATCGATTATCAAGCAGCCGCTATTGTGCTAAATCCATGTTTTGTATATCAGTATTGGGATTGGATTACGAAATATTGGGTAGAAGCTGGCTTTATTTGGATATACAATACAATTCCAACACAACAAGCAACCACACAAAAACATTACAATGTCATTTCAATACCTGTTGTTATAACATTGTACTGTTTAGTAAAGTGGAGATGTGTGCCACAGCATAGATGTAGATTACCAGCTATATCGTTTGAGGGGTTGTCATTCTAATAGCAGCTATGAGTGAGTGTGGATATTCGACCCAACAGCAAATGACACGTCCGCCTTGACAATGCTTTAAATAGAACGCGAAGGGGTGTTATACGAATCGCTATAGATCCAGAGCTAGTAGCTTCAGCCAATACAACAAAAAACTATATATTGCAACGTAGAGACTAGAATGGAAACTGCTCCTTTGCCATCAGGATTGGTTTCATTATCAAACTCCAATCCATCCTTGCATCTATCCCGCAATAGCATCTCAAATATGCCTAATACCGTACACGACGATGGTAGTCAACAGTATCGAGACGAGACCTTGGCAAAATTATCAACAGACAAATGCAGACATCCTATTCCTCAATCTCCACAACCACCACTTCCCAAGGGATCATGGAAACGCATATTCAAATCCTCCTCCCATGTATCTGTCATACCTAGCGATGAAAAACCCGATTCGCTGGATTCACCATCAGAACCACAGAGTCGTACATCAACCACATCATTCCAATATACTGGCACAACAGGATCAAGCGAAGGGTTTCGTAGTCCGCACGTTGCATCTAAACTGGGTGGGTTGACGACCAAACTCGCGAGAATGCTGACAGGAAAGAATAAAGATAAGCGATTTCGATCCATATCCCATAGCGTAGGGATGGTCAATACGCATTCAGATTCGGACGGACTCAACGATGCCGATCAGTCTGGTGCCAACAGTTCTGCTCCTGGAACATCCTCCATGTCTCGAGTCAAAGAGTTTGGAAAACGGTTTGTAACCGGTGATCATTTTGGGATATCGACATTAAATAGTAGCGAAAGTGATGGTACCACCCAATCAAGAACTTCCAAAGGATCAGAGAATGAGTTAAAAACAGCGGTTTTAAATTTTGGTGGTGTAGATATGTCAACGTGTGTAGATTCGGTCCAACCAACTCTACACCCTTCTACCCATTTGGATGTCAGTCATGTACCCATACCACACACCTCGAAAGAAATGGAAAATGATTCATCAGTTCAGCCAATACCGCAATCCAAACCCAGACCCACATCGGTTATTTACGCATGGCCCAACTCGTCGCCTGGTGAAGAGAAAGTTTTGACTGTATTGACGGGTGGATCCAATGAAACAAGTTCATCAAAAAGTGTCCTTCAAAAATCATCCTCGGCTAGTTTGCTCGAAGATATTCGCAATCATGCTCAAACAAGGCCAAAAGCACGTCGTGGAACAAAAAACCGATTTGCCGAGCCTGCGTTTGATGCACAATCCCTTAAAGTAGGCTACTACACAATCTTTTAAACTGTTGATCATACCGTGAATGTATACTAATATGTAGAATATGATCCATCATGTATGGTTAGATGGCACAAGAAGAAAACGATGATATTGCGCCATTAACAACAAAACGAGGAGCAAGTGTAAAACGCAAACCAAGCAATATCAATCGTGCAGGAAGCAAACTCATGTCCAACACTAGATCAAAAAGCATCATCTCGCTTAATTTTGAAGAGCAGTTTGGTCGTCCATCTGCTGATGTGATTGCCAACAATCTTGATAGATATTTTCCTGGTATCTCTGATATTCGTGTCGATATTCTTAGCACTGAAGATGATCCAGAGGTGCCCTGTACACTGCAAAACTCGCTTGAAAAGGATATAGAACATACTAAAGTAGACAAAAGTGCATGCATGGTTAATGAATCAAGCAAGACTGGAGGCGAGTCGATTGCTAGATTGGAATCTCTGCGTCGGAATGGATCTCCCACAAAAAAACTTGTACCCACCACTGTAGATATGGATGAGTCAAATGTGGACCCCAATCATCATATACCAACATTGAACCTCGCGACTAACCCTATAGACAAGACAGCAGATACACCCTATTCATCGTGTTCTAGAGAATCTGTGTTTGGACAGTCAAAGTCATGCAATGAAATTGATACGAGTATAGAGAATCAGCAGCAGAAACTCATGCATGAATCGGGTCGCTCTAGACCAACTTCAATGCTTTTATCATCAATGGGAGAGTCATCTGGAAAGTCGGATACTCATTTTCAATGGCATTCTGGACCAACGCTAACTCTCAAGGATATTGTTCAAACAGCCATTACGGCAAATCAAACACGACGAGGATCGATAGCACCCTCGTCTATACTGCAACCTGTGTTTATGTCAGAACGCGAAGATAGCAATGTTTCTCTTCCGTCTTTTCATAGTACATGTAGCGCACCTACTCATCGATATATATCATCCAACTCTGCAGTTAGCTTATCTGATCGTCCACTCGAGTCAACAAAGGAGGAAACGGATCTATTGGAAAAAGAACAAGCACAATTGACAACTCGACCTCAGCCTAAAGGGTTTCGTAATCGTAAAAACCAACTATCTAAACTGGACACAAAATCTACTGGTGTGATTTCTATACGATCAGGTGGGACAATTCTGTCCGCATCCATTTCTGCCGTGCCCAATAGTGCTTATCCTCGCACACTTGGTCAAGTTACAATTAAACCAGACTTGCATTACGATCTGCATCATCCCCAAACTCAATCCAAAGACATGCTGAATAGGGAGGATGGTGTAGATAGAAAGGTTTCGTTGAAACGTGTCTTGTCTCGCAAGCAAAGTCAACATCGTGTAGGGAATCGTGCCAATCGATCCAGTGCCATCATGTCATCATGCCTTGAAACACCGAGTGGTGCTGGGATGTGTGTGAGTGCAATCAATCCCCAAACCAATGAGAAACTTATATGGGTGCGAGGTGAGCTGATTGGTCAAGGTGCGTTTGCTAGTGTTTATCTTGGAGTGGTGATTGAAACCGGACAATGCATCGCAGTAAAGCAGGTACAAAATTCACTTGCAGGTGAAGGGGAACTGAAACGTAAAAACACGGCCCAAAGAGCACGACCAGCATTTGGACGCAAGAAATCTATATTTTCTCCAATGGTTGCGTTACGGCACGAACTGGAGTTATTGAAAGGATTAAATCACTCTCATGTCATTCAGTATCTTGGGTTTGAGCAGACTCCAGAGTATTGTAATATATTTTTAGAATACGTTGCTGGGCGATCTATTTCTTCGGTGCTTGTTAAAACGGGTCCATTTTCCGATGAACTGATTTGTGTATTATCGTCACAAACACTCCAGGGCTTAGACTATCTGCATTCTCAGTAAGTGCCATGTTACTATGATCAAGTTAGACGGTCAATTATTTATGTATTGAAACTGTCCATGTCAACTAGAGGAATTATTCATCGTGATATCAAAGCTGCCAACAGTAAGTGCAGAATATTTTAATTTGTAGTATTTTGAATTTCATTTAAACGGATGCTAAACTATTTATTTTTAATATGGATGATTCAGTACTTGTTGATGTGGTTGCATGTATTGCCAAGATAACTGATTTTGGTGTCTCGATGAAGCATGGTAAGTCTGCATGCAAGTATTTTTGAGATTTCAACAAGCTTTAACACAATTGTTTATGTATGATGTCTAGTGAAAGGAGCATACAATCGTGTGTCTGACTTGACAGTGCATGGTACTGTCAGTTGGATGTCGCCAGAAACGGTTCGTGCCAAGGGATACACAGCCAAAGTGGACATTTGGTAATAGTTGACATTAGAGTTGGATCGACTCATTTCCATAATGTGCTAAACACGAATCATGTTTAATGCATATTAGGAGCTTTGGATGTATGATTATTGAAATGACGACTGGATTGAAACCATGGAGCGAGCTCAACATGGATCTACAAATATTTTCCCAACTGGCACGTAATCAATCACCACCACTTTCGCCCAATCTCAGTGCAAACATGCGTGCATTTACTGAAAAGTGTTTTATCATGTAAGTTTACTTTTACTCAAGAGTGGGATCAAATGATTAACACTTGATATGTGTGCACATGTATGCTTAACCAGAGATGCGGATCAACGTCCTACAGCCAGAGAATTGTTGGCGGATCCATTAATTTCTGGAATTGATCCATATGGGTTTGCTTTACAAGAATACTACACTACTGCATCAGAGATGTGGAAACTGCAACGACAGCCTAGTTTATTGAGTGATAGCGAGGACGATTACAGTGAAACCGAGTCAGAGAAGGAAGTATCAGAAAGTAACAGCGATGAGTTGCAAAGTAATTAAGCAATGAGAAAAAGTCAGTTAAACTGTAAAGTATAATAAATCTGACTAAAAGATGTTAATTTTGAATACAACAATTCAATCACTCAGTGAGTGATTAAAAGAGTATCATGAATGAATATAAAGAGATGATTTAGAATAGAATAATAGAATAGCTAGAATAATAGAAATGAAACTTGAGAGATTTGAATAGAAATGAAACCCAAAAATGAATGAAAAACTAATTTTATAAATCTTTCAAAAGCAAAGCTCAAGCAAGCTCAAGCAAGCCCACGCAAGCCATTTAAACACGACACAAATATCGACTTAGTTGAGCAGCAGCCACAAGCCAACATCCACGCCATTCGTCAAACATTTGCAATGAGAGTGCCATCAAATAAATAAAACTTCTTATTCTGATATTAACCTATCGTATCTGGCATTCACTTCTCCACACATGTCACAGGCCGCCCTTACTGCATTGCCTGTGTCTTCAGATTCTATTGCTGGTGCCATCGACACTACTTCTACCGTCCAAGTTTTGGGTTTAAAACCTTCTCAATCCACTCCATCTTCTACTACTGTTTCGACTACGCCGATGCCGGATTCCATGTCTGTTTCGACCGTGCAGCAGAAACATTTACAGCAACAACTATTCCAACAGCGTCAACAAACAATGCAGCCAAAGGCTACTCCGCCCTCTGATGGTGGTAAAGTAGCATCTGGCCCTGCTCCTGGCCCTGATGTCCATCAAGGTATGAATTCGACATTTAGATTGGGATTTACTTGGATCAACTATTGTACACGCAGCTTCCATGATTCAAATCCATGCTTCCAATTGTCTTGTATGTTGGTGCTGTCTAGTCTTGTTCCACTATGTGGTCTTGGCCATTCCACTGTCGTACTCATGTATCTTGCAGTCTATTTTACTTTGGAATATCCAATATGGGTCGTGCTTTCCTTACTACACATTGATGATTACGCACAGCATCCTATACACATCCATCCCTTCTTCTTTGGTAGTTATTCTACGATCATCAAGTTTAAATCCAGATTCATTGCATTCGACTCTTCAAACTTTTGTGTCCTGAATCCTCCATGTTACGGTTCAACAAACATTCCAATTGGCAGATTGTCCTGTCTTGAAACAATGTTGATTATATTCCATTTGAAAAAGAATCAATTCCTGTCTTGTTCTGATATGGATCATCACAAGTCGGTCTATCCATCAAGTATTCTTTACTAATCCATCTTTACTTTGGGTTGGTCGACTATTTCCAATTTTAAATCTTGTTTCTTGTCTGAAACATCGTCCAAAGCTGCTCCTATTGCAAAACCCCAACCTGTTGCCTTCACTCCGTTTGCTCACAATATTCCTTCTGTTTCAGGACCTATTTTGCCATTCGATGCTCGCTCTGTCCAAGTCTCTCATCCAAATACTTTGGCATCATCACACGAGGCTCATCCTGCGACTGCACAGGCTCTACAAAATCCAATGCAGCGTCCTCATTCTACTCATGTAAATCCTCCTCTTGCTACCAATCTGCCTCCACCCGTACTGTTTGGAAGAAAGCTTAAAATCGAGGATTTGGAAATTCGCAACACTCTTGGAACTGGATCGTTTGGCCGCGTGCATTTGGTTAAATACAAGGCATCTGGAAAACACTACGCTATGAAGGTACTCCGCAAAACAGAAATCATCAAGCTTCGTCAGGTGGAGCATACCCTCAACGAAAAGCACATTTTGGAACAACTTAATTTCCCGTTCCTTGTTCAAATATTTGGCACATTCCAGGACTCGAACAACTTGTATTTGGTGCTTGAATACGTTCAGGGCGGTGAGCTGTTTTCTTACTTGAGAAAGAGTGGGGTAAGTCCATCTTATTTCAAGATGTGCTAGTTACAACAACCTAATGTATTCTAATCCCTTGTTCATGACTCGCACCCATCACTAGCGCTTCTCCAATCACGTTGCTCGCTTCTATGCTGCCCAGGTTGTTATGGCATTTGATTATCTCCACACCAAAGATATTATTTATCGTGACCTTAAGCCCGAAAACTTGTTGATAGATGTTTTTGGAAATATCAAAATCACCGACTTTGGGTTCGCCAAATTCGTCCCAGATGTAACTTGGACGCTCTGTGGTACTCCCGACTATCTTGCACCAGAAATTATCCAATCAAAAGGCTACGGGCGTGCTGTTGACTGGTGGGCACTTGGTGTCCTGATATATGAGGTAATGACAGATGCTTTATCTTCCAACTCCTCAACTCCAAAATCTTACCCTTCTTTCTTCTCTAGATGCTGGCTGGTCATCCACCATTCTATGATGAAGATCATTTTAAGCTATACGAAAAAATTCTCCAGTGCAAACTTCGTTTTCCTCCTCATTTCGACCCCATGGCCAAAGATCTTGTAAAACGGCTACTTTCTCCAGATCTATCTAAACGGTTTGGTAATCTCAAAGATGGAGTGCAAGACATCAAACGGCACAAATGGTTTGCAGGAGTCGACTGGGAAAAACTCAAAAATCTAGAGATTCCTGCCCCATATATTCCTAAAGTCGCTCACGAGGGTGATACCAGCAACTTTGATGCTTACCCAGAAGATCACGAGCCTTATGGTGTAGTAGGCAACGATCCATACCGTGAAAAGTTCAAGGACTTTTAATTTCCAAGCAAAGTACTAGAAAACAATGGAATTCAACATACACCTTGTACTTTCCACTACTGCTCTCTTGTCTTGGACTCGACTCTTGCAGTTTGATTTCTCGTACCGATTTTTTCTATCCGTTTCTTTTTTAAAAAAACTTAGTATTCAGATTTTATTTTCACAATTGGTAGAAACTGGTTTAATACATTGGGTGGATGACATGACAAGATAATAAACTGTCATGAAGCTATTTCCTACATTCGAATAGATTATGACAGTTGAGATGGATAGTTTAGTACAGACCTTTACAGTAATAACTGGTGAATGGGATATACTTGCATACTGAATGATTATCAAGTGTTGAATTTACTTGTATTCTCGACGATGCATCAACCAATATTAATGATTCAACTCATCTTTTTGATCATGTCATGTGTATCGAACATATTGTAATCCATATAAATGGGCAAGTAAAAGACTAAACCATTCAAGCTGTAATCAATCCTAAAATCGCGAGATTGAAAACATTCAATATCTCAACTATTGATCATGATTACACATGATACTTTGGATTCAACTTTTACAATGAAATGAACCCATCGGTCGAGTGTGCTGAGATACAGTTTTTATTTTCCTTCAATCACATAATAGAAATGCTGTTTGATGTCATCAGGCATATCGTCTTCTTTGTCCACAATACACACTTTGGTGGCATCAAATAACTCGCCGTCAATGATATTCGCCATGGGGTGGTACACTTCTTTTTCTAGCCATTCGTGGTAATGCATCATGAAATTATCATCTAAATGATCGTGCGATTTGAGCATGGATGTACTTAGATGGAGTAGACTTGCATGGTAGGGATTGGATGTATCAAACGATCCCTTGACAGAAAGACGTAGGATAAGATCAAGATCGTCTACAGATGGGTGATGGGTGTGTGAAAACGTTGTTGAGTTGGATATACGTTGATCATGCATTTTATCAGTGGGTACAGGATGAGAATGCATGGGCACGTGTGTGGACAATGGACTGGTTGGTTTTGTTTGTGCATAGGTTCGTGTCATGAAGGATGTAATGAGCGATCTAAGACGTTGCTCTTTTATCTATCACATCAAAGTGCAGTTAGCATTCATTCAACATAACCTGACCACAACATAGCATTTTACCAATGCCTCATCAGTCTTGATTTCAAAATCACCAATCAAATAGTCTTCAATGAGCGATGGCTTTAAATGTTGGTAAATCAGCGTCACAATTGCAAGATTGTCTAATAATACAACACGTTACATGATAACTCAAACTTTAAATAGTCTTCAATCTACAAGACTTACGAGGTCGCCATTTTTTCCCCAAAAATGGAATCTGACTTTTGATGAGTTTGAGTGCATAGAGGTACAGTCCAGCATGATTTACTCTGACGATCCGTTTGAGCACAATGGCGGCCTTCCATTGTACAAGTGAGAGAATTCGATGGAGTTTACCCTTGGTCATTTTATGCAAAATTCGAAGCAGACAGATTGTGGTTGAGAATGCACGGTGACGAGAGGGTTGCATCAAGGGTTTCGATGAGTGAGGATCTATATACACATACCACAAAAACAATCGGTTAGCTCAAGTCGTATTAAAATCAGTCAAACAGAATTTCAATCTACTCAGCTGTTGAGAAAATCAGGTGTCGAATGAGATGTGTCAAATGTAGCAGATTCAGTAGGAGAAAGTGGTCCACGACAGAAATCAATAAAACTAAATCATGCATTTCAAACAAAAATTAATCATGTATCATATGGCATGATACGATGCAAACTACATTACTTGAGTTGGGCAGGATCACGTCGATACAATAGCCATGTCGATCCAATGGGTCGTTCTTGACTTCCAGCTCCCAAATTACTGTATGATTCATTTGTAGGGATATTTGAAAACCATGTATTCAGCATTTTTACAATCAAAATAGCGCAGTTGCTATCCATAAGTAATTGGCACATGTACTCAAACGCCAGCACGTCTAAATTTGTTTAGTTTACAGTCAGTTTAAACCAAAATATTGCTTAATATCAAAAATGTGGTCCTTACGATATCGCTTAAATCCACGTAGCAGCAAAAGCATGGAACTGCATATAGCCAAAGTAACCGTTTCACGATGTCGAACAGAATCTAACCATTCGAGCACTACAGTTCGATCATTGAGTGGTATGGCATCAATTTGTGCAGTCGAGGGTACTTCATCCAAACCAAATCCTTTGGGAGAAGATTCGTTGGATGCTAAATTCAAGTAGTACATCAGTCGTACAAGCATGCTCATATAGCGCGGCAGGTTTTCTTGCAAATTCGAAAAAAGCTTTTCGAGTCGGCTTAAACCAGAAGTAGGTGTAGGTTTTTTTGACCTAGATTCAGAGTATGTGCGAGGACAATGTCCATCAACCCGAGCAGTTGGGTAAACAGTATTTTCAACAGAATTCAATGCAGGCAAACCACTTTGATTGAGCACCTCGATTTCTCGCGCAATTTGCATGGCTCCGACACTGACATAATTGTATTTTTTAAAGGCACCTACAGCTTCCAGCATTGGATTGGGCATGGTAGTTTCTGACTTGAATATGAGTGGCTGCAATTGATATTCGTGCGATGGACATAGCTCTGTATAGTCATAGAATGGCGAGACTGTTTGAAACACATTTTCTGATGGCGAATCAATCATTGAATATGTGACATTTGATAAATGATGTACAGCATCTGGAAGATAGTAGGCCGGGTACCTATGAGAAGCAATAGTATGATAATTTTGATAGTCCTGTGGTGTGGATTTTATATAGTATACTAGGCCAAATACAATGATTAAAATCAACTCGACTCATTCAAATCTAATCATCCAAACCTTACATGAAGAATCAGCAGGAACAATTCCGTTTAATTTACGCGCTTCAATCGTCATGGTAGCAAGATCTGCATCACTTCCAACAATCGTCATCAATATCTTCCACAACAATAAAAGAAGCTAAAATACCAAAAATCAGTATGGAATAAAGATTCAACAGTATGATAAAGCCAAACCATCAGACACCTTTTTTACTGGATAGTGTTGTCTGTTTCCTTCAGCCAATTGAGCAAGAATCTTGAACAGAAATTGTGGTATATACGGATCCAGATTTGCTAATCACAAAACATAAGTACGGATACCATACATTTCATTACACATCCAAAAAACATACAAATCTCATTGATGAATGCTGGATCGCGCATATTGATCAATACTATCGAGTACATGATACTTAGATAAGTAGTTGCTTCTAGAATATTCAAATCAAGAGTCAACTGAGTTTCAGTAGTGATGACCTGCTGCTTGGAAATTGTTTCGAATGCATACGATGTAGCACGGAATGCAGCATACACAGTGGGGAATACGTCGAGTTCATACAAAAGTTTGTTGTTTTTGATAATGGCTTGAAGTTGATCCGATGTTGATTGCAGTTTTATCGGAAGATATAAACCTGATCAAGTACAAAAATGAATATCTACTTTAAATGCAACAGTATGACAAGTCATCCTCACCTTGTGTAAAGTACAGCAATTTGTTTGAAGCCGCAATACGCAAATCTGAATGTTGCATACTAATCTGTTCCATCAGTTCTTGAATCACATCGCTATGTATATGATCTAATGCAATAAACATACATCAGTACATTACAAATTGAATGAATGATGATGATGGAATCATACCAGCCAGTACAGTAGTTTCCCACATATATTTTCCGTTTGCGCATAAAGCAAAATCGTCATAGTTGTAAAATTCATTGAGCTCATTTTCCAGAGTATCGGATTCGACATGGCAATAATCGTAATCTGGAATGCAATGCGCTGGCGGCTAGTATAGATGAAACAAATAAGTATAAATGCAATACAATGTAACAACCCATTCAAGATTACTTTTGGAGGAGCAACCAAGGTGGATGAGCGATCACGCCATGTACCATCAGTACCACTCAAAGTTGAAGAATCTGCCGAGTTTGAAGAAGGCCAAGTTTCAGAAACTGCAGTTGTATCACTTTTTGAATCCGTATATTGAATGTCTTGCTCAGGGTCAGATAATTGTGGTTTATGATCCAACACGCAGTGTTGAGTGTCGGAATTGTGGATATCGAAATCCAAATCATCCAAATTATCCAAATCATTGTCATGTCCAGGAGAAATGATGAATGAAGTTGGACGACCATGAGTGAGTTTGACATTAGAAAGAACCAACGGAGCAGTATTGGATTGGTCAGGAAATCTGTTCGAGTAAGCATCAAGATTGGTGGATGAAGTATTAGTTGATGCAGGAACAAAGACACTGGACATTGCAGTAGAATATGCAGCAGAAGCAACATCATAAGGATTGTAGTTTTCTAGAGTAGTGTAGATAGGAACAGCAGTTGAGGATCCAGTATTGACATCATCCGTTGCAAGTGTTGGTTTTTGGGATGAATTGTCCTGTAACTGAGAGTGATTCTTTGCAGTAGGTTTACGTAGTTTTGGTGGAGGTAAAGCCAGTGGTCGTAGCTTTACTGTATGTCTGAATGCTCCAGATGGCACAATCATGATTGTTAGTCAAGATTCAACTTGATTATTTTAGTTGATATTCACGCAAAATGGACAACTTTTTAATCCTCTAATTTTGGCTTGAAATCAAGTTGATTTTACTAAACGAACATTACAAACTGTTCATCAGTACAAACAATCTCTTGGTTTGCAGTCACAAAATTCATTTCAATTCGAGCATTTTGTTTGACTGTTTTGATGTTGTTTTCTATACTCGGATACGCTCGCAATGAGTTTTAAAAAAGCAAGATTAAGAATGTCAATCACTCGATGGGTTTAAAAACAATATTGTTCAGTATATTAACAATGGTATTCATGTAAATCAAGGATTTAAAAAGAATACCAAAGTACATGGTGCAGTTTATTTCAAGAATAGATTGTATTCCTAAAAATCATTGGTTTTAAAACTGGTTTTGCTTCAACTCCGACGGCCACTTGTTTTAAATTTCACTTTATTCTTCACAGTTTACTTTATAGCAAACTTTACTTGTAGCTTATGCTTTCTTACACTTTTGTCTTGATTACTTGCTTGGTTTCCACCATTACAGCTTTACCATACACTCCTGCTCGTAGCCTTCAAAAACGCAGCGCTTTGCCCAACTTTAAACTGTATTCCCCAACTGTGGAAGACATCAGGCTTCATCGTCGTGCACCTAGATTCAGACCACTCGGCCAGTGGGCTAATAGTGACGGTAGCGGTATCATTTAACCTTATCTAGGTTGATTGTCAAGTGTCACGACTGTTATGTCAGTTTCTTCCCCTAGCACACATGACTACCTCTTAATGGCTCTATGACCTACTCAAGTCCACATTCTAATAAACTACACGGCATGCTATAGAGCCATCATTTGTTTTGAAACTTGTGTTGATTACAACTTTGAGTTCGTGTGGTTGATTCGAAACACGAAAGTGCTCGTGTTGGTCTCGTATGACTGACAATGTGTTGTGCTTTGAAAGCAATGATTGGTTAAACCATTCGAGTAAAGTATTAGTTTATACAAATAGTAAAGACCATTCGGGTGAATCATCAACATAAACCATCAACGTAAATCATCATGGATCCAGCTGGCTGCTACGATTGATCAACTCTCCATTCTCGTGATTCCAACTTTCTTGGAAATTTTCAACTCGACTTTTTACAACAAATACTTGATGGCAGATACTTCAATCACTACTGCTGATAATGCAGTATCCTACAATCCTACTGTTTTGATTACAATTGGAATGGCTGGAACTGGAAAAACAACTTTACTTCAAGTACATTTCAACTTTGCTTTTCATTCCACTTCAAGTCTTGACACTAACTTGTAATATTACAATTCTGTTAGAGAATCAATGCTTATTTGGCTGAAAAGAAAACTCCTCGATATGCAATCAATCTGGATCCTGCAGTTGCTCATGTTCCTTTTGGTGCTCATATCGATATTAGAGATACTGTCAATTACAAACAAGTCATGAAACAGTATAATTTGGGTCCTAATGGTGGGATTCTTACTGCACTGAATCTATTTACTACAAAGTTTGATCAGGTATTGGACTTGGTTGCAAAACGAGCTTCATCAGTAAAGTAAGTTGTCTTGGTTGTGTAGACATTGTCATACTTTAATGGTATTGAGTCTCGTTTAAATATCAGGTATATTCTGATTGACACACCAGGACAAATTGAAATCTTTACTTGGTCAGCTTCAGGTGCAATCATTACTGATACGCTCTCTTCAACCTACCCAACAGTCATTCTTTACATCATTGACACTCCTCGCTCAACAGCACCAGCAACATTCATGTCCAATATGCTTTACGCTTGTTCTATCCTATACAAGACTCGGTTGCCTTTTGTACTCGTGTTCAACAAGATAGATGTGGTGTCGTATGAATTTGCCAAAGAATGGATGACTGATTTTGAGAGTTTTCAAGCAGCTTTAGAGGATGATGCTTCGTACATGGGATCATTGATTGGTTCCATGTGTATGGTGCTCGAAGAATTCTACTCCAACTTGCGGGTGTGTTTTGCTCATGCTTGTATCTATTCCATTCTTCAAATCTAACAATCATGAAACCCATAGGTTGTTGGAGTCTCTTCAGTTACGGGTGAAGGCATGGAAGAGCTTTTTGAAGCAGTAAGCGAATCAGCCAAAGAATATGAAACTGAATTCAAACCAGAGCTTGAGCGTATGTTGAAACAAAAAAAGGATCAGGAAGCAGCACGCAAACAAGAGAGTTTACAGCATTTGATGAAGGATATGTCACTTGAAAAGGGAAAAGAGGTAAAATTTGATACAGAAATGGAAGACGAGTGTGAAGATGAGCCTATAGATACGATGAGAACAGAAGATGTCGAACGAAGTGAAGATCGATCTTTTCAACGATTCCTTGCCAAATCCGAATGAATTCATTTTAATAAAACCAAACGTTTACTCTGGATTCACGTGAAATGGAGCATCAAACAAGAGTCATAACAGTCATGAAATGCATTGGAATGTTTTTTTGGATTAAAACGTATCTTGTAATTCAATATACAAGAGTTTATAGCAACACAATATCTGGATTCCAACTTGATGATCGTGTAATGCGTGATTACACCAAAACAATTCCAATACAAACCTGTAATTTGTGTGATCATCTTATGACAACTAATGTGTTTTAAAGACTGTCAATGTATAATAAGCACGATTATTCAACAACTATTTAATTCAAATCAAAATAAACGGTCATTACAGAAAAAGTATTCCATTTTACGTGAATATTATTGTAATTCGACTCTGCAACATCAAATGTCATTGACTGCCGTGCGCGCTGTTGCTCCTGACGTTCCTGGACTTTATCCAAGTGGTCATGCTCGAACAATTGGTCCTGCTGAAAGCTTTGCCATGTCTGCTATTGCTCCTGCATGTATGTCTTGTTACTGTTGTTCAATCCGTCCATTACAAGTGGCTTTGTTGTCCATTCACATGAAACTATCGTGGATATCCCATCGCAACTCCAACTGTATTGAATGCATTTCCATTCAGTCCATCAAAATGGGTTGGATCCTTGTATAAACTACTTAATGAGTTGACTGCATCCATCTTTGTTTCTTGTCGTCTATGAATCAATCCACTTCATACTCAATGATTCATGACCAGGTCGATTATCAGTCTATAATCCTGTTGGACTAGATTCAATCCACCAATGCAATCCATTCTATCATCAATTGCCATGTGTTATAACGTTGCCATTCTCCATTCCCAACAACAAAAATGGACTCGAAATCCTCTTTAAAACGATTCCTATTAGTATACCCTTGTAACTCTTGGCTTTACATTTGTCAAATGTTATGATTGCATGTCTGCTTGTCAATGTGACCATTTCATTCAATCGGTTGCAATCTTCATTAACGCCAACCTCATGGATTAAATCAATTCTACAGGCGCTGTTCTCTTCACAAACCCTTTCGATACCATAAAGTAAGTCTGGATGCACATCACTGTACTTTGTGTTGTAGATGTGATTGGACTAAACACTGCCATGATGTAACGATAGAGTGAGGTTACAACTCCAAGGACAAAAACCCATAAAACCACTGATAGGAAGTGCCAATACATTACCACAGCCAGACAAGGTAGCATAGTTCAACCAACTGTTTTAGTTTAACGTGGAGTTTTGCTTCCACTGACGATCTGATGGTATTCATGTCAATGTAGGTTTACAAAAACAGCATAGATGCGTTTGTCAAGATCTTGAAAAATGAGGGCATCAAGGGACTTCAAAAGGGATTAACCCCTGCTATTCTTCGTGAGGGGTCAAAAAATCTGTTCAGATTAGTAAGTTGGCTATGTAAAGCACTCGGCTACCTGGAATCAGTTGGGGTTGCAGCATATACGTTTCAAGTTTTGTATCTGGAACTTGTGAATATTTACTGCAAACCTAATTCTGCTTTAGGGAATGTACGATCCAATCATGCATGCCATGCACGATCCCTCTTCTGGTCGCGCACCAGCATGGAAACGTATGGTTGCTGGATCAATATGCGGCGTAATGGGTGCAGCTTCATGCAATCCTTTTGAATTGGTAAAAACAAGGTATACTCATTCCATGGGCATCAACCCTATTCCCTAATTGTTCTAATTTCACAACATTCCTTCTACATTGAATTTAGACTACAATCTGCTTCTTCTCAGTCTCTGGCTATAGGCCACCAACATGGATACACAGGTGTATGGCACGCTCTCAAATCCATATACAATAAAGAAGGTGTCAGTGGATTGTATCGTGGGTCGCTTCTCAGTATGATGCGATCCATAGTTGGCAGTGGAACTAACCTAGCGTGGTACTCGATGATGAACGAATATCTGATTGTCGAAATGAAATGGAACGATAATGCATTATTGGATATGGTCTGCGGGCTTTCTTCTGGCATTGTGTCATGGTAAAGTAACACAGATGATGTTTTAATAATGGATGGATCAAGGTTGATAACAAGATTCTATTTCAACTGATTGATAACTAGTGCGTTTATGAACCCTATCGATGTGGTGCGCACACGGTTTTACAATCAATCGTATGTTAATGGCAAAGGAGAGCTTTACTCTAACGGAATTGATGCCATCAGAAAGATTGCTCGGCACGAGGGACTTGGTGCATTCTACAAGGGATTCTTGACTCACTTTTTAAGAATCGGACCGCATTTCTGCCGTTGAGTATAACACTATATTGCTGCTTTAATTCTAAACTTGGTATTTATTTTGAACTGCACCATATGATTCTAGTTACATTTATGTTCTTGGGTATATTGCGGCGAGGTTTAGCCCAAATCTACGAGTACCAAGACGCTCAAGATGCATTTCATAGCTTTGATAAGGACGGTGATGGTGTATTGGACGAAGTCGAAGTGGAATCGGCACTCACTCATATTATAATTCAGCCGGGAGAGCCTGCGTCTGTAAGTCAATTACCAACTCGGTTGTTATTTCGATTCACATACTGATTCGTTTTGGCATGCATGTTTATAGGTTCCGGTTTATAGACAGCGCATTTTGGACAAGGCCGATCATCATCATAACCATATACTCACATTCGATGAATTTAGAGATTTGGAGCGAGAAGTCAAGGCAATAGTGGTTGAAAAACGCAAATAAACTTTCGAATGTTTTTTGTATTTGTGATGAACAAGACAATGAATGTCTTGGTAGTTGTATCAGGAATGCCCAACAATTTATCTGGTGTCCATTGTCCATTCAGTCTGAGTCAGTTTGTTTAGGGAGGCAGTCCAGCCATAAAAGCGAGTGTATTGCTTGATACTGCTTATTCGACTCTTTTCCAATCAACTCATTCCACCACATTATCATCCCAATGATATTCCGTCGAGGCCTACCTACTCTCAACTTTTTTATCGGTACAACTGCTCTGTCGTTTCAATTTTTTGTGCTGTACCCATGGCATATGGAGCTTGACAAGGAATTCCATAAGCTAGAGAAAACCCATAAGCAAGTTCTTGAAGAATTCCACCAAGCCAAAATGACCAAACTCAATGGGATTGAGCACTCATTACAGGAACTAAAGGAAGTCGCTATACCACTAATGACCAAGAAATAGGTTTAGATACACTTTAAATTATTCTTACGAAACCAGCGGATGAACCAAATATAAATTTACAGTCGTATTCACGTAAAATGAACTACTTTTCTGTATTGATCTTGTAATGATTGTCTTGGAATAAACAATCGTTACATATTCATTGTTGTTGTTGTTGTTGGAAATGGATTTGTTTTATTGAAGCTACAAGTTGTTTGGTGTCTGGAATGGCTCAGCACACACAGTCATTCCAAACACCAAAGTAATTGTCAGCAGGGTTCAAGAATGGACAGTATGATGCTGTATAGTGTAGTTCCAAACCTCGCGCTGTTTGTTGAATAGTTGGTAAACCATGTCTAATTAGAGTTGTTTTGTGGAATGGAATGTTGTCTAGAATAAAGTGACCGTTTGGAACCGTTTGGGAATGTTGCATGTCATTGTTTAACAAGTTAATATTACAGCATTCACTGCTGCCTTGATCAATCTCCAAACATATTGATCGTCATATGAAACACACACTATTAGACTATAGTTTTGAACTGAAATGTTGTTTTTGGACTGTACTCTTTCACCTCTGTTTGTATAGCCATGCATTGTACAATCACCAAGTTTAAACCCCAACTCGTCCATTGCAATCCAAATATTTGATTCTATTGTGCGAATGTTTTCAATACTTGACAAACTCATCCATGCCAATTCATCAGTCGCTTACAAGAGTGAGCTTTCTGTATGTGTTGTTCCATTTCAAGATGCTTGAAATAGTTGGCTGACAAATGTGTGCCTGGTAAAAGTCCATTCGAGCACTACCAACATCACTTTGTCCGAGTGTTGGTGACTTTACGAGGTTGTCACATATCCACTTTGCAATGTCTTGTTCGAGTCCAGAGTCTGATAAAGACAAATCTACAGTGTAAAGAGTGGAAAGAGTGGAAACACTAGACACTTTCAGTCAAGTTCAGAATGTCTTGACTACAAACTGAAACCCAAGACTTTGGCATGACAGAATCTCAAACAGCAGCAATGAAATGAGTAGTATAAAAAGAGCACCAAATAATACCGCTTTATTTAAAGTTTTTAGGAAAATTCATACAAATTTTGGCTCAATTTCAAATAATTTGAATAGTAAATATAATTTTTCATATAAATTTGTTACATTTTGTCATTCGTATCTTTAGTTTTATTCCACAAAAATGACAAAACTTTGGGTGAAGCTCAAGCCAAACAATGCTGTCAAAGTCTCTACTGAAGACTGCACAAATGTTTATCCGTTTATCAAGGAAGTAAAAAAGGAGTTGTCATCCGACTTGGCTCTTATGACGCTGCTCGCCTTTCACTCTCACTGACTGATGGTGGTGAAACTTTGTAGCCATACGACCCAGTCCCAGCTCAAAATACTGGAGAGCATCCGCTCTTCATCACCATTACAGGAGTTTCTGCTGCTTCCCCAACTCAACTTGTCCCATCATCTACAGATAACACAAATGGAAGTTTTACTGCCACTCCTGATATTGTACTTGCCATCAGAGAATTGACACTCGAAATCAGAGAAAATAACAGGCTTCAGAAAAAAAGGCAAAGGACGACTTTAGCTTGTCGAAACCCAAGAGCTATGAATCTGACAATCATGATATTTGTTTCAAGTGCTTGATTCATTATGGAATGATACCTCCAGCATCTACGACTCTCCCTCAAGATGCATGTTGTCATATGCTTGGAGTAAAAGTTCCTTTAAAGTACCTCAATTGCTCTCATCTATTCCAAAAGCGTTGGCATCGACATGTGCGTGACTTTGGATTGTCGAGTATCAATTCTGGAAAAAACATTCTGGCTCTGCTTAAAATTTTGAAGAGGCATTTGACTCGGGCCGCTTTGTTCTTCTCTTTGACAAGCAGTCAGGTTCGATTTGATGCAAAATCATTGACAATGAGTTGAAAAGCAGGAAACTCGACAAAGCCATGAAGGAAGAGTTCCCCAACTATCAGATTGGTAACGTTGATTTTAAAGACAAGACTTGTTTTAATGATTTTGATGGAGAACTTCATTTTTTAAATTCAGAACGTCCCTACATGCGCTGTTTATCATTTCATGCGTTGTTGGCTCGTGAGCATGCTCTTGATTACGGATGGATTGACGAAAATGAATTGAAGGAATTGGATGGTGATGATATGTGGTCGGATGGATTCCTTGACGAAAAAACCAGGAAATTCATTGATGAGTGGCGGGTTGATGTTTGCAGTCAATCGTCTACTGATTAAGTTGAAATGATTACTTGAAATTAGATTACACAAGCATGTAGGATATAAAATTACACTCATGTTTTTTATTTAGTATTCAAATTGACGATACTAGTAGAAAGAACCGTCACTGCAATCAACTCCAACGATCCATGATTCTTTTGGATTTGATATTTCGTATCCTGTGTATATGCGATTGTGCTGTCAACTCATCAAACTGCGGTCAAGTCGATGATAAAGCAATGATTGTCGACTTTTGTATCCAAAAACAGTCAAAAGATTACATTAAAACAGACATTATGGACAAATTCTACAAAGGAAATGCTAGATTACATTATTCTGGGTTGATACAAATCGCAGTCAAAACAACAAACGCTGTAAACATGGATACGATGAACAAGTCGTTGTAGGAATGGAATGCAAGCTGCTGGAGAGTATTGGGCGAGCCGAATCAGAGATTGATGGATTGGTTTAAAATGGGGTAACAGACTGATATTTGAAACGATTTACAACGATATGTCCATGATCTTGAAGCAACAGTTGCAGTTCTAATGGAATATTTTGTTGGTAGCATTCATCTTTAAATGTAGGCATATTGGTATCCAGCAACAATGGAAAATGTGTAATATTACAACTGTAATGTCTGGACAAGTGACTGTCTGAATAACAGTAACTATTTCCAGTGATGCTGATTTGTAAAAACTCGAATTATTCAACAACACTCTATCAATGCATTTGCAAGAGTCATTGGACGTATCTGTTGTTTGAATGTTGATTCGCATACATTCAGAAGTGGGAGTTATAAAGCTTATTTCCATGCAGACACGATCAATGTATTACTTTTTGTTGGATAGACTGTATCATCTGTCATCAATTCAGACACACTTGTCAGTCCTGTTCCGTATACAATGAGTCACATATGGACACCAATGCAACAATCAAGAATCAATTGTCATTTACAAGTCCGAATTGCCAACCAACAATCGTACTAATGGACCAACGGACCAATGCCAAATCACCTGCACATCAGACAGTTTATTGGACATGACTTGATTGTTCTTGACAACTGTTTGAAAACTGCTTGATGACTCGAGTAATCCAATCACACATTGCTGGCAATTAAATGGAACTATACAATGTGTCATGTATACATTGGATACCATCAGTTTATCAGTGACTATCTGGTATTTGTTTATGCATGATTAGTTGGACTACTATTTGCAATCAACACAATCGCTGGTATCAATGACTGATAAAAATGAAACCAAACGATTGACCACATCAGATTATACACATTCATTCTGGAATGCAACTTTGCATCGATATCGTAAATATCAACCAGAATACGAGCCAAACGAGTCAAGCGAGTGTTGCAAGCTTGCATTCATTTGAAAATACTCGATATCAGGCTAAAGTTGCATGTGAAATGGTCATTTGTACAAGGTTAAACAACATCGACATTCACAATCAATGTGATGTTGGAACAGAGCTGCTATTTCCGAATTTAAAAGTCCAAATTGTACACATTGTTATCAAGTCTAATCCACACCCTTCATGTCATACCATGTCATGCTTGATAGTTTCATACACTGCTGCAAGAGTTGTATTGTGTGTATTTCGAGTATTTCCATCACTCCATCACACTGTATTGGCTCAAACAACTCGAACAGATTGTCATAATCTGACATGATTCCAAAATAATTGCAATCGGTTATATTTGACATGATCGGATCATTGTAAACCATTTGATTTCAGTAATTCAAGATTAAACAAGCCAATGTTACTTTTTCCAAATTTGAATCAGCATGTTGTTGTAATATCGTCAATATTGTGAGCAACTCTGAGCAGACACTTGGACATTCAGTATCAAGTGATATTGGATACTTTCAAATATGTATCCAGTGATAAATAAGCGGTGATGTGTTTGAAATCAATTTACCATTACAAACCATCAAGTGTATTTTTCAATACACTTGATGGTATCAATGACCACTAATGGATTCAACTCGTATTCCAAATGAGCCATCATGTGTTAACCCAATTGTTTAGTATTGGTTGTTATTTGATAATGTCACATTTTGTGTCCTGCCATGAGATTGATTTCATCTGAACATTTGACAACCGTGCAAGAAACATTGGTTGAACTCGTACAGTTTCATATGCAAGTGCATCAGTAGTGTATCGACCAACGAGACCAATTTTGTTGATTGATATTCACTGATACTCGCTGGTAACTTGATGAAAATGTGTCAAACTATGACTTTTATGACAACACTGTACAAACTGTACGAGTTTAAAAGATTATTGGTGAATATTGTCCAATTTGATTGTTGACTGCAATTATTTTGGTTGGTTCGAGTTTCATTCTTTTGTCAAAAAACATCAAATGAATATTGAAACAACAGACAGCAACAACACAACTGTTGAATGAATATTACCAAATCAGCACTCAAGCCATACCAACACAGAGAGTCAAGTCTGAATGGCAGGATGACAACAAACGAGGTTTGTTTTTGGGAATCATCCAAGAGGGAGAAACCTCACACATCACTCGACTGCACAACCTGCTGACTGCCAACCAATTTGCAGAGCAGCAAGAGTTCTCAACCAAGATCCAGTTGGCAGACCCAGAGCATCCTCGTACATTCATTGATGACATGTTTGGGTATTACATACTGCCATTCCACAAAGACTACAACGATTCATCCAGCTGTCACACTCCAGTTTCATCAAACCCAACATCAAAAAGCAACTCTGCTGATGATCTGGACTATGTTGCAAAAGTGAGTGAGCTACAGCACAAGGACTTGAACAAGGTGGTTGAAAAGAGAGACAGTGTCTGCTTTTTTTGCTGGAATAAGTTGTCCTTGCAAGGAGCACACATCATATCCCAAAAGAACATTGGAATGGCATACAACGAACCATCCATATTGCTACGATCTGGTTTGACGCAGAAACATCAAATACAGAACGGACTGTTGTTGTGTATCAAGTGCCATGACCAATTTGGTAAACTAAGGCAATATGTGGATGTAGTGGATGACAAACTGGTGATCAAAGTGATCAATGACTCAACAAGTGACAAGCACAAGAAGTGGATTGAGACAATTGAAGATTTGAAAGTTATCCGCAGAACAAGGCAAAAGAGATGGATTGACAATCGACAAACAGTCGAATCCAACAGTGAAATGACATTGTATTTCATTCACAACAATCTCACTCGACTACTAAACAGGAACGCACTAGAGTTACACAAGACAACATGTCTCATTTGGTGTATGGCTGGTGGTGTAGAATCTGATGATGAGTATTGTCCATATGATGATGATGGCTGTACTCCTGTCGATTACCAGAGTAAGAATATCGAAAAATGGATGGAATCGAGTGCTATTTTGATCATTGAAATACTCAATAAAGTTGTGTATTCATTACAAGAGACTGGTTTCTGTTACAGCAATAGTTGTGTCGAGTCAATGTCATGGTGTAATGGCTTCAAAAAACACAGTTTTGTTGATCGATACTGCATCAATATGATCGTTTTACAACCGATATATTGAAACTTGTTGATATTGGAACCAATATTGATATTGGTAGTGGATGATGTATAATCAAAAAGAAATCCACATCGGAACGTTCCTTACTCTCGTTTGTGATTGTTTTCCGTGGATTGTTCTGGTATTTTATGTAGCTCACTTTTTGCCTTGCACGCATGTAAGCAGCAACCACGAATCGTTGAAACACAGATTGCACAAGTCGATACATTCTGATGACATTTGGAATATAACAAGACACAAGTGGTGACCAAAGTTTAATTCACAATCCATGAATGAACACGATCGCGTTGCCGACTGGATCAAATAACAACGCAGGTGTTTGAAGCATGTCTTGAATACATGAATCGACCAGATTGACAACATACTTGTGTAGTCGATAATCAATGGAATTGACCAAACGGAATGCCTGCAACTGCCAAAAAACCAAACAAAATGCCAAAGCATTTATATTAAAATGTTACACTACGACATCATGTCTCAAAGTGCTGAATGAGTCGTTGTCATGCAGTTTTACTGTTGATATTGTTTATGGGTTTGAAGATGTGCAATACAATCCGTAGTGTGTTGCTCAACGACACTGATCAAATGGTACTGAATACAGTGTGTCAAACAAGATGATCGCTTTGACTAGTGTGTCAGAATGTTTTGATAAATAACAATTATATCATGATTGCTATATTGGTTCATGTAGTATATTGTATAGTCAACTATGCACATGCACATACACATGCATGCCATTGTCAATTGATGGTCGTTTGTAAACAACTTGTGGACAACTTGCAAATATTACAATCATGGTGATTGCTTGAATGTCGATACCAAGCCATGCGTTTGATGGTCATTTACTGTTCAGTTTACTGTTCAACGATGCAAATGGTCGTTGTCTACCAATCAGTCGAGTCGTAGACATAAACTGCACATTGTGTGTATCGCTTTGTTCATGACCAAACTGTAACAATGTGTATTTTGCATTGAGTTTGAACTGCAATCTGCGACTTGTACGCATTATGATGCATTGTTTCAATATTCATGTTGCATTCATCAACATCAACGTGCAGTGTCGATCTGATGTTTGGTGTTGATGTTGTGTTGATATTCCAACAACACTGAATATTGCAAATCAGGTCAGCATTGACTCGTGTGATAATAATCCACAGACAATCGGTTGTACCAAACTGTTGTACAAACACATTGACATTCGATCGATCGGAACGACAATCAATCACTCTAATGTGTTGTTGGATATACAAACTATATTACACATGGTGACTGATGTTGTAACACATGTTGTAACACAACATTGAATCAATCAAACTGCAATTACACACTCCATCATATGTCGCATGTGTTGGTATGTCAAGTGTGGTGATATCGGATCAAAACAGTCGATTGGCATAGTAATCCATCAACATTCGAGTCGTTTGGTCAACCAAATAGTTGTATCATGCGGTAATATCAATATACTGCGATTGTAGCATGTCATTCATCAGATATTGTTGAAACCATTACAAAACCTGTTTGGACCAAATCAAACTGTGACGAATACCGCATACTCGGATCATCATCAACTAAACCAGGAATACACACTTGACAATATTGGCAATTGATGATTGAACCTGATTCATGGTTAATTCGTCGAGTGTTTGCAATGTGTTAATATAACCAGTCATATATCATTTGGTGTTGTTAACTTGTGGTTTGGTGATGGTTTGATTGCAAGTGATTCTTGGACACAACACATTGCAAACCAAGCAACTTGACTACTTGAACGACTCAAACGACTCGATACTAACCGGAATTCAATACAATTGTTGAATAGCCCGTGTAATATCAGATCTAGTCAAGTCAACAGACAAGCCAACAGACACGACACTCAATACAACTATATACAGCAAAAATGCGTTGGATTCATTTGTGATTGCATACTCATCAATCTTGAATGACAGTGTTTGTGCAGTTTTGGATATAGGTTGTATGGATATTGCAACAAACCTGTAGTATTATAGTATGACTGACATACTACTATTGGATCAAACAACATAACAGTCCGATATAATGTCAAATATATATGTGCATAGAATGGTCACCAAACCTGATCGGTTGTATATCAATCATAAACAACTACCAATTAGCAACAAGTGTCATTCGTATACATTGACAGAATTACTACAGACAACACCAACAATTACAAGATTACGTGCAATATATCAAGAATTGTGACATGGTTTCAATAAACCAACAACAACTGAACAAATGACATTGCAATGATTATTCATAGAACAAGGCAATCAAACGACAATGTTAGTGACAATTATGTTGGACAATATTCATGATTCAAATATTGACAGTCAAACATTGGTTAACCAACAGTTGTACGATTATACAACTGGTGCGTGTATTGACAAGTGATCAACATTGATCCGGTCATGGTTAAAACGGTATATCACAGGACTCGAAAGTTGTCAGTATTGTTGTGGTGTAATATTAGCAACTACACACAACTTGACATGAATGACAATGTTGATGTCGAGACTGTCAATGTATTACAGTGTATTGGTCAACAGTGACTGCGATCAATGACAATATTGCAGTCAATTCAATCCATGTGTTGATTGGAACAATCATTATCCACTTGTCAGATTCAGCATATAAATGAATGTTTTGTAACACATTTACAAATCCAACAATTGACTGATTAACAATAATTGAATATTAAAATGTTGAATAAAAGACTCGAGTCATTATATGAATGACGTAATCAATTGAGTTGAATTGACACTCGATTGAACAATACAAATAAACACATGACAAATGTTTAAACACTATTCAAAGTGTGAATTTGTCTCACATTGTTCACGTGATATCGAGTTTTGAATGTGAGACAAATTCACGTTTTAATCTTTTTTTGTCATTTCATTGTTTCACTTTATTCTATTCCTTTCCTTCATAAACTCCAAAATGACCAGGCTTTATATTCAATACCTTGAAAACACTCCGGTATCATTATTTACTCAAAAGTTGCCTGTCCCTGAAGGAGAAGAGCCTAATATTTCTGACCTGATTGCAGCAGTCAAGCAAGCACTTCCATCAAAACTTGGTGATATAGACCCTGACGAGCTCACTCTTCATTTTGTGGTGGATGGAGTGGAAATGACTTACAACTCCTGGGAACCCATTACTGTTCTCAAAACAAACGGAACTGTTGGTTCTAACCCACTCATTATCAAGTCGAAGAGTGGTGTGAATGTTGTAAAGTTTTACAATCCAAACCAAATTCCCATGACTGCCACTGGTCTCTTGGAATGGCTTTCTGGGTCGAATGTTAATTCTGCAGTTGATTTGACTGACAAACAAGTGCTATCTCAGCAGCAAACCAATCCTAATCAAAAAGTTGTATTTCCGCTGGCTGGTCGAGAGCAGTCGCTCCAGCACATTGCATCCTGCTTTATTGCCACCTATCGACACCGCAGCAATATTGATCGGAATTCAAGACCTATTCCTGTTTGTGCTGGTATGCCGGGATTGGGAAAAACTCGACTTATGACAGAGTGCTCTACCACAGTTTTAGACATGACAGGGATTCAAGGCAAACGACTTTCGGCAATTGTTTCTTTTGGAAATGACACGAACCCATATGGCGAGATTGACAAGGTCCTTGGAATCAAATACTCATTTGCCTGGAGATTGCTCCATTCGTTTTTCAAGGCGCAATACATGTTTGATGATTGGATGCGTAGAAAGTCACCAAAGAACAGAAGCGAGCTCACAATGCAATTAGCTTTATCGACCATTGAACTTTATTGGAGTCAGAAAACTCAAGACGACATACTTTTATTTGTCGGAGTCGACGAGTATCAAAAACTCTGTCAAGATGAACTGAAGTCTCTGCTGGATATCTTGTGTGCTTCTTCTTATCGTCTTACAACGTCAAAGCTTACATTTTTCTGTATGTTGGCGGGAACTGACCTGAACATGACTCGTATTGCTCGATCATCACACCCTAATACTGAGAGAACGCCAATCCGGTTTCTAACTCACATGGAATCAATGGAAGCTATTGGTCCTTTTATTTCGGATACACACTGTGGATTCGTGGTCAGCGAAGCCTTTTCTCAAAATGTCTTTTATCTAGGCGGAGTGCCAAGACTACTGACTAATTTTGCAAAAAAAGTTGTATCCATGAAGCCGAATGATCTAACCGAACACAATTTTCAGGGGGCAAGAATAGCTGCGCTTTCAAACTTGCAATATCCTCAATTGTCACTCGCTGATATTTTGAAGCTACTGGCGACTTCTTTTACAAACACGCCTGTCACAGATGTACGAATATGTCCGTTTTCTGAATCATCGCTACCTTCTGCAAGAGACCTTACTTGGAATCAAATGATCTCAAACGGGATATGCCAGCTTCAAGATGATGGTCGAGTGATTATACCGTTCCATATCATTGTTCAGGTTCTGAAGAGACCATTGAATGAAAGGGTCGGTCTGAACCAATTTGAAACAGCACTCCTATCATCGTTGAATAGTTTGTCGCTTGACGTTGGTTATCCATTTTTTGGTATACCTTGTTGGCTATTGTGGGAGTATTTTGGTGCTAGTTTCTACTGTATCAGAATCAACTCGTTTCTTGTATTGGGAATATCGATAGTTTCTTTGTCTGATATACTGCATGGATCGCGGTTTGATTCAGGTATTTTCAATACTCAAGTTCACATCAGAATTGCTGAAGTTTTCCAATCAAACGAGCAATATGGACCTGATATGCCACGGATGATCACTCGGAAACACGACAGCTATTATTCCGTTGACTGGGTTGACGGCGAGACATTGCAAATTGTGCTCAATGGTGAGAATGGACCAGGAGTGAATATATACTTTATTCTGAAACGCGCAAAATACTCTGGCTATATCATAGTTTTGGATCAACGAAAACGACTTGGTTCTGATATTACAAACTCGGATCTGACCACTTTCCGATCAAAATTACCGAACCCGCCAGCATTTTTAAACAAGTTCAAGTTGGACTCTGTTTTTGGTCTGATGAGCATATATTCAGAGATCAACATTAGTTCTGTTCCAGATTCAACGTATTTTGTTTCTGCATCAAATTCTCTAGATTTTCATGGTTCACTCTCTGGTCATCCAAGGTGTTCTATGGCCATTGACGTGAATTCTGCATCGAAAACCTCGATTAAACAAATATTCTGCGGTACCAATGATGATCAAACGGATTTGGCAAACAAGGTCATTAAACAGCGCTACAGCAAACGCATTGCAAACTATGATGAACTTGAATCATTGGTGTTAGAATGGAGTGGAAAGTTGGACGAGTCGGCTCATGCAAGAATCAAGTTTTAAAAACCTGGCTAGTATTTACATTTTACTATTTATCAGTCATAAATGTAGAAGGTGTAAAACATGAGTTCAAGTATTGATTTTATCGAATTCAGCAAGTGGTTGATTGCAATAAATGAACGCTGACTAGATGTTGGCATGTACTACACAAAAATCAACCAAATCATTGCAACTTTCAAGTACTATTTATTCAGTTTCAGTTTTAATGACATTGATTCATTTTTACAATCTTGGACAAAATATAGCAGTGATTATGGGTGAATCTCATCAATTGTGTTCATTCGAGTCAGAGCATGAATCTGGCACGGTAAGCAACCAATCCTTTCAGGTCATCCACTATTATACACCAAGTATTTTATCCAAGATTGTACATCTCGAATAAACAGTGTGTGACAACTATGGACACATGTAGCAGTAATTGACGGTCAAGAAACTGGTATCAATGTTCCATGTATACTACCAAAGTGTGTGTAGTTTAATTGTGATTGTTTGATTGGTACATATTTGTACATATTTGTATGACTGAATGATATGGCTGCAGTTATTTAATCATTTGAATACAGGAATGAAACCTTGAATGTACATTGTAATCTAAACTTTATATTACAAATATTGTTTAAATTGACTCTTGGAATTGTCAGTCCAATAACATGCCATTAAACGATCATTCGTTGAGTTGAGTGGTGATATTGGCTGTATTGGTTGGATAAACACTGTCGATTCTTGAATCAACACAACAACCATCATATGACACACAATCAGACTATAATGTTGAATCTACACTTTGTGCACTCTTAGTAATCATACATTATACGATCACCAAATTTGAACCCACATTCATGTATTGTGTTTGACTGTCAATATTGTCAATACAACTCTGCACAATCATTTGTTGTGTTTATCACCATCCAACTCAATCTCACCATTTCAATCAATCTTGGTCAATGTTGATGATTTACACGCCAATTCATTATCCAATCTTGTCTGACATTATTATTGGCTTTAATCACGTTTGGTTTGTACAACTGCCATGAGTTGCACTACCATTATCATTGTGTATCTGAACACCAAATATTCCAATACATCAATAATACCACAGTGTAAACAGTAATACAGTTGATCAGTCTTGTGGCAAGACTTTTCATCCAAGTTTGTATTTGGAAATACTCGATGGTTTAATCACCACACACTATTTGTAATGCGATTGTAATTGATCTCATTTCATCTCAGTCCAGTCCATCTGATTTATGATGATGTTTAGTAATCCATTACCATGTGTTGTAGTAAACTAGTTTGTTTATTAAACCAAATCCACAACGATCACATTCAGAATATTAATTTACAGTATTTCTAAATGCATGTTTGATAACAATCCAATTTTGTTACAAAAAACTGATCAAAACAATACTAAAATGGAACAACTCGTTTGTGTGTTTTACAACAATCCAAACATGAACAATTCTTGGCAATTGTTGGACATTCGCATGAATGAAATTGTCAAATCAAAATTCAACTTTACTAATTTTATCAAACATGGAGTTGGATGATGTTATGAAAGAGTTGATTCAACACAAGGAAGATTTGAAACTGTTAACAACAGATGCTCAACTATACAAGGCTGATGAAATATGGGACAGACTGCTTGTATTGATAATGGAGTTGAAACAACATAACTGCAGTAAGTTTAATGAACATTGTATTATTGATGAGTTCAAACCATTGTTGACTTTGTGTTGGTTTGAAATGGCAGACTTTAAAGTTATAGTGCCTCGCTTACAGAGTATTGGACTGCAAGATATCACAGCCGATTATTTGGAGTATAATCGACCCAGTTTACAGGTATTCATATATTGTAACAATAATGGATTGTTGTTCATGACTAAACTAATCAACATGTGTTGTGTAGATCAAAGTAATGGAGTTTACTAAAGTATTTGCGATTGTGGTGTACTATGATCATGAGTTCAAAGTATCACATCGACTAAACAACCAACTTGCACAACTCATGCAATCACCAAACTGTCAAGTCAAAATGATGGCAAGTCATGATTGATATTGATCAAATGATTGAAATCCAACTCATCTGGTGTCAATATGCATATAGGCGATAAGAACATGTACAGAGTTTTACAAGTATAGACGCTGGAGGGAAGAGGATGGATTTGACATCAAGCCTATGGTCGAGATTATTGTTCAAGAGTCCGATCAACAAGTGCTCACATTGGCGATTAACCTGTTCTCGACCGTTTGCAGTTATATTGACGATGAAAATGTATGTTTACAATGATACAATATTGGATCAGTTTGGACAGTGTCATGTCATGTTGATCTGATTGTATACTTGACATTGAACAATATCATTAGTTTGGCATCGTGTTGTCAAGACTTGTTTCACGACTGGAATCATCTAGTGGTTCAGTTGCTGTTGGGTTTATCAAAAATCTTGAAGCCATGTATCGGAATATTTGTCATCATGACCCAGTAAAAGCAGCGGGATGCGGTGTCATTTCAGCAATAGTCAATACGCTCAGGTATGTGGTGTTATGCATGAATGTGTGTTCAGTCATCACAATTGGTAAATTTGACATGGTTGGATTGACATGACATGAATACAGGAGTGTCGATCAAGCAGTGGTTGATCAAAGTATTGAAATTATCCATAATTTTTCCAGCTATGTAAATTGTGAAGTGACTTCAGCCGAGCTGATAAGATCGGGTTTGATTCAAACGCTTAGCGACTTGTATATCAGATACAGCGACAATTCCAAACTAAGAACACGCATAATCAAGGTAGCAGGAACTGCTGCATCCGATATGCGTGACTTTCCTGTATCGCTTGTACGATCGTTGGTTTTTGAGCAATTGACGATGTCAGTGTATGATGTTGATATGGGGAATCTTTGTACATATGTTTGGTCATATCAATGACATGATTCAGAAATCTACAAACAAGACCGAGATGATCAAGGCGTTTCGAGAATATGGAATTATGCAGCAACTCAACACTATTTATTCACGCAGAGATGTAAATCTGTATGATTATGGTGATGAAACTAGTATTGTAAAACTAGTCAAAACACTTGCTGATTTTGCCGACAATCATCCCGACAGTTCAATACGTACCGAGTTGGATCAAGGCAGGATATTTGAAAATCTACTGACTATTGTACAATCGGACACTGCTGAATACATGAACAGAAAGATTGCTGGCCAGATTATTGAAACGTGTTTCCAGCATCGGGTTCATGTTGCTAATTCGAGCATTCAGCCATACGATGACAATGCTAAAAGTAATATGAAATCTGAAATGGCCGGATATGTACATGGAAAGGCACGCACACTTGTCGAGATGCAGTATATCCAGTATTTGCAATCTATACTTTGCAAACCCATGTGGTGGATCGATATCACAAACCAGCATATTGTGGAGCAATGGAGGGCTGACTCACTCGCTCAGAATACATCACCATCAACATTTAATCTTGCATTGGAACAACTCGAGGTTTTTGTCAAACAGCTTGTTTGTAGTGGCAGTGATGGATTGGGCACAATTGTCCCAGGACCTGTTGAACTGACGTATATACTGGACAATGGCATACCTGACAATGTATATACGCGATTGATGACAAATGTATCGGATATTGAACATGGATCAAATCACAACACTGGTCAAATGGTGCACAATATGATTGATGCATCAATGTACAGTGTTGTATATGGACAAACGATGATTGCACCACTGGATATACGACTCAAATACACCACAATGGTACCATGCGATATATTGTTATCGACTCAGCTTGTTTCAGATACGCCCATCATTAACGGCAATCCCAAGTTTATATCACGCAAGTTCCAATGTCTTCCGAGTGAATTCCGTGTCGAACAGGATGGCAGTGTGACCATCAACTCATACATCAACAATCTGAATCCGATATGGCATCGAGACATGTACAAATGCATTGCCAAAATATTCAAATGTTTTGTCCCAATGTTTGAAAGTCTGTTCAGAACGATACATCCAGTGTTCAAGTATATTGATATTCACAATTGCACAAAGGGATATGAACCACCAAGCCAGTCAGATCATGATGATATGGAACCAGACACTCGAGTCACTCGTCCCGTGTATGTACCAATACTTCCGGAACATTTTGAATCCAAATATGAATCAGCAATGCCAGTATCACTGCGTGGTCGTAATCTGCAAGTCATTGTCAAACTCACCAACATTCAACTGACACCATCCAAACCTAAATACGACGAGCGAGACTGGCACAATGAAGGTCCAATTAACGAATCGATTGTTGCAACTGGACTGTATTACTACGACGTGGAAAATATCACCACACCCAAACTCGATTTCCGCGAGGCTGTTGATAGTTCTTATTATGAAATGCCAGCTTGTGTGTATTGGAAAGATGTGTATGGAATTGATCTAGAATCACCACGGAATCAGTATATAGGATCGCTTGAATTACCAAATGGTCGATGTGTAGTTTATCCCAATCGATACCAACACAAAGAACAATCATTTGAACTTGCAGATCCAACTCAACCAGGACACTGCAAGATTCTGACATTTTTTGTAGTGAATCCATCTCGTCGGATTGTTTCGACTGCGCATGTGGCTCCACAACAACCACAATGGTACAACTCGAGTCTTGACAAGGCACACATACCGCCTGAACTGTGGAATGATATCACGCAGTATATTCAAGGTGTTCAATCACCAACTGAAGCCAAACACTATCGAGATGAATTGACAAGTGACCGAACTCGAATCACAGCAGCATACAACACATACAGATATGAACAGAAGTATAATCTTGGTCTTTGGTGATGGATTGTGAGGTTGTGATTTATACAACAATGAGTTGCAATGCCAGTCAGATCTATGCAATTAAATGGATCGAATGAATTGAATCAATCATGTCAATCATGACAGTGATTGTTGATTATATTGACTGATTGTGTACAATTGATTGATACAAGTGATATGGATGCATCATTCGGTGTTGTTGAATCAGATCATTGCTTGATTCTGTCAATGTGATCAAATGGATTACTACAAAACTGTACATGCTCAAGTTGAATCAAGTATTAAATCGAGTATTGGATTGATATTTACACACAACCACAATTACAACTACAATTGCAATCAGCACAGTCTGAATATTAGACATTTGAATCTCACATATAGAGTCGTGTGTTGGAATATCCAGACGAATACTCTTAAGCGGTAACCTGTGGCAAAGCTAACTCTTGTAACATCCACTTTAAACCCAAAATTAAACCCCTTCATTACCAAAAATCCATGTGCTCCGTACCCTGCAACTCTCATCTCTAGGGTTCAAGTTCTCAATAATCGGGTAGACGATCTCATTATTAAATTTACTAATTACAGGAATCAATCCTATTGGTTGTAACCTTCGTTTACAGCCTCCCATCATTTAACGGGTCAATTGTTCGTATCACAAGACACAAACAATCAACTACTATGAAAGCTAGAATGCTTACTCTTATCAATAAATAACTCTTCAAACTATTTCATCTGTCCAACTACTTTATCAAACCTTTTCACTACTCTTGAAAAGACTAAGTTTGCTGATCTTGATTTAAAGTGCGACATCCATTACACTTTTGATTTGTTCTCTTCTGATAACTACTAACAGTTACAGATTATATTCTACTTTACTACATTTTAAAACAAATCAAGAAGTTCCAAACATTCTGACATGGTACAGTTATTGCACGTAGTAATTGGACTAATTGCAAGTACGAGTAGCGTGCGAGCGATCGAGCAGACAAGCATATCTGACGTATCACTTGCCGAGAATACTCATGGGTTATCCGTTGGTGTTGTTGATCCCTTACTCACTAGTGGTGGTAACTGTCCTAGTGATGGTCGTAACTGTGACAACGATCCGTTCTCTTCGCAACGTAACGGTGCTTCGGATGCTGCTGAAACAACATCAGTTCGTCACCTTGCTACTCGAGCATTATTATCTCCCACATGTCAGCCGTTTATCAATCCATTCATGAATGAAGGAACCCGTTTCCTCAACGCCATTTCGTACATTATGTACAATCCAGTTGTAGCTGGACCTACTACAATGGGATGCTATTGTAGTGATGATGGTACTAATACCATCTGTGTGACCTCTCGTTCGCAGTTTCACTATACTTCTGTGCAGGACTTCGTGATTGCTATTGGTAATCCAACGGTATCTTCTCAGCTTAACTCATACTGTTGGAAGTGCAACCGAACTGCTCCTGTAATCGAGGCTGTAGCATCAGCTTTCTCTGTCTCAGTGTATCCAAGTGCCATTGCTGCAGGTATCCAGCCCCCTGCCCCTGCCAATGGAGTGTCTCACTCTCCAAGCAGCTATAGTATTACAGCGACTATCGGGGCTATCTGTGCTATTATCCTCTTTATGTACGGAGTTTAATAAATACATCTGTTATCATTCATCATTGTTATCATTGTATTACACTAGCGCTACCATGATCGCTGATAGACATTCTTTAAAAGCTTTGCTTGATGCATCCAGTCAACGAGACGCGTCATCGCGCCGAGTAATATCAACTACCACACTCCTCACTCCCTACCAAATTAAAAACTTAACAAATACACCTGGATATACTATCATATTACCACACTCCTATAGTATTCATTGTATGTATCACCTTCACGAACAAGCATCGTACACGTTACCATGCCCCATGATCCAAGTTGATACAACAGTAAAGAACAGATAAGTATGACACCCAGTATATCCATTAGCTTCAGTCATCAATATGAATAGCGAAGTTTGGTTGTCACATCTCCAACACCATAATACCAATGCAGTGCACCCTCTGCATTAACTGTCAGATGCAGTAGCAAGGTGGCATCCTTATTACATTCAATCAACATGCACTACTCATACTGTATATGTTTCTAATGTGTCTGCACTAGATCTTGTGTTGCACTGAGTCATAGATGGAAGCTTGAGGTTCACTCATACGTGAGTATGGAGTGAACAGGCGGGACGCCCAACCCCTTTATAAACCCACCTATCAGTGTTACAGGTGACATTATGACAGAAACATATACAGTATGAGCAGCACATGGTGAGGATGAGTGTGGGGGAGGAATGCATCATTATACGTTATGTACGACAATCCTGACTGTATCTCTGGTGCTATCATTCGACAGTATATGCTGTTTATTTATTCGCATTTATGGACTCCTCATACTGTATATGTTTCTGTCATAATGTCACCTGTAACACTGATAGGTGGGTTTATAAAGGGGTTGGGCGTCCCGCCTGTTCACTCCATACTCACGTATGAGTGAACCTCAAGCTTCCATCTATGACTCAGTGCAACCCAAGATCTAGTGCAGACACATTAGAAACATATACAGTATGAGTAGTGCATGTTGATTGAATGTAATAAGGATGCCACCTTGCTACTGCATCTGACAGTTAATGCAGAGGGTGCACTGCATTGGTATTATGGTGTTGGAGAT